ATTTGGGATCTTAATTTTACAATGATAAAAAAATATTATCAAATAAATAGTGCAATTGAATTTTGTTTTAAGCCAATAACAGTGATGTGTAATTATTTCTTTTTTTGTTCTAGGGCCAGCCTGTTTATTTAAGGCACGAGCCTGGGATTGTTTTTTCCCATTACTTCAAGACCTAGGGGTTGCGGCATTATCACTTCGATAAAATCCATTAGTGATTTGGTGGGATGTGTACCCGGGATCTCTTGGACCGAAGTCCCGCGCTCTAACCACTAGACCAGCTTGCTTCAACACATAGTGGATTTGGAGAGCCAATCAACTTCCCCCTCTTCCCTTTGATGCAAAGCAGGGGTATATCGGGCTAGTATATATACTGTGTAAATTTGTAAAAATTTGAACAAATAGTGATTTTGGCCTCTGGGGACAAAGTAAAGTGACAAAAGTAAGTCAGTCCCGGGGTCTAGGTCTTTCCACTAATTGACCACTAATCATTTTCATTTCTAATGTAAATTCATAACTTCTTAAATTTCAAATTCTTTTTCTATATATAGGTATTCAACCTTGACATTATTTTTTTTATAAATTGTTTATCTTTGTAAAGATAATTGAATGAAGAATTTAATTTATGTGGCTTCATTACACAGTAGTAAAGATTAAATGGACTGCTGCAAAACAAGCAGAGCAATAATGTTACTGTTACTTGTCTACACCCCAACATGTGGTAAATTAAGCTACCAAATTAATCCTGTGACAACATTTGCAGCTTGTAACCTACACTCACTACACAGGTGCTAAATAACTCAGCATGGAGAAAACACATTACAGTTGTAAGTTATTAAAATATCTATATACTAGTGGCTTGTAGGGGCAATAGCCCCTATATACAGTATATGTAATATATTCTAATAATTATTTTGTACAAATTATTTGTCTCATGGGTTACCGTACCCTACCTTGAATTATCGTTTAAAATTTTTGTATATTATAATAATGTATAACAGTTATCACATACCTGCATAATTCATTTTTATGTCTGCTCTGTTTAGGATAAAAATTCAAAAGGACTCTTCATGTGGTGGGTTTGTAACATAAATTTTCTAATCATAATACAGCAAAAGAACATTTTCAAAAATCTTCACTATTAATTAAATATATATACATTTTTTTGAATATAGACAAATTCACTTAGAAAAACACAACACATAGAGATAATGTCATCTTCCAAATTGTAAAATACTAATTCTGTAACAAAATCTCTCTGAAAACAACATTTGTTGTGTAGTATCCATTTTGGTCCATTCCTTGGTCTTTATTTGGTTCTATTTCTATTTTAACGTCATCTAGCCGCTTTACCCGGCTAAAAGCAACATAAAGTTGACCATGGGTAAACACTGTTTTTTTTTTTTTTTTCAAATAAATTCCAACTTTTGGGAAGGTTTGGCCTTGCGCTTTATTTATATAGTAATGGTGAAAGATAATCGCAATGGGAATTGAATCCTTTGTAAATTTAAAGGGCATATTAGGATCTGTAGATATTAGTTTTATTTTTGGCATGAAAAATATGTTCCCTTTCCCTAATCCAGTAATTACTACTAACTTTACACTTTTTTCAGACATACCCAACACAACCAATCGTACTCCATTAACTAATCCAGACCCTATTTGTTATGAGCATCACTATTGAACCAACTTTTAAAACTAATTTGTGTAGTGGCATTCCAGATGGTGTAATTGAATTTATAAACTCAATTGGTATGTTCAACCTCTCTGTAGGGTCTTCTGAAACTACTTCATAATTACTGTAGTAGATTTTTAATACTTCTTCATTTAAATTATCACATTGTTCATTTAAAGGACATACAATTATTTGATTGGAGTAGTTTTGAATATTTTCTGGATTTATTGAGTTGCCATAAACAATTGCACAATCAGAGAGAACAAAGTTATCTGGAATGTCAATTGCCGGTGTTGCCCTGTTGCTCTCTAAGATTCCATTACCTAATATAAGCGTAGAAGCCAATCACAAAATGCTGTTTCATTTTCGTTTGCACGCATGTTTACTTTCAAATGCACTATAGTTACATACAATACATATATTACATACTACCTTTAACTATTAATACAACTTCTGTAGCCAGTAGTCAATGATATTACCATATGCTTTAAATAAATCTAAACCACATGTTTTAAAGTAAACAAATCGGACATGACCTGGATTCCCATGCTATTTAAATGTGATTGATTTTATCCTGTAATAACCTTTTGGTGCATAAGTAAGAAAAATGAGTATTTTTCCCCAAAACTTCATGCCCAGACCTTTAAAATGAGACCGCTCCCAGCTTTCTACGGCCTCCAGTTCGCTCACAATTTCATTGTAAAATTTTGGGCTTACGGAATTATATCTATATATCTAATTCCGTAAGTCAAATTTTTGTAAAGAAATCGTGAGTGACTGGATGGCCGTAGAAGGATGGGAGGGGTCTTATTTTAAAGGTTTTGACGTGAATTTTGAGGGAAAACTATTAATTTTTCTTATATTTTTTACCATAAATTCGCAACAGAATAAAACTTTTCCCATTAAAACAACATGGGGTTTAATTTGTTTAAATCTTTTGAAATTAAAACAGCTGTGCCACAGATTTGTATTAGTTGTATTTCTGAAAATCTGTGTACTCATAGCCTTTGATATAGATACATCAGATGGAATCAGAGTTTATATGGCAAATACAAGAGAACAGAACAATACAGAAAACAATTCATATACAAAAAACATAGTTTATCCAGAGGTTCTGAATAATTATCAAATGCAATAAGTAAGTAGTGATTTCTATTCATGTAAATAAAACTTGAATTAAACCAAATTTTAATTGTTTTTTATGCTTATTATTTTCAAAATAAAAAAGTTTACTGTTTTAGAGGCTATTGTCCCTACAAACCACCATTTAAATGTAAATGTATCTACTGTATATAATATATTGTATACATTTTGTGTTGTAAACTATATTATAATGCTAGAAAATCAGTGCTTATTTATAAATGACCAATGAAGGTTGATAAAAAATTTATGTATTTTGGTTTTTTAGGGGCTTTTGCCCCTACAAGCCCCTAGTATTTTGAAAAACCCCTTTAGCTGTTTAGGACTGATTTAGTGACAAACATCTATAAATCTGATCCTTCACATAATATTGCAAATCTATATCTATAAAAGAGGAACTATGTATGTATGTATATATATGTATATATATATATATATATACATATACAGACTGTCCCAAAAGTCCCGGACCGGTTTAATATTTTCGAAACGACAACAGATAAATCAATAAGATTTTGCACATCAACACTACACTTAAAAATCTACTTTTTTAAGGAACTATCAATTTTCTGTCATATCATGGGGACGTCCCACGAGGAGTCAGAAGGAAATCTTAAATAGGAGCATAGGTCAATATGCACATCAATTTAAAGGGCTTTGCTAGCAAAGTTCAATGCCGGAAACCGCGCCTCGAAAGGATCATCCGTTACAAAATGGCGGCCGTTCAAAGATTTCTTGAACCTGCCATTTTGAATCTTTGAACGACTGCCATTTTTTACTCAGGCGTTCTTTTGAGCTTGAATTTACGGCATTGTAATCTACTAGTGAAGACCTTTAACTTGATGTGCATATCGACCTATGCTTACGTTAAAAAAAAATTTCCGATTCCTAGGGCTGTGCCCCCAAATGCAAATTAAATGAATCTTTGAACCACTGTCATTCTTGACTTGGTTGTCCGTTTGAGTTCAAATTTTCAGCATTATATTTTGCTAGTAAAGACCTTTAATTTGATGTACATGTCAACCTATGCTTCTATTTAAGATTTCCTTCTGACTCCTTGTAGGACGTCCCCCTGATGTGACAAAAAATTTATATTTCCATAAAAAAGTAGATTTTTAGGTGTGGTGTTTATGTACCAAATCTTATTGATTTATCTGTTGTCATTTAGAAAATATTAAACCGGTCCGGGACTTTTGGGACAGTCTGTATATGTGTGTGTGTGTGTGTGTGTGTGTTATGGACTACGAAACCGCTTGACAGATCTTCATAATTATTTTTAAGTGAAGACAACATTTGTGTAGAGATAAATATTGAGGTAATTGGGTTGGTTACACATTGTTTTGTAATCAAGGGGAGTAAAAGTCACAGAGATGTCATTTTAGGCCTTTTCGGAGACCTGCATTTATATTGTAAGTTTAAAACTTGTGGGTTGGTCATCAACTTTTTCCCAAATAGGGCGTATAAATAGTACCTACCTAGGTGATAACCTAGAAATCAACCCTCACAGTTTCGGATTCTACCATTTTGGCTACTGATAGCTGCATAAAAGGACTTCATGTTACATTGAAACTTTGAGACCCTGTGGGGGGGATTCCTGAGAAATTTTGTTAACACCATAGATTTTGACACTCACCAATATGGTATTTATCACCATGCATAAATTTACAAGACGTATAAGAGCTTCGCTCAACAAGGCAAAAATGTTGTTTGTATGTTGTTGGCACTATAAACTGTAGGTCACTTAGTTGCCATTATTAGTTGCCATATGGACTATTAATTAACAGTCGCTGTCTAAGGAACATGTCTGCCTTAGTCAGTAAAATAAAATACTACAAGATCTCACCACTCATCCTACACTCGACATCTCCATCCATACTTGGCTTAAAATACCTACCTTCATAAGGTCGCCATTTTAGTTGAAAGTATTTGAGAGTTTGATATCTAATCAATTCAACAGATTAATTTTCCAACTGTTTTAGGTAAGGTACCATAACTATTTACTATTTTTTACATACATTTGTGTACGAGCTTATGAAGCTAAAAAGTTAAATAATATTTGTAGGTTCAATGAAATCTTCATTAGAAGGTAGTATTGTTAGGCAATAAAGAAGTTGTGCTTAAAAAACTATTTTATAAAATGTAATACAAATATTTTCAAAGTAACAATCACCATAACACAGAAATGCTTAGTAGGTAAAAAGTTATCTAATAAAATGTCTATAGTCTATATTTTAAATTTTGAATATAAATCCATAAAACATTACCTAACATTTAACACTACAGATAATAATAGATACCAGATAATAACAGATAATAATTATTACAGAACTAATTAATTATCAACATTAACTAAATATCTCTTATGGTAATAACATTTTGTAAAAGTCTAGATGTTGAGTAATGCAATATCAAATGCAAAACATAAAATTATTGGTAACAAAAATTGGCAGTGTGAATATAAATGCAACCAACATAAAGCATAAAGCCCCCAAAGTAAAATGTAAAATAACAACTAACAAGAGTTACAGGCTTTTAACCAAAAATGACAAAACACTAAAGAAATATCTAGGCTCGTCTTTACTATGGAATTATTGATGTCTTAATTAATTGTCTTTGCTATGAAATGTAACATTCACAATCACAGTTTTGACAATGTGATCTTTTAGGGTGATTAAGAGGGTTTCACCCGCTGGTTGGTTACCATGTAAAAATGGTCTTACAAAAAAGAACCTTGTGGCATTGTTAAAGTGTTTATCGAGTTGAAATAAACTGTAAAATACTCACAAAGATCCAAACTATATCCTAGATGAACTTAAACTTTGTAATTGTTTCTTTAAGTATTTACAAAATCATTTTGAAAATCCATTAATTAGTCTTTTTTACATGTGATTTTAGCTTCTGAAAAATAGTTAAACATTACTTTATCTCCATCCATAGCAAGCTCTGATATGTTAAGAGCACAAAAAGCACACAATCATTGGAAAGTAATTAGTTTTAGAGTGTTGAGAGCTTGTACCGTAGAGGCATGTTTAGAATCATTAGCATGTTTAGCCACCATATTGAATTGACCAGGTAGAAGAACCCTCTTAAAGAGTCCTTGGAGCCTAGACGTTCTAACTCGTAAAAAAATAAATAAATACAAAGACAATTTTTTTTATCTCACAGTATACCGGATATTTAAATTACAATCACTTTGGTATCTGAACAAATATTTTGAGATGGTAAATAACTCTTCAGCGGCTGTTTAAAAATAACTAAATAAACATTGCTCTTATGGCGGGCAAATCCAAGATGGCCGATGGCTTCGATGAACTTCCATGGAAATCAATTCAAAACAACAAAGACAACTTTAAATCTTTTAGTATATCAGATATTTAAATTATAATCACTTTGGTTTTTGAAAAACTATTTTTGGATGATAATTAACTCATTAGCAATGCCGTGTAACTATTTTGTTCTGAAAGTTTTATCAAATTTCAAGTTAACTAAAAACCATCTCAAAACAAGTGAAAACCCAAAGGATCATGTAGGCCTACTTTTCCAGCTGACTTGCTTTGTGAAAGTAAAATTAGATTTCTTCCTACATCTATGGATTGATTGGAGGCCAAGGCCATTCAAGTGTACTATATAAAGGCATTTTGTTTGCAATTCAGAACAATTTAGCTTAGACAGTGTGATCACACATCTACTGCAATGTTGCATGGATATGAAGTGTTGTACAGATGACTATAGTCCACCTGCTAGTCTCTTGACTGCCTCAGCCACAGCCTGAGACAGTGCTTCAGCATGTTCAGACGTGTCTGCCTCAGCGTACACTCTCACGACATCCTCTGTCCCTGAGGGTCTGTAGAAAAACACACTCAAAATATTTAAATTCAACAATTATCAATTCACACTTTTTATAAATTTAAATTTTAAAATTCCTTAATGACAAATTAGTCAACTATATTATTCAGTTGAGATTCAAACTATTCAAAGGGATCATAGGAAAACTTGTATTTTGTTTATGTTTTTTATGTATGTACTTATTGTATGTATGTATTTGTATTAACCGACACTATTAATGTTCTTAAAGTCCATGTCAATAAAGAATTCTGAATATTTTGATTTCTGATCAAGGATCAAGGATCATAAGCTACTTGTTTGTATGAATTTCATACTACTTTTATAACTGTAGGTGAGTTTTGGTAGTTAATAAATTGATACTAATATTTAGGTCAGCTTCTTAGCACTTTTATTTTACATGATCAATCAACCTTCCACTCAATGACATTTGCACATCTTTTGTGACATTTAGGCTATAAGGATCAATTGTTTTTTTAGACAGGGTACAGGCGGAATCGCAGACCCAATCACAAACAGAGCAATGTAGGGATACCGCAGCAATGTTCCCGATGTTGCTGCGTGTAGTCAACAGAGCATATCATGTTTTGATTCAGATTCCCTGACCAAGTTAAGTTACTGGACGAATGACGAGGGTAAGTGGCTCAATTTCCAAACCAAAAAGTTTCCCCAAAATTTACAATGTAATTGTGATTACAGAATGCAGAGTCATTATCCACGTTGTCGCGACTGTCGTTGATGGTGGGAGATTCTAGAACGGGTTTTGAATCCAAAGTCACATGGTGTTGAGGGTTAACAATTCCTTGATAACACCGGTACCAAAAACTTTTAGGAATTGATAATCGGAAAATCCCAACTTTTAAGGATTAACCAAAAAACTCATAACTCAACCTAGGTTTTCACAGCTGACAAAGTTCTCAATTATTTACGACTTTAAGATTTTTCACAGTTGTTTAGGTACCCTGTCAATGCATAACTAAATTATAGAAGGGCAGAAACAATCAGCTTGTACATTCACCTGACAAATGAGCGACCCTTGGGGTGGTCAGAGATGAACTTGTCTATCTCTTCCTGCAGACCGACTGGTGTGACACATCTCCTGGCAGCATCAGTGGTAGTGATCACAGTGCGATCCTGTGGCAAAGTAAACAGTAATACACATTGTGTATAATAGCTATTGCAAATAAAATATTTAATTACGGTTAAAATACGCAAATGTCACCCCCTTCTCAATAATAATGTTAAAGCGTTATAAATCTCTAGAAGTATAAGATCAAACTTTAGTTTAATCAGTAGAGTAAATAAGGACACTTTCAACGCAGAAAGTATTTCTGGTTAATGATTGATGGTCAGTTGATAATCAAAAAGAAAAAGTAAATGTGCTAGGCTACCAGTGGCGCCGATAGGGGCCCGCGAGCTAGGGGGGCCCGTGAGCCTTGACCAGGATTTTTCGGGAAATTTTACTGGGACGCGGGCTCTTACTATTGTAAGGCTGCACTTTAAATTTGTTTACTTTGAGTCAGGTAAAATATGTTAGTTACCAATAGGCCCCAGGCCAAATCAGATCGGTTCAAAATAGGGTTGCTTTGAAAACTGTTGATTTTTATATAATGTTGATTTTCAAGCCGAGAAGAGCCTGGCCTACAAGCTTGAGAGATCAAGCACATAGTCAGAAAATCAAGCTCTAGCCGTTTTCCTCAGTACTCAATACAATAATGCCCAATTAAAAGTAAAAGCTTTTATGTCCACGATGATCACGCTCACAAAATTGAAAGATTAGGTCTACGCTTTTGCCGCGATCGCGGATATCGACCAGAAAATTTCCCCGTGGGTTACGATGACGATGTCTCCGCGGCCGCAGGAGATGTTCAATATTTTGCCGTGATTGCGCTAGACGACAATGACGTGTATTCTTCTTTGAGGAATATATCTTGGATTTTGACGCTATTGCGGAAAAAAATATTTACCTGTCACCACAGGTCGCAGGAGATATTAGGGATTGGGCCGTGAATGTGGGAGACGTTGATGTTGTTATCTGACAATTTCATAGGTTTGGTTGCAATCACGGTAGACTATGATAGGCTAATCTTTCTCCCATGACTACGGGAAGTATTCACGATTTTGTCGCGATAATGGAAGACGACGATGACTCCTCGATGCCTCGGGAGATGACGTGCCAAGCTTAAGTGAAAATTTAGGCGGTAATACATGTGATAATGTTTTTAAAGATTATTGGTAGAGGGGGCCCTGCAAACGAACTTGCGGGGGGGCCCGCGGGCTCTTATTGCCGCCACTGTAGGCTACAGAAACTACCACTGAGATAAAAGTATGAAAATTAAGCACAGCTCAGCTCTAATCCATCTCAGGTATTGTAACTCTCTGATTCTTTTGGGCCTGTTGTAACCTTGCATTTAATGTCCGTCCACATTGGCCTCAGGTGTGTGAGTGGAACATATCCAGCAAAACAAAGGGCAAGCCAGTGGGGGGTGACATAGACTAACCAACAAAAGTAAACTTCTCATCCCATTGTAAATTATGAAGCTCGTTTTTCGTGTCTAGTCCATGTCCGGTGACACTGATCGCTAGTGTCGACAAAATTTTTTTGTTTTATTATTGACAGTTAATTTATGCATTACTATTTGGTTATATATTTAGGACACAAGTTATTGTTTATGATTTGATCGTTTTATTTGGATAAACGAGATTTAAATTACTGAAACAACAAGAAACAAATTGTAAACAAACCACGACATATACAGTGAACCGGACGGAACTAACAATGAAATTGGCTTCAGCTGTTCCATAAGGATGAGAAATCTACAAAGGGAGTATGTTTGATCTATGCCATTGACTTGAATTCACAACATAGCTGCTATAGATTTGTAGTCCATGGTGCTACTGAATTCTTCACCAATCATTAAAGGCCAACATATCACACATTAAGACTTACATTACAAAAACCTTAAACTTAACTTATTATCAAGTATAGTTATCAAAAAAAGTTGCTGGATTTATAAAATTTCAAGAGAAGGAAGTAAAACAGTATTTATTTTTGACTGATAAGGAGCAAACGTTGCTGTTTGTGACTGTATTGGGAACAAGAATAAATATTAAGAAATGGCAGGATTGAAAATTGAGTTGAATACAAATTTAAAATCAACAGGAGTTAAATTAGAATTAAAGATGTAAGTTGCCAGCCAAACTTACAGGAATAAAGCCAAATTGAAGGATATCCCCAAAAAGAATCATCAAGTACACAGTAGGTGCTATTAAATTTTGGTAGAACAGATAGAAGTTTTCAATCCAAAGTTAACAAGGCAAAATCACCAACTCATAAATCAGTTATAATTTTCTTTTTTTTGCAAATTCCTATTGCTATTTAAGGTTGTTTATAGAAACGCCATAACACTCAAGACGACCAAAGAGGCAGATTGGAAATGATGACTAGAACTGTAGTTGGATTTTTATCCACGAATACAACTACTTTGAGGTTTATATTTTTTTCAGAATATTATAATGTGCTGCATTGCTAAATAAAAAATTATGTTAAGCAGTAATAGTAAACTATATTTCAAGTTATAAATCAAATATAGCAATGTCAAATTTTTAGACCTAACTAATGCATTTTTTGGTGCTAATCAGTAAACATGAAGACACTTTTACTAAATAAACAAAACAAACTGTTGTATATGAAAACCCCCAAAATACAACAGGTAAGAACTAAGAAGGTAAATGTAAAAACTAACCTTGACTTTGACTTTGACCAGTCTGTAAGGCAGGTCAGTGTACATGTGTAGCCAGTCTTGTATGTCCCAGCCTCGAGAATGAAGAACAGTCTCCACCAACAGTAGGTCTGATAAGGCATCACCCACTGTCTCATTGGTCATGTCTACAATGTAGGCTAGTTTCTCAGCAGCAGCCACCGCTGTGTCACTCAGTCTGAGACAAAGGAGGGTCAGTGTAAATGTGTAGCCAGTCATGTATGTCCCAGCCTCGAGAATAAAGAACAGTCTCCACCAACAGTAGGACTGATAAGAACCTGATAAGTACCACATTGTAGGCCAGTCTCTCAGCAGCAGCCACCGCTGGGTCACTCAGTCTGAGACAAAGGAGGGTCAGTGTAAATGTGTAGCCAGTCATGTATGTCCCAGCCTCGAGAATAAAGAACAGTCTCCACCCACAGTAGGACTGATAAGAACATGATAAGTACCACAATGTAGGCCAGTCTCTCAGCAGCAGCCACCGCTGGGTCACTCAGTCTAAGACAAAGGAGGGTCAGTGTAAATGTGTAGCCAGTCATGTATGTCCCAACCTCGAGAATAAAGAACAGTCTCCACCAACAGTAGGACTGATAAGAACCTGATAAGTACCACATTGTAGGCCAGTCTCTCAGCAGCAGCCACCGCTGGGTCACTCAGTCTGAGACAAAGGAGGGTCAGTGTAAATGTGTAGCCAGTCATGTATGTCCCAACCTCGAGAATAAAGAACAGTCTCCACCAACAGTAGGACTGATAAGAACCTGATAAGTACCACATTGTAGGCCAGTCTCTCAGCAGCAGCCACCGCTGGGTCACTCAGTCTGAGACAAAGGAGGGTCAGTGTAAATGTGTAGCCAGTCATGTATGTCCCAGCCTCGAGAATAAAGAACAGTCTCCACCCACAGTAGGACTGATAAGAACATGATAAGTACCACAATGTAGGCCAGTCTCTCAGCAGCAGCCACCGCTGGGTCACTCAGTCTGAGACAAAGGAGGGTCAGTGTAAATGTGGAGCCAGTCATGTATGTCCCAGCCTCGAGAATGAAGAACAGTCTCCACTAACAGTAGGACTGATAAGTACCTGATAAGTACCACAATGTAGGCCAGGTTCTCAGCAGCAACCACCGCTGTGTCACTCAGTCTGAGACAAAGGAGGGTCAGTGTAAATGTGTAGCCAGTCATGTTTGTCCCAGCCTTGAGAATGAAGAACAGTCTCCACTAACAGTAGGACTGATAAGTACCACAATGTAGGCCAGGTTCTCAGCAGCAGCCACCGCTGTATCACTCAGTCTTAGACAAAGGTAAAGTGCAGGCATGTTTGATGGCCATTAATAGGCCTATAGAAGATTGCTTTTAAAATTCAGTGATAACTGAACAAAGGTGTTTCTTAACTCCATAATGTTTTGGCTAGTTAATGTATTTTTAATAACTAGTGAATGTGTCAATTATGATTTTATCCGTTCATTTTCAGGTTGTTTGTTATTCTATGGGCTGTTGGTTATTTTTAGTTTTGTTTTCTGTCTCCGGTGATCACAAACATATCATCACACGCAACTGCAAAGAGATTATAATCGTTTCCCCCGATCGCAAAGAACCATCAGTGTCCTTTACAATTGCAGCAAAAGGATTGTAGCCAATAAACTAAAAGTGATATTTTAACACAATTCTGGGTTTTATGTATTTTTTTTAAATTTTTTTTTGCTGAAAACCGGTAAAACCTACTTTTAATACTGACCCATTTTTATTAATAATCATGTGGTTTTTACATTTAACCAGTCCTGTAACTACCGTGGTTGCAGGCAAAACTGCACAGTGACCAATTTGTGTTTACTTACAGTTTTTACGGTGTTTTATTACAGTCCTAGATGGCTTAATTAACTCTAGGCATCTAAAATGAAAAAGCTTGACTTTGATAGCAATTATTTGTACTCACCCGGTATCTTTGGTGGCTTTTTTTATTTTCTGCTTTGCATTTTCACTGTAAACTACAGTGCCATGACCATTGGCTTCAAAGTACACCCCTATATCAAATTCCAGTGCCTTGTGATGAAGATGTTTTACTCCTGTTGGTACACAGGCCACTTGCAGTTTCTGCAACCAACATTGAAGATGGTAGTTACACTTGTTACAGTTACACTAAAAGTAAAATAAAAGTTAACTGCTAGGGCTAGGGATAATCTCTCTTGGTGGAACAATGAATGTTTGATCTCTTACTCAAGTGGACTAAAAGTTAAAAAATGGGTAACAAAAAGAATCTATTTTACAGGACAATGTTGTCATACGGCTGAAAGTTGTCTCTAGGATTGTCTCCCAAGATGTTTAATTGGCAAGCAATGATTGATAGGAGCTTTAATTTCATCATTTTTCTGATTATGAAACGATAATTACTGATAAGTCTACCCACAGTTTTTAAATTCTTTTTATTTTCTTCGAGGTGAAATGCAAAGGAAAGGCATTGGGGCCCAGCCATTTTAAAGAGCTCTCTTGTTATTTTGGAATTTTTAGAAAAACACTATACTGCATGACTGCTTTAAGTTGTTCCAATAAAAAATTTTTTGTTCAATAAATATTCCTCAATTGTTTCCCAGCCTCTAATGGGGTAGCAGCACTCTAATAAATATAAATCAAGTACTTAGAACCTAAATTCAAATTTGCAATAAAAATTTTTACTGGTGAATTTTGTGATGTTACGTACTGAAAATACAGTTATAATAAACAGAGCTTAAAAAAAATCTCACCAGCTTATCAGTGATGTACTCAGTAGAGCTGCCATTGGCGTAAGCTGTCTGCACCAGACCTATCTGTAAGTTGAGTCCTGCCTCTTCTGTCAGCTCCTTAAGGTAGCCTGCAACTAATGACAAAGGCAGATCTTAAAGGTTGTTTAAAATCTCTGTGATTATTAATCTGTTGCCTTGTTTTCTAATGAATTAAACTTCTTTTACTAACCTTATCTTCAATAGATTACAAAACCAACATTCAGCTTTGAATTTAGATTTTTTAATCAACAAATACTACTTTCTTTACTGTATCAAGCGCTCACAATTTAAAACACCATCGGGCGCTCAAGGAGGTTAACTCCAGGTTTTGAAAAAAGTACAAATACATTAAAAATAGACTTTATTTTTTTGAGTTTAGACAAAATTTTCTCTTGTTAAAAAAAATGTTATAATTGGAAAAAAAACTAATTTTAAGAACTGTTAGTTGTAAAAATACACAGGGTGTCCCACGAGAGGTGTCTCAAATTGATTACAGAAAAACGGCTTAACGTACAAGAATGAAATAAAATTATTTCCTTCTAAATAGACCCCAAGGAATAACGTAAAAATATTTTTAACTTTTTCCCAATACAGGGTGTGCCAAAAACTGAGGGTCTATTATATATCTAATATACAGGGTAGCTGAAAAGTAACTTGCACCCCCACTTAACTTTTCAATTATTTGAGATATTTGAAATCGGTTTGTGGCAACCTTCTTAGATATAAGGGGCTACAATAATTATGGTCAATTTTGAAAATTTTGCCCTTAGGGGTACCGGGGGTAGGGGGTAGCTCAAAATTTTCAAATAGCAGGTATAATCGAGTTTGGTATCATTTTACAGGTCTTGACGAAACATAAACATTGACATAAAGAAAACCAAAATCGGCTCACTAATAACAAAATGGCGCCCTAAAACGTTTTAAATCCAAATAACCATGAGGGTAGCAAAAAAATTAACTTGCACCCTCTTTAAACTTTAACTTTGTTAATATTTGAGATATTTGAAATCGGTTTGCGGCAACTTTTTTGGATATAAAGAGCTACAATAATTATGGTCAGTTTTGAAAATGTTGCTCTTTGGGTAGCAGGGGTAGGGGTTGGCTCAAAATTTTCAAATAGCAAGTATAGTCGAGTTTGGTATCATTTTGTAGGTCTTGACAAAACATAACAATTAACATAAAGAAAATAGAAATCGAACCATTATTTAAAAAATGGCAGTTAAAAATTACTTAAAATAACCATTGTCTCAAACATTTTTAGCTGCCATTTTGTTATTAATCGTCCGATTTCATTTTTCTTTATGTTATTTGTTATGTTTCGTCAAGACCTGTAGAATGATACCAAACTCGACTATACTTGCTATTTGAAAATTTTGAGCTACCCCTTACCCCCGCTACCCTTAAGGGAAAAATTTTCAAAACTGACCATAATTATTGTAGCCCTTCATTTCCAAACAAGTTTCCGCAAACCGATTTCAAATATCTCAAATAGTTAAAAAGTTAAAGAGGGTGCAAGTTAATTTTTTTGCCACCCTCATGGTTATTTGGATTTATATCGTTTTAGGGCGCCATTTTGTTATTAGTGAGCTGATTTTGGTTTTCTTTATGTTATTTGTTATGTTTCGTCAAGACCTGTAAAATGATACCAAACTCGACTATACTTGTCATTTGAAAATTTTGAGCTACCCCCTACCCCCGCTGCCTAAGGGCAAAATTTTCAAAATTGACCATAATTATTGTAGCCCCTCATATCTAAGAAGGCTGCCGTAAACCGCTTTCAAATATCTCAAATGGTTGAAAAGTTAAGTGGGGGTGCAAGTTACTTTTCAGCCCCCCTGTATATCTTTATATTATCTAATATTATATAATATTTTGTATTATACAATATTTTATCTATAATAGCTAACCCAATTACAGTAACATGTAGGCTTATTCACGTCTTAAAAGTCCCCTCCGGCTACTCCCCGAGGACGTCCAATTTTTTTATGTTAACATTTTAGAAGAGCTATTTCAAATCTTAAAACTCTAAAATGCTGTGGAATCTTCAATTAAAATTTAAGACGTGAACAGGATTTAAGATGTGTTAATTGAGGATTGGTTAGTTTATATGTTCGGGATTTGGCATTACTCATCTAAAATGTCGACACTTTAAGACTTAAAGCAGAAGCTAACAGGTATAATTTCAAGTCTAAACCATTTAGAATAAAAAGAATTAAGAACATAAACAATACTATCACACTATATTCGCTCATTGGAGTTAAGTTTAATTTAATACATAGCCATAATGTAAAACGGGGAAAAATAAATAAACAAGTAGGCCTACATGAAATTAAAACGAAACTAACAAATCAGGTAGGTATGTATTATATAGACTAGCTGTACCTGCGGGCTTTGCCCCGTTTAACTTCATAAGTATTCGCATGGCTCAATCACGTCCTCGTTGAAGTTCGTTCGCTACGCTCACTCACCTTTAGGTTGGAGCTCGTTCGCTGCGCTCACTTGCCTTCAGGTTAGCTCGTTCGCTACGCTAACTCACCTCCAGGTTGAAGTTCGTTCGCTACGCTCACTCACCTTTTGGTTGCAAATTAGCTGTTGTCATAAATTTAAAAAATAATAGTGCTGCACCCTGATGGTAATACTTGTAACTTTAATGCTATTGAACATCATAGAATAGAACCAACTTGTTTAATTGAAACAGCTGTTAAGATTCATTAATTCCTTTTAAATATGAAAAATCATAGGTTAACATGGGAAACTCCAGAGCCACTGGGGCGGAGCCAGAGAGTCCGATCAGAATAAAAACGACTTAGTTTTCCTATTTAATGCCTAAAGAATCAGTGTACCAAATTTCAGCCTCCTAGGTAAATGGGAAGTGGGAGAATTAGTGATGAGTGAGTGAGTGAGTGAGTGAGTGAGTGAGTGAGTGAGTCAGTGAAGGCTTTGCCTTTTATATATATAGATATGTAACTGTTATTAATATTTTTATTTAATGTAATTTGAACATGTCTATTCCTATGTAACAACTTGGTCAATGGCAATACATTTCTTATTCTTTTTTTATGCATTTGTATTAATATTTCATAGATAGGTACAGAGGGCGTCCGGCATGGCGTAGGCCTTTCCTCATTCTCATGTACACACGAAGGGTAGGCTTGCTCGGGTTTTTTGTTCTGAAGGCCCGTTAACCTGTATACATACACCATGGTGTAATGCACGGCGTTACCGCCCCCCATCGGTACGCCACTGTTATAGAGGTAAAATTATAATTAATTAATAGTTGCTGACTTGATAAATTATTAATGTAGACTTTATTAATGCATTAATGCATTTTCGATTTAGTGCTTATCAGTAAACATGAAGAAACTTCTGAAAGAAGTAAACTAGGGATGGACGGGTCCCGAAATTTCGGGAATTTTTCGGGAAAAAAATATTCCCGATTATCGGGACGGGATTACATTTGACTCGGGAATTTTTCGGGACGGGATTTGGTCAGATCGTCGGCGATTTTTCCGCTTCGCGAGTGCCGATAACGCCGTTATTGCGAGCGATAGGTCCGCGAACGCAGGAGACGAAGTCATTTCGACGATTACGCCGTGACCGCGGAGTCCTACCGACGACCGCGCCGTGACCGCGAGTCATACCGACGATCGCGCCGTGACCGCGGAGTCCTACCGACGATTGCGCCGTGACCGCGGAGTCCTACCGACGATCGCGCCGTGACCGCGGAGTCCTACCGACGATCGCGCCGTGACCGCGGAGTCCTACCGACGATCGCGCCGTGACCGCGGAGTCCTACCGACGATCGCGCTGTGACCGCGAGTCATACCGACGATCGAGCCGTGTTCGCGAGTCATACCGACGATAGCCCCGTGACCGCGGAGTCATACCAACGATCGCGCCGTGACCGCAAGTCATACCGACGATCGCGCCGTGACCGCGAGTCATACCGACGATTGCGCCGTGACCGCGAGTCATGGCGACGATCGCGCCGTGACCGTGGAGTCATACCGACGATAACCCCGTGACCGCGAGTCATGATGACGATCACGCCGTGACCGCGAGTCATGACGTGACCGCGAGTCATGACGACGATCGCGCAGTGACCGTGGAGTCATACCGACGATAACCCCGTGACCGCGGAGTCATACCGACGATCGCGCCGTGACCGCGGAGTCATACTGACGATCATGCCGTGATGGCGGAGTCATGCTGACGATCGAGCCGTGATCGCGAGTCATACCGACGATCATGCCGTGACTGCGAGTCATATCGACGATCATGCCGTGACCGCGAGTCATACCGACGATAACCCCGTGACCGCGGAGTCATACCGACGATCGCGCCGTGACCGCGAGTCATACCGACGATTGCGCCGTGACCGCGAGTCATACCGACGATCGCGTCGTGACCGCGAGTCATGACGACGATCGCGCAGTGACCGTGGAGTCATACCGACGACAACCCCGTGACCGCGGAGTCATACCGACATTTTTTACTAACTACTATTTTATCAATAACAAAGTCTTCAATCCAATTGTCTGGCTGTGAAACAACATACTTAATGTATATAGAAATATGTATAAACAAACCTATTTCAAATAGAAAGTAGAACATTTAAATTAAATTACAGCAAAATATTTTATGCGAGCTTCACTGGAAAATGTATAATGTATCACAGGCCTATGTTAAATAATGTAAACTGTGTATGTAATAGTGAGGTTGGTAAGCCTTAGGGGTGTGCGAAGCAGCAAAAAATTTTCGATTCGAAGCAACGATTCGATTCAAAAGATTTTCGATTCGATTCGATGCAACTCGATTCGAAGCAATACGGTATTTTTCTATTCATAATTGTCAATTGAGTGGATTAACAATAATTAAAATTTATCTCATTTGTGTAATACAAATTTTTGTTGATGTGGTATTAGGCCTATTCATACTTACATATGAATTTTAGGTGAAAAAATATTTATTTTCAATCATATGTATTAGAATAACTGCTGGAAATACCAGTGAGCTGCTTTACTTGCCTATTTCATAATTTTTACTTGGAATTGGCTCAACTGCAAGAAAGAAGAAAATATTTTTTTTATCAAGACACTCATTCTCATTTTAATAACTGTTTAAATAACTAAATAGGTACCGGTAGCTAAATTACAACAAATTTGAATGGAACTTAATATAAAAAGACCATTAAGAAATAAATTTACATATCACAAGTTTAGGGCCTGTGGACCGGCTTCAGGACTGCAAGCAAGAAGAAAATAAAAATAATATGTTTCCACCATGCAACATGTATCATTCATTCCCTGCCTCCTAACCTCCTTAGTATAATAACCTCACACTTACATTATTTGTTACATCATCATAAATAAAGAATTATTATTGGCATCAGTAGGCCTACAGCTTTACATAGGCATTATTTTTATAGGGCCTAAAATAGTAATAGGCTAGAAGCAACATGTCAAGTAGAGAACTCATTGAAGAAAAGATATTGTGTAAACTAATTTCCTATAAAACTCAAAAACAGTAAATAACATACAAACATTGTTTATGGTATAATTAATAAGGACTAAAAAATGCATATAATGTCATACAGTAGTATAGACCTACCGGTACTGCAAGAGATTAAAATCCTAAAACAACTGATTTTGATAGCTAATGAATGAAAAGAATTAAAAATCCATAAAATGAAGCTAAACAATATCACAACTAATTAGGTACCCGAAAAGTAACTCTTAAATAATATATAGAAGATTAAAATAATATTAAATCAAGAGACAAGAAAGTTAAATGCTATCTTCTAGTGCCCTTGGCAACACAGGTCAATGTTTTTAAACTACCCTCAATGTTTTTGGAACAGCAGGGCCTTTTTCTCTTAAGGAAGGGTAGTAGTATGTCAACAAAAACAATGAATCAGTCTCACCAGCCAGGCCCGGGCAACGATGTGTGAATTCAAGGTCATAGACCCTCCCCCTCCCCTCTTACACCACCCGGTTGCTACCCAGTTGCTTCAATTGCTGACAAAATGCAAGTGATGAAACAAGGAAGTAGAGACAAAGAAATATATTTCTTTATTCAAAAACACAAAACTGTTAGAGATTATTTTCAAAGAAATTAATTCAATGTAATTTGTGAGTTGTAAATATTGTATTGGATCTTAGAAATATATTTTTTTTAACACTATTTAACCAAGATACAGATCTGTTCACTATATCAGATATTTCTTTTGTTTATAATTTATTATGTAAAATACTAAATATATTTTTAATTAGGTATTGAATGAACAATAAATGATTATACTAATATGTCTGGATAAATAGTCTTTCTATTCTTTTGACTCTGTTTTCTTTGCACTGTTAGTGTTGCGTCACGGCTTTTGTCTTGTTACTCTTATCAGTAGACGACTAGACCTGGCTCTGGCTAGTGGCAGTGCGGCAATTGCTCTGTTGTGTCTTTATTCTTAAAGGTCGTGAGCCAACTTAATTTTTAATTCTCATTTGAACATTTTAATTCCTCTGTAATAGATATAATAATATAAGAGTGTTTCTTTGGAAATAAATTATTCTTTTTTTTCTTTTGCCCCAACAAAAATTCGGGGACGGGGACCGACAGACACCTAACAAAAATACCAAATGTATCAGTCTATAACATTGATCTTACTAGTTAAGTATTAAGTAACAATTTTTCAGACTTATTTTTAAAATGATTTTGGAGTAACCTACCTTGTTTTGGCTAGGTTTACAGTAGTAAAATATTTCACACACTGCTTACATCAAGACAAAAAACAAAACCTCTAATCATTTGCAATGTCAAAACAAAAAAATATAAAACAATTAAAGCTATATTTAATGCAAAGAATGTATTAAATAAGAACGCCTTCGTAAAGGAAACGCAACAGCAACGCGCTCCTGTATTGCGGGTATTGCATTGACTTTCTGCAGGCGTTTTTCGTATATGGATACTGACTCCCTCGTGAATCGATTCGTTTTTTGACCACCACTGAATCGAATCGCGATTCGATGCATCGAATCGAATCGAATCGAAATTTCGATGCATTTTCGATGCATCGCACACCCCTAGTAAGCCTACATACTGAGGATGGCGATCCTGTCTCCATCAAGCAGGTGGAAGGCACTGTTGTCGTCTATGAAGTAGTAGACTAGCCTGTCAGCATCTCCATCTACTGAGGCACATCTAGCAAACGATCTCAGAGGTACTCCAGTAGGGGGTGTCTGTGATGTCTTCACATGGTCTGCTCCACACTTTCAATCAAATTACAACTTAATTAATACATGAACTGTGCATATATAGTTGTGTCCACTAATCCGTCCATTATTAACGGAGGAGTAATGTTTCATAGAAATCGCCTTCATGTATTATACCGGGTGTCCCACGAAGGGGTTTAAACGTTTGATTTTATATTACGTGTCCATTCATGCACCGAACTGTTTTAAACTTTGCACAGTTTACAAAGTGTGTTCTAAAAATATTCTGGAAAAATTCAGGGTTGTCAGCAGGATCTATAAACGAAATTCACACATTTTTCCCGGTTTTCCCGGCTACAAAGTACGGAATTCCCGGCGTCTATTATACTTATAACAACGGCACAACACAAGTTACACTTATCAGTAAATTAAAAAAAGCAAGCCAAATTGCCCAAGGGACTACGTAAGCCCCGACCGATGAAACGGTGAACACTTCGTGACACATAATTAATTAGTGACGCACTGATGGTCGGGCGGGTAAGGGGTAGCGCGGTGGGTCATTATGGGTGCCATCTTGCCATCCACTCATAATACTATATTTGGCTAATAATTTGTTCAGAATTATCAGAGGTTATAAACTCTATTACCTTAAACATTAATTGATCAAAGCTAGTACAGTAGACTACTGTCGGGGAAATAAATATGTGCACTCGAGATTGAGCCTAAATGTCTCTGAGATGAATTATCCGATTTTATTGAAACAAAAATTAAATCTAAGCTGGTTTAAAAACATTTTACGTGGTAACAATTAAAAAAATTTCCGTTTGCCAGATCCTAAAAAGTAGGTACCGGTTTTTAAGAATCTCTGCACTATAACACTGAAGTTTAAAATTTAATTGTAAACAAACCACTGAGCCAATCTTTCTGAAATTTTATGGCTTATTGGTAGGTTTATTGTTAACATTTCTATGCATTTTAAAATTTTTACTCACAATAGTTTTTATGCTGCTGTTAATTTTTAAAACGTATGCTAACATTGTTAATAAGACGCTAACAATTTCGTTCAAAATACCATCGTGTTTGTCGTGACACAAGAAATAACACCAATATGACAGATTTACAATGCGAACAAAGGTGTTTTTTAAACAGATTTATATTTTTTGTAAACAACATTTTCTCCCGTGACTGGCGAATGTCAGTGTGGTCGCCAGGTTCACATCGGCAACGTCGCAGATTCGCACGCGCTCCCGCCCGGCTGGGAAATCGTAGGCCTACAACACCAGGTGGCCCGCTGCCAGTCGCGCGGGAAATTTTTGTTTACAAATATAAATCTGTTTAAAAAACACCTTTGTTCGCATTATAAATCTGTCATATTGGTGTTATTTCTTGTGTCACGACAAACACGATGGTATTTTGAACGAAATTTTTAGCGTCTTATTAACGATGTTAGCATACGTTTTAAAAATTAACAGCAGCATAAAAATTATTGTGAGTAAAAATTTTAAAATGCATCGAAATGTTAACAATAAACCTACCAATAAGCCATAAAAATTTCAGAAAGATTGGCTCAGTGGTTTGAGTACAATTAAATTTTAAACTTCAGTGTTAGTGCAGAGATTCTTAAAAACCGGTACTTTTTACAATCTTTCAACTATATAAATTTTTCTGGTAAACAGAAATTTTTTAATTGTTACCACGTAAAGTGTATTTAAACCAGCTTATATTTAATTTTTGATTCAACAAAATCGGAAACAAAATTAATCTCAGAGATATTTAGGCTCAAACTCGAGTGCACATATTTATTTCCCCGACAGTAGGTAGTCATTTGATCAGTTTCAAACTCAAATAAAGGCCACTCTTCTTACTTGTGTGTAATAATTGTTTAATAATGCTTATAAAAGGTTACTATAAAGTTTTACTACAGAGCATTCAATTCGAAACAAGCTGCACATCGATCAAAACGCGTGCCAATCAATGATGGATTATGAAAAGAAGTTGCTGAGGTTTGTGCCGATGTCAAGGTCAATTGACAAAAAGTAAACAAATGCCGAACATTTTGCGAACGGAACGGCTAGTAGACAGTAGTAGTACACAACAGCTGCGAGGTTAAGCCGAAACACGGTAGAGTTAATTTAATAAAAGAGTTTGTGCACAAATACGTTAAAATGTTACAAACTATTTTCAAATTATTATTATAACCTAAAAAAACCAATAAGATAAGATAAAAGTATAAACTTGATGCTATTCGAAGTCAATGGTAGAGGTAGGTCCTAACCTCACATTGTGCACAGCTATCTCAAAAGGCTGAGTTTAACGAGACAAATAATAACTTGTGTGGATTGTCTTAAATTTACCCATGTCCGAATGATGTATGTAAAAACAAATTCAATTATAATTACGGATTTTGGTAAATAATAAAGACAACACAGACGTTAAACATATACGTTTATTAGGTAGTTCTTAAAATCGGGAGACGGACAACGGACCATATCTTTGTTTGGGTTGATCCCCTGATTTATGGCCTGAGGGTAGTGGTCACCACCAGAGGAGGGATGGGGAATCGAGAATACCGAATCCCACCGTAGGCGTTAACTTTTTGTCAAAGATTTTGCTTAGAATGCGATTACTTCTTAACTATACATCTTTTGTTAGAATTTATAATTTTATGATCAGAACTATTTTCGATTAGGAAACCTTTATTCGATTTTTTCATTATCAGCAAGTTTGGTTGATTTGGTTACCACCTCTGCTACCACTTGTGGCATAATGGTGCCACATTTTGGTGACCTGGTCATGTGATTCAAGATCCAGACCAAATCGTTGTTGTTGGAAACGTTAATTGAACACATTTATTAATACAGAGGAGACAATTTACCGCAATTCACAGGCCTCAAGAGCCAGCTTTGATGATTGTTTGATTAATTAATGCATTTATATCTGAGAAATATGTACTTGGTTCAACATATGAAATATAACTAATATATAAGTTGACTGGACACAACGTGAACTAACATCTGAATAAATGACTGATAATTAAAGATGCTATGAATGATATAATGGATTTGCTGAGGTGATCTGAAATTACATATTATTAATTATTAAATATTAATTCTACGACACAATACCTCAAGGGGGCGTCCCCCCCATTTCCCACTGGACTTAGCCTTCCATTTCGGTTCACAGCAGACACACGACAGACGTTTTCCTCACTCGTCTTCCCGGTCTGCCCCCTGCGCATGCGCGAGCGGCGGTAGGGGTTGAGATTGGCGGGACATTCAAAGAGTGCTGTGTTGTGGAGATTGACTCCACAGTTATGATAGTTTAATTCTATAATAAAAAAAATTAAAAATTGAATTTTAGGCATTTGTAATTGTATTTTATGAACAGAACTATTTTTTTTATTAGTAAACCTTCATTCGATTGTTCATTATCAGCAAGTTTGGTTAGTTCGGTTAGGTTATGATAGTTAAATTAAATTTAGTTAAAATTTAACCTACAAACGATACGTTTTGACAGCGACGGTGATAGAGCTAACAATTTGCCGCGAACAAGTCGGCTATGCACGGTATGATGCGCAAGCGTTCGACACCAACCAGAACTGACAGGACAACCGAGCGTGATTAAGAGGATTACAGCCTCGGTCAAGTGCCTACACCCCTTAAAATCCATTAACTCTTAAAATTCACTCGGCACACATTGAAAATTGAGGTTGAAAATTAACATAGTTAAACATTTTGCAGAATAAACTTATACATGTAAGTTTGCAAAACAAAATAAATTTATGTCTGTTTAGTTATAACAAAAATAAAACTTAGATATGAACAAACAAATGACAATAATATATTTTGATAAACAACATTAGTTACATTAGGCCTACTAGAGACAGTATTTACATACGATACAGACTTTGTTTTCTAGTTTGGTATGCGTCATTACAAAGAAACGTAATATGTTCATCAGTTTTCTTGCAAATTATTTGCAATGCCATGCCAATACCAGCTGTCCTGACCTCTCGACATTCCTACAGTAGGCCTACATAGCTATGATGATAAAATTCTGCCCTTGTTTATATTGATATGCAAAAACACATACCAGAAGTTACAGTACATAGCTATGACATCACTCTGCCCTTGTTTATATTGATATGCATTAAACATGCCAGAAGTTAAGACAATCCATCTCCCCTTACACGACTTACATTCCAGGGAATGCCTAATCCATACCAACATGCCTAGCTTCTCCACATTCCTACAGTATAAAACTATGACTCAACTCCTGACCTTGTTTTTTTTAATTTGTTAGTCTTGTGTGAGATATAATTATAATAATTGAATAAGAATAAAAAAGGTTTTAAGATGTTTTCAGGCTTCCTGAACACCGGCTAGATTGCCGTTCAATGTTAGGAATATTTGTAGTTTTTGGAATGGGTTGGAAAAATAACTTGTAGGCCTACTACTACACATTTATTTTAAAGGCTTTTTGGCTATAATCGCTGAAAATAGGTACTGTATAACCAGATAATATCAGAACCAAATAAATCTTAACACTAAGTTGGATGGAAGTCAGTTGCAGTTCAGCACAATGTAGTCTGCTTCCGGCGACCGGCGGCGTCGGCTTCCCGCGTAGGCCTATTCATGGTGGTAGGTAGTGTACATCCAACTTACCTTCTGCTTCTTCCGAACCATCGCCACTCGCCAGTAAACCGTAAATTTTGGTTTACTATAAAATCAATCAAGAAAGTATTGCAAAACGGTTTATAACTATTAAAATTACTTGAAAAAAACTGTAATAACGATATCAATTAAATTCACGGAATAATACGATTTTCACGCATATTTCCCGGTTTTTTCACAGCTGTTAAAATTCACGCATAATTCCCGATTTTCCCGGAATTCCCGGCCGCTGACAACCCTGAAAATTTCAACTCCCTAACCTTAGTAGAAAAAAATGGCGGCATATTGAAAAATTTACCAATTTGTTTTCTATAACAACTACTTTCATGATTTATTATCTGATTTGCTTACTACGTTGCAGTTCTAACGCTCATTGTTGAAGAACAGCTGTTTGATTGTAAAATGAGTTTTAAATGAACAGGTCTTGCCCCATTTGACGGTACCAGAAATGAATCAAGCAATCTTTCAACAAGATGGTACACCACCTCATTTCGCAAATCCTGTCAAGCAATTACTAAATGGCAACCTTCATGGCCGTTGGATTGGTCGTGGAAGTGATTTTTTAGATTGGCCAACCCAATCACCTGATTTAACTGTTTGTGACTTTTTTTTATGGGGTTACTTAAAGGAACAAGTTTATACCCATAGCTTCAATAATGATGAGGAACTAAAACGATCAATAGAAGAGGAACTTCTCCGGATACCGCGGAGTTTCTTTGTAAGAGCTTACGAATCATTTGTCATTATTTGTTTGTTACGCGCTGTTATCAGTGTGTTGCTGTGGATGGGTTACAGTTTGAATAATTTTGGACATTAAGGTTTTTTATTAGGCTCATATTGCCCTAGAAAGTAACAATAAATAAACGGTATCCGCATTCTGACACATACTTTCTCCCATAAGTTTGTCAACAACCTTTATCATGTGTAAGCGGTGAGAGTAAATATACGGAAATGGGATTTGTGAGATTTTCTTCAGAATTTAAAGGACTATAACATACTAAATTTTTATCAAAATCGTTCAAGCCAATATTGGGAAAATATGATTTTCCGTTATTTTATGGGGTTTTTATGGGGAAATAACATAATTTACAATAACTTTTGAACCGTAATTTTTACAGAGATGGGATTTGTACCATTTTGTTCAGAATATAAAGGACTATAACATACTCAATTTTTATCAAAATCGTTCAGGCCATTTTTGGGAAAATCTTTTTTTTCCGTCATTTTATGGGGTTTTATAGGAAAATACCCATTAAAAATAAAAATTTCTAAGAAATGAGAAAAACTATCAAAATTGTAAGGATCATAACATACTATGTTAAATAAAAACGGATTTTTTTGTCTAAAATCCTATTTTTCGTTATTTTATGGGATTTTTATGGGAAAATAACATAATTTACTATAACTTTTGAACCGTAATTTTTACAGAAATGGGATTTGTACCATTTTGTTCAGAATTTAAAGGGCTACAACATACTAAATTTTTATCAAAATCGTTCGGGCCATTTTTGAGAAAATCCGATTTTTCCGGTTTTTTATGGGTTTTTATGGGAAAATCCCCATTAAAAATAAAAATTTCAAAAAAATGAAAAAAACGCCTGGAGATACCATGGATTAGAACCTACATACCAAATTTCATCGAAATCGGACCACAGGTGTAGTCTCTAGCTCTGTACACATCCAGACACACAGACACACAGACACACAGACACACAGACACACAGACACACACACACACACACAGACATCACTTCGAAAACCACTTTTTTGGGTCCAGGGGGACCCAAAACGAATATATCCACTCAAAACTCAAACTCGAAAATTTTGACAAAAACAATACTTTCTCCATATACTATGGTATAGGGGGAGAAAGTAAAATCTATATCTATATCTATATCTATACTATTATATAAAAATCTAATGGTATCTGTATGTGTATTACTAATAGGTGCAAAAACTACTAAACCAACTGGGCTTAAATTTTACAAAAATATACCTACCATACCAAGGACCATTATAGGATCATTCACATTTCGATACTGACCGTAGGCTTTGCCCCTTTGGCTTTAAAAGCTCTGAGGTGAACATTTTAAAAGTAAATATTGATAGGTCTCCATGGCTGCGATGAGAACACTTACAATGTTTGTTTACATTTGCTTTGACATTTAAATGTAAACAAGAAGAACTGCTTAACTGCATATTTCACAATTTCAGACAGCTGATACAAAGAAATGAAATGTAATATTTTCCATAACTATGAGGTAGGTTTATTTTAATCTAACCTTTTATCATGGATTATTTATTCTAAAACTATGTCAATGATTATAGAAAAAAAGATTCTATAACCGTTGCTGTATCAACTCCAGCTCTGCTTTGGATTTTTTAAAGCGTCTAAGTTATGAAAATAATGTTATTGATATGTTTTCATGGAAATAGTATGAAAAAAACAATACAGTATATAGATGTTTTGTATGAATTTGGAGGCTACTTTAAATAAATTCTAACTGCTTAACATGTGTTAGATTAACTTACCATAACTTGCACATCACATTGTTTTTTATATGCATATTTAGGTAAATTAAGTTATTGTGTTTTGCTAAACCTATGCTTAAATTAAACTAAAGAATATCATGAATAACTAATTGTACGTCGTTGATTTTTGTTTTCTAAAATCTGTTGTATATGTGTAACTATATTAAATTATCAAATGGTAATACAAAATACTCTTATTTTATCTTAACATAGCTTTCAGTTCACATTAATTTAATTGATAAATTTATTATTTGTGATTTGCCACGTCACTGATAAAATTAAACCAAGGAAAATAAAAAAACTAAGCAGTACACAGTGTTCTTTTGTTTCTAAAATCAATGCAATATCTGTTACTATGTTTGCTTAATGGTAAGTGTGAAAATGTAAAGACAATGGACATGGAACTGATTAAAAGAACTGGTTTGTATATTAAGTTGTTTGTTGATATTTTTGTAGAGTGAATCAGAGATGCAATGAAACATATACTGTATTTGCTACTACATTTTTTAGTCCTTGATGCTTTTATAATCATATTAGTTTTATCTGCTGTCTTTAATGCTAAATTATTTGTTTGACATTTTTTATAGTACCTATAGATATAGTTTCTTTAATATTTCATAAGACTGTATTGATAAGGCACAGCAATATTTCTAATGTTTATAACAGCTGACTTAATTTTGCTAATGATTTATTGTGAGTGAAGAAACTGAAGATGGAAGGATTTGTGATTTAATGTGAAATTAAAAAAATGTTCATTTAAATTTAATAAATAGTATTTTTGCAACTTCAAATTGGAATTTAAGATGTCAATAATAAATTAAAAGATATGTAATTGAGGGAGATGAAGGTAAATCATGTATGTCAAAGTTTTATTCGAAGATTTGGTCAGTTTTTTCTCATATTTTTTTATTTATTTTCAGTTTTTTCTACACAAGATTTAAAATTAATCAAAACCAAAATGGTGGTATCCACTACTTACCAGATTTAAAAGACATAACTTAAACGTTTCTATTAAGGCTATAAAAGTTGAATTTTGTTTCTGAAAGCGTTGGCGAATGTGTAACTATTATATGCAACAGATGTAAAAATTGAAATGTTTCTATTTTGTGTCCTCTTCCCGTTGCAAAGCACGGGTACAACAGCTAGTATTTTATAAAACCAAATATACCTTTTTTAATGTTTTTAGAGTATCGTTTTTCAATATGCCGCCATTTTGTTTCTACTAAGGTTAGGGAGTTGAAATTTTTCCAGAATATTTTTAAAACGTACTTTGTAAACTGTGTAAAGTTTAAAAAAGTTCGGTGCATGAATGGGCACGTAATATAAAATCAAACGTTTAAACCCCTTTGTAAATACTGTAATTACTAAATAACCTTTTTTTAGTCATTCGTAACAAATAAAATAAAATAAACTCACCAGATGGTTGAGTTTCCCCTTGGAGGTTGTGTCACTGTTGTGAATGTTGGTGTACAGACAGTCACTAAGATATCTCAACAACTCTGCCATCTTGAGAGCTCCTACACCATTGGCTCCGTCAAACTCCAGTTCTGGCTTGTAGTTACCTCTCCTGCATCCCTGTTACAGGATTAAGTTAAAAGAGATTAAGTTAAGTAAAAGAGAGTCACAACACGTTCTACTAGTAAATCCCTTTAATTTGATATGTATCATGTCATGACCTATGCTTTTATTTAGGATTTTCAACTTACTGCTTGTGGGCCGACTAGGAAAAGACAAGAAGTACTTTAGAAAGTACTATTTTAGGTCCAGTATTGATGTGTGAAGTTGCAGTCTTCTAACGCAATACGTGCAGGAAAAACAAAGGGGCAGGGACTTTTAGGAGACACGGACCTATTGCATAAAGGAATAAATCTATACTTATTTAATACGCAGGCAAATTTTTTGTGACAATTACTCCTCCGAAACTACTGAACCGATTGACATGTTTTTGGTGTCATTGGAAAGAGCGTAACGTGAAGTTGTGCAGGAAACTTTCTTTTTAGTAATATATTGAGAGATTGAGGCCCTGGAGCCCTTTAAAGTTTCGTATTTCTCCATAAGGATAACATGGGAGATAGTTTTTATTTACAGAAACATATGTTTGTTACTTGAAAATAGTCGAAGTCTACTACATAATAATTGTTGTGTATTATGACTCTTAATGTATAGAGAGAGAGAGAGAGGGGGAGAGAGAGAGAGAGAGAGAGAGAGAGAGAAATTCTTTATTTACAACAAATTATTTTGCAGCATTACATGAATCAAATAAAAATATCACATGGGTCACAATGACCTGTGCGTGATAGAGTCCTTATTTGGCTGCTTAAAATCAAAATAAAAGTTCTCCACACTTCACATAATAAAAATAAAAAAATTGAACAATAACTTAGTAAAATAAGCATAACAATTAATTTACTATACAATTATAATTATAAAAAAACTGTGAAACTTAACAACCATATGCAAATGTAACTCAATAGTAGGGAAGCTCATTGTTTGCATTACATCCAATACACATTAACTATTTTCCTTCGATTCCCAATTTTACTGAGGCGTGGATTCCGTCAAGTAAGAGTGCTGTAGAAAGTGCAATAGATAGTCCAGTTATCAGTTGTATACCTACTACATTTCAATCAAGGATTGTGTACCTTAAAGTTCACCCATAATGGATCTTACTACTTTATTTTAATGCTGGGAATAGTAACATTTAGTGGAGAATAAGTTACCATGATTTAGAAAACTTTACTATAATAATTTATGTATTTAAATCACAAATCTTTGACATTATTAATTCATTTGAAACTAAACAGCTGATCGACAAATCAAACAAATCATCTACTTCATGTGAATAATGTTATTACACAAACATAGTTTTTTTTTTACCAATATCTTGATTCTTTTTTACTTGTGTACTTACTTGTTTGTTACTTGTTACTTGGGTGTATTTTGAGTTTGCAGTTATGAAAGCACCAAGCCAAGTAACTTTTATCTAATTTTCTTTATAAACTAACAGTATTAATTAATTACTACATGAACTTGACAAGTCAGGTAATTATAATTGTCAGTATACCAAGGGGAAGAAGAGTAGGTCCTTGAAAACAGACGAAGGCGGAGACACCCATCTAGAAAATCCAACTGAGTTTTTAAATATAGAGGTCAGTGGATTGCCAAGACACAGATTAGACTAATAAAAGGGGGCAATGGTTTTATTGATGAGGAATATTAATACATCAAAAAGGGCCTTATTAATGGCACAAGGCTTCATGTGATCAGAATGGTTAACAACTTAATAGAATGTAAAGTCTTAACTGGAACAAGTGAGTGGGGACGTATTTTGATTTCGAGGATAAAAATTTACCCGTCTGAAACAAACTTAGGCCTACCTTTTAAAATGGAAAGATGCTAATTTCTGTTACCTTTGGCATTTGCAGCGCTGTTCTTACCCAGACCAATTTCAGTCATGAGCAACTATATATTATATGTTGTTTTAAGTAAGGCTACATCTTTTAATAGGATACGCATATTCGTTATGGAAAACTCTGACCAGGGTAATCTTCCTGAAGGTAACTTTAAGGCTAAAATTGTAGAATTCGTGGAAGTGCTTTTGTGATAAAAATATTGTTTTTCAGTGTTTATTTTTAAAAGTGTGTTTTCTTCAAGCAGCATTTTTATGACCCTCAAAATATGCTACATAGGCCTATTGGTTTTATATAATAAAATGTTTTGTTAAATGTGTTTTAAAAATCTTTAAAAAATAACTACCCTATAACCTTGCTCGCTGCCTATAACATACTTGAACTTTAACTCTTATTAATTTACTAAATGTAATACACATACAGCTAGAAAATGGCTGGACTGCTTCCCTTCCAAGGCTTTATTATTACTGTTTAATTTTCGTCGTCGAGTCAATATATAATAGCCTACAATAAATTTGTTTTCTAAATTCATAAGTTATTTTGCGGGGCATTGAGCCGCACAGGTTCACTTGTACTTATTTAATACGCAAGTAGGTTTTTTCTTTTTGTGACAATTACTCCTCCGAAACTACTGAACCGATTGAAGTAATTAGAGAGTGAGGCCCTGGGGCCCTTTTAAGTTTTGTATTTCTCCATAAGATTAACATGGGAAACAAACATTGTTATGAAAATCCAGCTGTAGTCAGAAATTAAAAGTGAGAAGAAGAGCATATGTTAATCGTAAAATTGTGACAGAGAGGTTATGCAGAAAATCAGGAAGTTATAATCGTTATTTGGTAGGGATGGACGGGTCCTGAAATTTCGGGAATTTTTCGGGAAAAAAATATTCCCGATTATCGGGACGGGATTACATTTGACTCGGGAATTTTTCGGTACGGGATTTGGTCCGATCGTCGGCGATTTTTCCGCTTCGCGAGTGTCGATAACGCCGTTATTGCGAGCGATAGGTCCGCGAACGCAGGAGACGAAGTCATTTCGACGATCGCACCGTGACCTGTGAATGAGAATGTGATCAAAGTAGTGCCCGGCAACTTCAACTTCTGTGAGTTGCTAAAGCAGAGCAAAAGTGATAGGCCAAGTGTGGAAGTGAATAAAGCTAGTTATGTACCACAATTGTTAAATTTAGAGGTAGATTCTGCAATCCAAAACGATACCATTAATTTTTTAGTAGATCAAGCAGCCCCCATTGTAAAAATAACCTTAGAATAAACAATTTATGTATTTTTCATCAAAACATTAGAGGGTTGCAATCATCCAATCCCCAACTAAGTGTTTTGAGCAAGCTTTGCCTATATGCTGATGATGCAAATTTAAAAATAGCCGCAGAAACGTATGCTGAACTTGAAGCCAAGGCCAATTCTGATATATTATTACTTAAAAGTTTTTTTAACTCAAATAATTTGCGTTTGAACACAGATAAAACTAATTTTATGTGCTTTCAAGCAGGGAAAACTAAATTGCAAAATCTGCCAAAAATTGTAGTTAATAACAACACAATTCAAAATAAAGAACACATCAAATTCTTAGGATTAGAAATTGATGAAAATTTGAAGTGGAACCATCATATTGACAAGTTACTTTCTAAAATTTCATCTGGCCTATATGCGTTAACAAGATTAAAACCCCTATGTGATAAGGAAACATTAAAAATTATATATTTTTCATACATACATTCAATCATATCATTTGGAGTTTCACTTTATGGTGCAACAAAGAAGAAAAAACTAAAATCAATTCTAAAAAAAACAAAAAAAAAGCTATTAGAATTTTATGCAATTTAAAACGTAGAACTTCAGTCAAAGAACATTTCAAAACTGAAAATATTATGACTGTTTATGGAATGTATGTCTATGAAACAGTATTATCAGTAAAAGACAGATTTGATGAATTACAACTTATTGGAGACTACCACAATTACTTTACTAGTAATCGAGAGAATCTGGCCACTAGCTCTCATACTCTGCAACTTTTCACGAAAACACCTAAGTATGCCGGTTCAAAATTTTATAATAAACTTCCTAAAGAAATCAAATTGGAAACCTCAAAAAATAAATTTAAATCAAAATTGAAAAAGTTTCTTATCAACAAGGCTATGTACTCCTTTGAAGAGTTTTAGTTCCATAAGTTATATTGCTTTATTTCATAAGTTGAAACTTTTGGTTTTAAAATAATTTTATCTATTATTTTAATTTTGATATTTTCATGTTTAAACTTTTATATTGCACTGCTTGTTTTACTTTATTTGAGCTGAAAGAATGTTCATATGGATGGTATGTTGTTACGCCATGCTTGATAGTTATGAGTTTTAGTTAAGTTAGATTTGTTAAATTACTCTTGACGCCATTCCTGTATCTATGTATTGTACTTTAATGAATAAAGTTATATGAAATGAAATGAAATGACCGCGAGTCAAAACGATAGTCACGCCGTGTCCGCGGAGTCACAACGACGATCGCGCCGTGACCGCGAAGTCCTACCGACAATCGCGCTGTGACCGCGGAGTCCTACCGACGATCGCGCCGTGACCGCGAAGTCCTACCGACGATCGCGCCGTGACCGCGAAGTCCTACCGACGATCGCGCTGTGACCACGAGTCACACCGACGATCACGCCGTGTCCGCGGAGTCATAACGACGATCGCGCCGTGACCGCGAAGTCCTACCGACGATCGCGCTGTGATCACGAGTCATACCGACGATCACGCCGTGACCGCGAGTCATACCGACGATCGCGCCGTTACCGCGGAGTCATACCGACGATCGCGCCGTGACCGCGAGTCATACCGACGATCGAGCCGTGATCGCGAGTAATACCGACGATCATGCCATGACCGCGAGTCATACCGACGATCGAGCCGTGATCGCGAGTCATACCGACGATCATGCCATGACCGCGAGTCATACCGACGATAACCCCGTGATCGCGGAGTCATACCGACGATCGCGCCGTGACCGCGAGTCATACCGACGATCGCGCCGTGATCGCGAGTAATGACGACGATCGTGCCGTGACCGTGAGTCATACAGGCGATCACCTCGTGACCCGCGAGTCACAAGTTACTATAGGTATCTGTAAATTGTTACCCATTTTTTGGTTTTTATCGATTAGTGCCACAAATGGTAAAAATTGATTTCATATGTCTTTTTTGGTAACTGCAATACAGTACTTTCTTTTTATGCACAGAAAAAAATCCCGTCCCGCCCCGTCCCGAAAATCGGGAAGGAAATTAAAATCCCGTCCGTCCCGTCCCGAACTAAAAATTCAATCCCGTCCATCCCTATTATTTGGTGCTATTAACATAAAGACTGAAATTTGTAAACGTACTGGCGACAATGGGTGATACCAACCACGGTGATACCATTCAGACTACATTATCATTGACAAAGACCAACATGGACAACCTATTGTGGATATAAGTGGGAAACAATTGTATAATACACTAAAAGCCAGATCAGCTTTTGAAAAATCTTTGAGTTGACTCTTTTATTTTAAGTCATCAGAATTTAGGACTTATATTTGTTTGTAAATAAGTTATTTGTTTTTAAATAACTCCTTTACTTCTTTGCGATTGCTCGATTTCGAGCAACATGTACACTAGTAAAATTTATAATGTGAGAGCTCCTACACCATTGGCTCCGACAAACTCCAGCTCTGGCATGTAGTTTCCTTTCCTACATCCCTGTTACAGAATTAAGAGTGTCAAAAAGATATCTCAACAAATCCACCATCTTGAGAGCTCCTACACCATTGGCTCCGTCATACTCCAGCTCTGGCATGTATTTTTTCTTTCCTACATCCCTGTTACATGATTATGAGAGTCACTGAGATATCTCAACAAATCCACCATCTTCAGAGCTCCTACACCATTGGCTCCGTCAAACTCCAGCTCTGGCATGTAGTTTCCTTTCCTACATCCTTGTTACAGGATTAAGAGAGTCACAAAGATATCTCAACAAATCCACCATCTTCAGAGCTCCTACACCATTGGCTCCGTCATACGCCAGCTCTGGCATGTAATTTTTCTTTCCTACATCCCTGTTACATGATTATGAGAGTCACAAAGATAAAGAGAGTCACTAAGATATCTCAACAAATCCACCATCTTCAGAGCTCCTACACCATTGGCTCCGTCATACGCCAGCTCTGGCATGTAATTTTTCTTTCCTACATCCCTGTTACATGATTATGAGAGTCACAAAGATAAAGAGAGTCACTAAGATATCTCAACAAATCCACCATCTTCAGAGCTCCTACACCATTGGCTCTGTCAAACTCCAGCTCTGGCATGTCGTTTCCTTTCCTACATCCTTGTTACAGGATTAAGAGAGTCACAAAGATATCTCAACAAATCCATCATCTTCAGAGCTCCTACACCATTGGCTATGTCAAACTCCAGCTCTGGCATGTAATTTCCTTTCCTACATCCTTTTTACAGGATTAAGAGAGTCACAAAGATAAAGAGAGTCACAAAGATATCTCAACAAATCCACTATCTTCAGGGCTCCTACACCATTGGCCATGTCAAACTCCAGCTCTGGAATGTAGTTTCCTCTCGTACATCCCTGTTACAGGATTATGTTTGTGTACAGTAACTAAGATATCTTAACAACTCTGCCATCCTAAGACCTCCTACAGCATTGGCTCTGGTAATATTCAGATCTGGCTGGTAGTTTCCACTCCTACATCCCTGTTACAGGATTACGTTTGTGTCACTAGGATATTTGCTATCCTATAGAGCTCACTGAAACTTTTTACTTAAAACATACCTTATAAGTTTTAATCTTTTACACGAACAGAAATTGTAAGTAACCCAATCTTTATCTTACCTCAGCTCTGAGAGCCTTGAAGGCAACAGCAAGTTTGTCAAAGTAGCCCTCATGTGTAGGCCTGCCGTAAGAACCTCCAGTGTTATGACATGTAACCAGATAATGCAACATAGGAGTAGTTACAACTCCATAATCTGTTACCACCCCTCCTAAGGCCTCCACCCCTTCAACAACTATGTCCGACAGACTCTTACTGCTTGGTCTGAACAAACAAACACAATGTACAAAGATGAATCTTTGTTACTAGTAAACTTTCAAAACTAGTAAAACATTAAGTAAATAATGTGTTAGGCTTATCTTAATAATTAGTAGATCTAGAGTTCTTAATATTTCTACTAGTTTTTTATAAATCTATAGGGTTAATGGATTTGTCAACCAGAAGAAGAGGTTAATTTATTAAAACCAATAGAAAATTCAAAAGAAAAAAATTGAGACTCTAGATATGTAATATTCTAAAAAAGTATACCGGTAAGCCATAAGGACAAATTTAGTCTAATAATAATGTTGATTTGATTAATAGGCCAATATAGTGATGTGTAAAAATTTAATATGTATAGAGTAGGGATAGGACTAAAAATGGAAATGTAACATTTTGAAACACAAACGCCGAAAGATATTATTTGTTTATCTTACCTTGTATCCCTGCCAATAAATATTGAAGCAGTCTTATCCATATCAATTTGAAACTTAATAATAATGTTTTTCAGGTTTGTTTCAAGTTGGCTGTCTTCTGCATTTGCAAGCTCAGTCGCAATAACTTCCCACTCCTGCTGCAGCATCTCACCATGAGGATCAACCAACTTCACTCCGTTATCAGACTCTGGGTTGTGAGATGCCGTTATCATCACACCAATGGCTGCGGACTTTACCCGAGACCTAATGACTGCCAACAGTCCCATCCTGAACATTACATGTTTCAAGTCTTCCGCTCTGAAAATAAAAGTCATCTTTTAATATTGGTACATGATGACTGATGAAACTAAAGACTCATGAGGATAAAGAATTATTTACAACTTAAGGCCGGCGCACACAGAGACGGACGGACGGACTAAGATTCCCTCCCCATGTCGTCAAATTTGGAAACGCAACCAGGAATCCGTCCATCTGCTGGCGTCCACTTGAGTTCGCGGACAGATTTTTTGGAATCTCCTCTAAGGCAAATTTTAAAAATCCTCCTGTAGACTTCCTGTAGACTGCTACGCCTGCGCAAAGAGGTTTTTTCAAGGTTACTTTTCTGCAACGCCACTAGGTGCGCTATGATTTTCTTAATTAGGGTGTCTAGCCAACCCGGACACCGGGAATTGTACGTAATTTTGATGACCGGGAAAGAATTTGTGAATATTTTTTAAAACCACAGACCAATATTACGACGTGGCCTTTGAGGCATGCTCAAAACAAATATAGCAAAACTGTTACTTCCATTGATAAACTGTTACATTCCAACTTTAACCTAGAATGAAAGTAAACATTGAAATGTAAACAAAACAGTTACAAACAATTAACATATGTTTATCTTATTTAAGTTATTGAAGTTACAAAGTGAGGGAAAGTGAGCTTCGCTCAATTATAGTACAGTAAAATAAACTATAATAATGATACTAATAAAATAATAACTACATTGAATAAATTTTACCAATCAGTATGCTATAGGCCTATGCCTGCCATTGTATTTTGTAGCAAATGATTCATAAAAAAGTCATTGATATGACTTAAATATTAGGCCTATATCTGATACTGAAAAGTCGGATGATACAAGTTGTTCCAGATGCTTTAACGATGTACCATTTGAAGAAATAAATGGATTTGTCACTTGTGCATATGACAAAAAATGTTGGATAGCTTATGTTTTGTCTAAAAACGACACTGAAAAAGAACTTTCTCCATCCTCATGGACCACCTCCTTCTTTTGCATATCCCAGAAGACTAGATGTATTAACAGTGCCACATAACTTTATTAATGCTGTGTTAATCCAACCACGCCAACTGGTAGGACATACAAATTATCTGCCGACAAGATGTCCAAAGCTTCCCAAATTTTATCAAAGAAGAAGCAAGCATTATATGCATAAAACCATTAGGCCTACATCCTGGTTTCAAGACAGTATCTTGTGATCACATCAGTTTACTAGATGATATTTTTTATTGTAAATAAATTGAACACTGAAATATGATCATCTTAAATATAGGATATAATATTATTGTAAATAAATATTTTATAAATAAACAACATTAAATTGGTTATTTTAAAGAGATAGCCTGAAATGAAAAAGACATTGCTGTATTCAAAGAACATAACAATTAATTTCATGATTATAATGTGGTGGTAAGAGTATCAATGACTTTTTTATGAATCATTTTCTACAAAATACAATGGCAGGCATAGGCCTTAGCTTACTGATTGGTAAAATGTATTCAATGTACCTAGTTATTATTATTATTATTTTATTAGTATCATTATTATAGTTTATTTTACTGTACTATAATACAGATCTTCCTTTATAATTATGTATTTTCACAATAAATTTTTCTTTGCTCAAACCTATTAAGATTTCAGTACTATGATACGTCATGCATCTATAGTCAATAAAAACTTGTGTTCATTTTACCTGTGTTAACTACACACAGTAACTTAATGTTTTTTTTTAATATGATCCCATAGGAGTACCATAGTGAAATTGTGCACATGCACAATAAGAAGTACAAAAAACATATTTTTTCCGCAAAAAAAATTAAACATTTCAATTTTAAGATTTTTCAAAAAAACTTTTTTTGGATTTTGGAAAAAATGCATTACCAAGCTAATATAGTCAAGTGACATATCAAATTGCAGCTCTTGAAATTCTAAAGAGAATGGTGAAAGTTTGAACTCTCTATGTTGAATGGTTTTGTAGTTAGAGGTATTTAAAGATTTCCAAGCACGTCAAAAATCGGCCGATTTTTAGATTTTCAAAAATTTATAGGCTGCACTTTACTTGACGTCCTACACTCATTTGATTGTTTTTTTCTATTCGATATTTTCATTTGATTGTTTCATTCGATATATCGTTTGGTTAGTTAGGTTAGGTTAACCTTACCTAACTAACCAAACGATATATCAAATGAAGCAATCGATTAATCGATATATCGATCGATATTTTCATTCGAATGAGTGTAGGACGTCAAGTAAAGTGCAGCCAATTTATAACTCAGAAACAAAAAGTCAAAAAAATCTAAAACTTGGTATTTTTCATATTCTCTAATAGTATAACTTATAAAAAAAATATCATTGAATTCTGTGATTTCAAGTTCCAGACCATTGGTTGATTTCATATGGAATGACCCACCAGCCTTATGCATTAGTGTGATATAACCACTTTTCAGCGCCTCAGGAAACACACCTCTCTAACGATTCATTGAAAAGTGTTTGGAGGGGCTCAGCAAGAAGGATATGGCAGTAATGAAGAACTGAAGGAAGAATGTTGTCACCGACAGCTCCCTTCTTGATAGCCAAGCGCTCCAACTTGATCAGGTTGATCTCCTCTTTGCTAAATCTTACAATTCTGATGGAGTTCAAGACTGGATAGCCATGAGTAGGCCTACTAGAGGAGCGTGAAGACACGTAGTATACTAAACTGAAGAAAGTGGCAAAAAGATTACAAATTTCTCTTTGAGATCCTTGGCTTTTTGGGAAGGTATATCAGATGTTTTCAACTGTGCTTTGGCGACTCCCCAAAAAGTTGTAAAGTTTGAGGATATGTTTGCTTCTGCCAATAACTCACCAATAAATAGTGGTTGAGTAGATGAGAACTTATACCAAGACGTGTTATGTGAGCTAGTAAATTATAAATGTATTAACTTTGTAAAGATAACATATGGAGGCAGATTGTCATCTTGAAATATAACAAGCTACTGCCTGACTTACTTGGTTCGAAACCCTGCAGTCCCATACTCAATATCATCAGAGGACTTCGGATATTTGTTCATTCCTATAAAATTACAGTTATTGAATAAAGTCATTTTTCAAATTACTGTTGATCACTTGAGAGGGTTGAGCTAGATGTCTAACACATTCCTTGGTAGAAACACTTTCAACTTTCACTTTTTACTACGTAAGACTACGACAACGTTTACTTTTACTCAATGGGTTTGGTTTATCTAACCTACAAAAATAAATCAACATCAACAAACGAAACAAAACAACAAAAAATTACATCGCATGAAACAGGTGGGCAATATTTCCCTGGTTTGATGATGCAGCATGTAGCTCTGACGTCAACTACAATTCCTTTGATTATTTTTTTCATAAATGTTGTATTTTAGTATTCTGTCTCACAACTGATTTAATTAATTCACAGGCAGGGAACGTTTGACGAAATTTCGGGTAGAGAGAGGAAATTAGATTTTATAATGCGTAATTGTCGTCTCACCTGAAATTAGGTCACAGCTTAAAATTTGTCCTGATAGCTACAATGAGATAGTCCAGGACTCTACCGTGTTCATTAATTAATTATTGTTTCAAGTTTATTGGCACAGAATATTAATTTCAACAATGCTAACAATGTTTAGCTTTACTTTTAACAAGTGCTCATCATAGCCACTCGAAATATATGTGAAGTTAAATTTGGAATTTTGAATAAATTAACGTGAAACGTGAATGCGGATAAACCTAATTAATTTGAAACTTAAATAAGATGGCAAGTCATGACGTCATCGTTGATTCGATTGATTCGGGAAGTCGGTATTTTGCAACATAGTCACTTCGATATTTGATCATTATTCTCGTTTCTGTATCTATGAATCTAGTCACAGTAGAACAACCTTTATATACATATGGAACGGTCTACAATACCGCTCATATGTAAATCTTAATTGTATTGACTTTATTTTACTGATGTTTGTTCAACAATTCAGGCCATTCAAGCTATAAAAATGTATTTAAGTTTAGTTCTCATTGTTTACCCCTAGTATATTAATTTATATAGTTACTAGCTGTAACCGCGGGCTTTGCCCCGTTTAACTTCACAAGTGAGCTCGTTCGCATGGCTCGTCCTGGTTGAAGTTCGTTCGCTACGCTCACTCACCTTTTAGGTTGGAGCTCGTTCGCTACGCTAACTCGCTTCCATGGTTTTTTAACTACACATTAAGCCGTGCTGACATTTCACTAATACAGTATGTAAATTAAGATTTGGCCATATACAATCCTATGAGACTATTCCAAATGAAAAAGAGGGAATCTCTATATACTGCACCAGGACATCATGAAACAATATAGAACACATCATTACAGAATGCCAAGCGTACAATAGAATAAGACAATGCTAGCTATGGCCACCATTACAAAATTTTGTTAAAGAAATAGAAATCCAACTTTGATATATTAAATAGCCCAACAAGACATAAAAGGAAAAATTTCTTAACTAGCATGCTGCTAACATTTTTAAAAAACTCGGGAAATTTTTACTGAGGAAGTAGTGTGGCTACATGTTTGGTTTTTTAAACCAAGCCAGCTTTTAAAAAAGCAAACTAGAAGAAGAAGATAATCAGGTTGACGTCATTCTTTATTATTGTTGTCAGGTTGTCAATTATTGTCATGTTGTCTAGTCGGCTGCGGCTCGCTCGCACGAATCGAACTGTCAAATCAATAAATTAAATTTTGCCTGTCTAGAGTGAATGTTTGTTTATTTTTAAAATTACAGTTAGTTTAATAACTTATTTGTTTTCCTTTCGTCGTTGTTGCTTGTAAGTAAGTGTAAATATTTGTATTTAATTTTATTTTACCCTATTTTACTAGGCCTAAATACATCCAATTATTATGTTGTATTGTTTTTAGCCAGTTACGTCCGTTTTTATCAATTCCGTTTTTATCAATGGTTATGCTTTGTTAGTAAAACCTCAGAGTAAACATAAGTTAATTATGTAATATTACTCTGAGGTAAAAATCTGCCTAAGTTTTATAAATACAAATTAAAAATCGTTCATGCTCTTTCTGACTGCACTTTAGTTTACGTCCTAGGGGTACATTTACTCACATACTTACTGCAGTTTGGTTAAGGTTAGGTTTAGTTTGGAACAGTTTCATTTTATAATCAGCTGGGAGTTAATGTATAATGTAGCCTATACTAGTAAATGTAGGACATAACTTAAACCATAGACAAATAGATAGGCCTAGACAGTCAAAGGAAGGTTCCAGCGCCCACCGCTAGGGTTTGCCGTGTAGTTACGACGCACACCGCTGCAGGCGGGGAGCGCAGGAGCCGTATGCGACCAGCAGACGCTGCAGCGGTGTGCGCTGTATCTACACGGCAAACCTAGGGTAGACGCCAGAACTTCTGCTAACCACAGCACAGCTGATGGTCTATATTTATTCTATTTGTCTATGCTTAAACTAAAGTGCAACCTTAAAAGGCCGGGTTTACACGATGCCAGTAGGCGAGACAATTGTCTTAGCCAATTGCCGTCACGTGGTTGCGGAATTGTCGTAGGCCAGGCAAGTTGAACAAGATCCTTTTCACATGTGGCCAACACTTTTCCAGGCATTTTACAATAAACTAGGGTAGGCTACTATTGCCAAAAGACAAGACAGCGCTATTGGCTTACATTGTTTACACGGCGCCAATTGTCACGACAACTGGGTTTTCGAGGGGTGGGGGCCTCACTGGGCCCACCTCATTGTCCTCAGTCTTCTCCCGGAGGCAACTGAATTTCGGGTCAATTGTGAGGGCAGTTGGCAAGGCAATTGGCCTGAAGTGTTTACACAAAGCCAATAATTTTAAGCCAAAGTCAGTTGTCTTCTGGCAATTGTCTCACCATCTGGCATCGTGTAAACTCGGCTTTAAGAGTCCTCTATTGCTTTTATAGTGTACAAATTGTTTGGGCGAGTGTTATTTTTCCCAAATACAATTTTATCCCCTCTCGCATAACCCTACAAAGCATAATTTAAGATGGTAAAAGTTTAAATTGTGTCTCTATAAGCACACAGCTTCCCAGACAATTTTATTTTACTTTTTTTTGTACAAGTTATACAGATGAACTGAATTGTTAATTCCATTTCATATAGATAAGCTAGAAATGAAGAATGATTCGTACTCCACATCGTTAGATGATGTAACATTAAAGTATGCTGCTGAAGTGTTAAAAGATGATTTTTCTACGAGAGAAACTCATATTAATGAAATTAGAGAATGGTTAAACACTCAGCCCCAGCTCCATGGTAAAACAGGCAAGTAAGCCTATGATACTATGATAGGTGTAGTCAAAACTAGCCAATTCTCAGTATACACAGACACAGTATACAGTTTTACAGTTAATTTATGACAGAGAAAGGGGATTCGGACAATTTGGATGATACTTTCTTATTGGGACAGCAGACACCTTATTCATTTAGGTTATAATTAAAGTCTTTGAGTAACCTAGGCTATAACCTTAATTTCAACCACCATATGAGTGATCAGCTTAAGACTTTATCTCAATACACCTTAGATTTGACCACCATAAAGTTCAGTAGTTGAGTAATTTTTCACCACAGTCTTTACTGCAACAATGAGTTAACTGTCAGCTGACTGTTTCAAGTAATCCTTTTTGATTTTGTCCAACGTAAGCCTTTGAAGCAGACACTCAAACTAAGTTTTTTGTTGTAGGCTAAGATTAAAATAGGTACAATAGTATAGTATAGGCCTGCATCAATTCTACCTATACTGTATTTTTTTTACTTTATCCTACATATTTCAATGTACCGGTATTTCAGATGGTGTTACAATAGTCCGGTTTTTAAGAGGATGTAAATTTGACATTGAAAAAACAAAGAAAAAGTTAAAATCATATTACCAGCTGAGAGGTTCAACCCCTGAATGGTTCTCAGACAGAGATCCTACATTGCCTGCTCTACAGGAGTTACTTAGCCTAGGGTAAGTTAAAAATATATTTGATCTTTTAACAATAAGAAAAGCCCACATGCTACGAGTAGGGATTACATCCATGCCTTATGGGGGAAATCATGCCAAGAAACACTGTCATTAGGAAGGGAAGCACAAAGTCCCAGTCCCATGTATATATGTAAGTTAATCCTTAGCACTCGGTTGGCCAATCATTAATGTTGAAGGCTACTGTAAGTAATTAAGACGGAATAATTTAAACTCCACCTCTCTCCCGCTCATGGGGCCAGTAAGTTACCATAGGCCATCCTTTCTGTGTATTTGCTCGGTAGCCATCATGGCGGCATCTCCCAGCTGACTCGGAATTACATTACTATCCCTCAGTGGCGTATCCAGGTTCGGATCCCTGGAGCAAAAATTGCTTAAACACCCCCTTCATACTTACTTCATACTTCTTCCCTTCATCTTTGACCAGTGATACTGGATAGATGGCGTCAATAATAATTTTAAAACTAATTGTTAAACTAATATTTAAAACTGTACATTAAACACATTTTGGGTCATATGTTGGCGGCAGATCTTTGCAGAGCTAGGCCTTAGATATTTTGGGTCTCTGCTTGATAAAACTCCTCAATGGACTAGAAAGGATTTTTTCATCACTTCTCACCGAAAGTAACTATTTTCGATAACAGCTGACATCAATGAAAGTAGCCGTTTCCCAAGCTCTAATTTAGGGCGAGGGAAAATCGATCAGCTGATAAATTCCCTCGCTCTCAATTAGTTTTCCATTTATTCACTACGCGCGCTATTGTTTTGTTAAGGTTTAACTTAATGATTTAAATCAGCTGTATGTATTGTTCAAAATCGTTTTATTCTTTTATTTTGATGTTTGAAGTATTGAGAAATGTACGAAGGTTTCCTTTAGAATATTTTATTTTATTTTTATGTTTTAAAAATCAAACAAAAACGAACATAGGTTTACTTTTAGAAGATTTTATTTTATTTTTATGTTTAAACAAATTGTTTGATAGATAATTATTGTAATACTACTGAGGTCTGCTATTCTGTGTTTGTGTATTATTGCGTCGTGATGAAAAGTATCGTTCATAACTCGTACCGAAAGTTAGTATCCGGTACTTGCTCTATTATTCCCGTCCTCGGCTTCGCCTCGTACGTGAAAATAGCTCTCACGTACTCGGCTTCACCTCGCACGTGAAATTGGGATTCCCTTGACTTGGACTTGAGCGCGCGCCGGAAAATGCCACTTTCGGTCCTAGTAATGAAATATACTATTCCTCAACCAGCGTTCGACCTGAGTCTTGAATTTCCCGGCCTCCAGATTTTGTACAGTGGTTGGGAGCGTATTGAAGAGTTTTATTGCCAGGACTGGGAAGCATTCCTTCATTTTACTCGGCCTACAATAAGGGATATAAATTTTTTCCCTCCCCCGGCTGTTATACGGGTGTAGGTCCCCTCTCATAGATAGTGAAGATAGGTTTTCCCTGACATAATGTAGCCTAAGAAGAATATATTGGCTATACACAGTGCAGACTTCAAGTTTTATTTATAGATTTGCAGTGGTCTAGAAAACCAGCCGAGTCTATGATTCTTAAGGCTTTTTTCTGCTCGAGTAGGATATTATTGCATCCCGATACGTGTCCCCACAGCTGAAGCTGAAGCCCATATATAATGTGACTGTGAAACAGTGCATAATATACCATTAATAGGTGCTCCTTAGATAGTAGAGGCTTTAAAAGGCGTCTGAGGAGACGTGTTACTTTCACTAGTTTTAGGTAGATGTTGGCCGTGTGACTGTTTCAGCTTAATTTAGCATCAAGGGTAAAGCCCAGTAGCTTAACTTCCGGAGAAGTTGATGATTGGCTTAAACTGAGGCTACATATAATTTCTTGAGTCTTGTCTTCGTTTAAGCTCAGCTTATTGTCGAGGAACCACTGTTTGGCCACAACAAAGTTTCCTGTTACCGATTCCTGGGCCAGGTCAGGTGTATTGCCCCTTGCAAAAAAGGTGGTATCATCTGCGAATCGAAGTATGTCTCCCTGCACACCGAGGTCGTTAATCAAGACCAAGAAGACAACCGGTCTTGATTAACGACCTCGGTGGGCAGGGAGGCATACTTCTATTCGCAGATGATACCACCTTTTTTGCAAGAGGCAAAACACCTGACTTGGCCCAGGAATATAAATATCAATCATAACCTCTCCCAAACATCAAACATAACCGTGTAGTAGGCTATACTTATTTCCCTCTTAATGGTCTTTGCGGATGTTTTGCTATAGTTCGGCCGCTTAGAAAGCGACCTCCTCCACCATTGGTTTAGCATTTTAGCGCGCAGGTCGTTTTCTAAGCGGCCGAACTATATCTATAAAAGAGGAACTATATATGTATGTATGTATATATGTATGTACCTTATGGACTCTAAAACCGCCCGGCATTATTAAGCATTATTCAAGGATGGTTTGTGTGAAGTTTGGTGCAGACCCGTCAAAAGGGCTCTGCCTCAGAGGGTTTTAAGTGGGCCAATGTCAGACTTTTTGCGGTGGGGCACACGGAAGATTTCTCAGGTGCCGTTTGACGTCACTAACTGCTGCGTTTGAAGAAACAGACAATTTTATAATTTTTCTATTATTAAATTAAACTGTCATAACCTAACCAAACTAACCAAACGTGCCGATAATGGAAAAATCGAATAAAGGTTTACTAATCTTAAAAATAGTTTTGTTCATAAAATGAAATTATAAATGCCTAAAATTGAATTTTATAATTTTTTAATTATAAAATTAAACTGTCATAACCAAACTAACCAAACTTGCTGATATGAAAAAATTGTTGTCAAAATGTCAATGCTACCAGCGGGATTCGAACCCGGTACAATAGGATTATCAGCCCGACACGCTATCCACTACACCACCGAGGCCGATAGCTCGTACCGTATCGTTGCGGTATTGGTGTTCCCTCAAAGTGACATCGGCAGTTAGTGACGTCAAACGGCACCTGAGAAATCTTCCGTGTGCCGTTTCGGACTTTTTGAACTACAATGTTTACAAATAAATATAATTTAAAAGCAGATGTTTACTTTCACCAACCGTTTTGTAGGTTTGAATAATTACAACATTCTGTATTAGCATTAGTCATGATTTGAAATAGTGCCACAGTGTTTCTACAAAGTGCAGCACAGAAAACTATTTTACTTTTGAATAAGTCCAAATGTATTAAACCCCAATCGCAGCACACCTGTGCACTCAACAACGTCTAAATTCTCCACTATTAACTATATAAACATAAAAAGTAAAAACCTTTATCAAAATATTTTAAACAATAATAAAAGGGATGGCAATGCCTTAACATTTTTATCTTTTGTTCTATACCCACATAATCTAACATAAATTAGTGAATTAATAATCGTACGTGCTATCTCAGGTGTTCAAATGCCTCTCAATTTTTCATTAACTCACCACATTATACCGTCATTAAAAGAAGGAACTCCAATAATACTAATGCGAAACTTAAATCCACACAAGCTGTGAAATGTAACCAGACTGAAGATTAAAAATTGACACCAAACTTGATCGAAGTAACAATAATCAGTGGTAAGTTTAGAGAATTTTGTCCCAAGTCAAAAAAATTTCAATCCTTGATGGATGTTTGCAAATATTTAAATTTTATTTAGTTAAAAATATATTTTTCTTGTATCTATGATTTCCCAACCGTCCCAACTCATGGCAAAGAAATTCCTAACTTTTCTCTTTCCCAGATTCTGGGGGGAGGCTCCCCCCCTACCTCCCCAATGCGACGCCCCTGGGTGCTAGGCTAAACACCACGGCCAATACAGCTGGCCAATCTGACCAATTATGACAACCCCAAATATAGTTTTGCATTGTCAAATCTAAGTTGTAGAGCTTTATCACTCTATTGAAATGACAACATTAGACTTCATATTCCAAACCATGTGTAAAATATAATTGCACGAGGATTGTAAACACTTGCAGGCATGGCTTTACGCACTGAACTATATCCATCCTTGATCTAAAGATACATTCTAAATAGAATTAATAATGAGAGTTTTATTTTAACAGTTTTGTCTGTAATATGTTTTGGCAGAGTTTTCCTTCCTCTTTTGAAGAAGGACCCTGCAGGACGACTGGTGATCATTATCCGTGTTGCTGCTCATGATCCCAGTCATCACAAGCAGGATGATGTCTTCAAGGTCTGAAGCTTATTTGATCTATTGTTAAAAATCTTTTTGCCAACAGACAAAAAAATGTGTTTACAAGAAAATGTTTTCCTTTTAATTTTTAACATAATATCTCAGAAATTTCTTTAATTAATTAAAAAAAATTATTCTTGGTTGTTGAAAAAGGTTTGAAACAAACTTTTTAATTTATTTTATATTAATGATTAACCAGTCATGTTATATTAAAATCTAGTTTGCAGAATGATAAATGAAAATTTTTGTACAGCCATACTAAATTTGACCCCTCAATGAAGTACAAAAGAGGGAAAGGTGTAATTCTATAAAATAAAACATGTTTATGTGTATTTTGGCTCCAACTTTGTAAGTTTAAAGGAATGAGTGCGTCTGCATAATGATTGCAGTGTTGGTCGTGAATGTAGTCATTATGTCTAAGTTGGCTATTTTAAAACGTTTTTATTAGCTCACTTTCTTGTCCGGTACAAATATTTAAATCGATTTTATACTAACTTCCCGATGAGCTAGAGACTTGAAACTTGAAACATAGCTCACAAATGGATGACAATGCAATATTATATAATTTAATTTTAATATTTCTCTTGGGCTACGCCCCATAGGCTTGTTTTTATTAACTCGCTTTCTTACAAATTTTGATATCAATTTCAAACTAAGTTCCCGATGAGTTAGAGAGTTTACCATTTATATAGAGAGTTTAAAATATTTCAGACGAACATCAGAATTTTCTCAAAAAATTTTTACAATTTATCAGTGTATTTACAGTCTTTGAATGCTAATCTAGATATCATCGTCTTATCATCTAGAGTGTTATCAGAGGGGGGGGGGAGGTGGGTCACATGGATGGGTTTGACTGTACAATCACAGATACACAAAACAACAAAAATTACGGAGTCATTGTTTTCATCAACAAATGTCTCTCTGCTACCGTAACTAAAGTTAACATCAACAGAGTTTTTGGAATTTCTATGGAATTCAGTCTTTTTAATGAAACATTCAATCTGTTAGCTGTTTACAGGACGTTTGACAGTGAAATTGATCATTTTATAAATGGTTTAATGCTATTATAATCGCATAAGTAAGGATAGACATAGACATAGACATATTTTATTTGCACATAACATTCTTTACATGTGTTACATACAGAATAGGTGCATTGTCAGAGTTCGAATTATCAGAATATAAAAAAAAATAAAATAGTAGTCAAGATGATAGTATAAATTAACAAAATTGAATTATAAAACTATTCAAAACTAAAGGGGCATTGTGAAAATCTGCAATTAAATAAACGGCTCTGTCAATTAAGAGTTCACCTATTTTATCTTTAAAATTATTTTCATTTAGCAATTTATAGTTTGCAGGCAGCACATTGTACAGCCTCAGCCCAGCATATAGTGGACTTTTTTCATAAAGGGTCAAATGGTGCCTTGGAAATCTAAAAATGTTTTCATTTCGAGTATTATATCTATGGTTGATTTGAATTGATTCTGGGAGGTCGTTTTTAGCTGAATGAATGTAGTTTAGTGATTCCAAAATGTACAGTCCTGTTAGGGTGTGGATTTTTAATTTTCGAAAAAGGTTTTTGCATGAACTATGTGGATGAGAGCTGGTCATAATACGGATAATGCGTTTTTGTAGCCTGAATATTGATTTGACTCCGGTAGCCTGACCCCATAAGATTATACCATACCTCAATACTGATTCTACATAAGCATGATAAACCATTTTTAGAGTTTCTTTAGGAACACAGTCCCGTGTGGAAATACAATTGACATGGATCTAAGTTTACTTTTTAATTGATTCAGATGTACATCCCATTTAAGTGATTCATCTATGTAAACACGTAGAAATTTATGAGACGTTGCCAATTTAAGGGATTCAATTTTATTACCATTGTTTCTGATGGAAAATTTTATTGTTTGCGTTTTTTCAAGATTAAGTTTTAATCCATTGTTCAAGAACCAACCTTCCATGTCATGAACCACATTTTCAAGAGAAGATAGCATTTCAGAAGTACTATTATTTTTTATCAAGGCTGTTGTATCATCTGCAAAAAGAATTAGTTCCTGATCAATAGCTTTATGGAGGTCATTAATGTAAATTAGAAAGAATAGAGGACCTAACCAATTTCACACCTACATTGATCACGCTACATTAACTGAACAAATTACAAAAACAGACTGGAGTCCAATAATAAGTAATCACGAGGTAATTCAGTGCACAGCATGTTTTTGTTCGACACTGAGTAACTGCATCAAAGCCTCAACTAAAACAATTAAACATTACTCTACAAGATTTAAAAAAATAAAGCCTTGGATTACCGTAGATCTCATTAAATTAATTCGAAAACAAGACAAGCTAAGTAGGCCTAAAAAGATCAAAACCCAACCATTTAATATATTACTACTAGATAGATTCAGGGCCCTGCGCCTATCTTTAAATCAAAACATGAAAATCGCAAAGGAAAATTATTATAGGGGTAAAATTTCAGAATCTAACAGGGATCCAAATTTATTTTGGGGCATAGTTAGTGAAATATCAGGCAGGAATTGCTCTAAGGGCCATTTTCCATTTGAAAAAGTTTTACCTGGTTCTTCGAATAATGCGAACACGAAGACTAAAATAGCAAACAATTTCAATAAGTTCTTTACATCAGTAGGTTCTAAATTGGCCAACTCAATCAATTCAGCTGGGGCTCCAGTCGTAAACGACGCTGACTTCTTACTCGACATGAATTTTACATTTAACACTGTCACACACGCTGACATAGAACGTTACGTCCAGGGTCTGCACGAAGGGTCTGCACCTGGCCATGATGGTATCTCGGCCTTTTTTCTTAAAGAAAACATCCACTCTCTATGTGCTCCTCTTCTGCACATTGTCAATCTTAGCCTGACATCTGCTATATTCCCAAACGAGCTGAAATTGGCCAATAGTCCAGGCGCTAAACGGGTTGAGTATGCACTGAAAGTCTGACAAAATTTGACTTTTGATTATTGTTGGGGACATCTAGTAGATGAAAAAAATCGATGATGTCGCATTTCTAGGGTGGTCACAACTCGGGGGGGAGGGGGGGAAGTTGCGCGGGTCATCGGTTTACGTTTCCGCGTCTAACTCACAAACGGTTTATGATAGAAAGGTGGTTTAAGCGTCTATCAACGCCTAAATATATTGTCTTTTGAAAAGGTTATTACAACCTTTCTTATATCTCTTATACTTTAGGTTCTAATCAACATTTATTGAAAAAATAAAATTTAAAAATACTTTAAAATGAAATATCGGAAATATTGCGCTTGTTTAGGGCATGTTACAAACTATTTATGGTTAGAAAAACTAACAAGTAGTACAACAACACCAAGTTTACAGAAATCTGTGCAAAAACAACAGAGCTACGTTGATTTCAGTAAGAGTAAACGTGGAAAATTCGTAGTAGTATCGAGGTGCGCATGGACGGGTACGTAGCCCACAGTCAATATAGGTTTGATGTTGTAAGTGACTATGGGAAAGCTGAATTTTTCTTTGCTGTTAGACCATGTTGAGATGAGTATTTTCCCAAAAGCCCCACTCCTACCCCTTTGTGCTTTCCTCTACCCCCCCCCCCCCCTTTTAGATAAATTTACAGTCTCTTAGAAATTAAGCTATAACTTTAAAACGGGTAAGGATAATAACGCAATCTTTTATTAATCATTTTGCGTTACGATAATCTACAAAAAGAATTATTAGATAATTAAATATTTAAAAAGATTACAGATTTCTGAAGAAGAAGGAGAAGAAAATGTGTTCATTGTAATAAAATATCAATACAGTGTTTTTTATTTAAATGCAAAGAACAATGCTCAAAGACCACCTGTATTGTGTTAGACACGCTGATTTTGAAATATTGTAAAACAGTTTAAAAAATTCCATGAATCACATACAAATATTCATAAAATAAACTGATTTCAACTACAGAATATAGACAAATAGCACTACATACAAATAAAGATCAGATAACAATTGAATGAATAATGAAAATTTAAATGTAGCCTACTGAGAATCTGAATTTTTCCAACAACAAACAGTTAATAATTCATAAAACAAACCTGTTACTTTTATAATTTACTTTGATAGATACTTAACAAACAATATTTTATAATTTTTTTTAAATTACATACATTTTTCCCATTTTTGTATTGATATCTCGATTCTTAAATTTAATAATTATACTCCATTATCAATTCCCACCCTTTACTCCACGCCTCTTTAAGATAATTTCCAAGTGCCCGCCAATCTTTGCCATTTAAAAATTCAAAAAAACTCATATTCATTTAAATATAACTTGTTAGACCAAAATTAACGTATCTTTTTTTTAAAAATTGGACATTCTGCTATAAAAGGGTACACGTTTCATCCCGGTTGAGATTACATAGTGAACATACATAAATTTTATTTTCCCTATAGAACTTTTTACTAGACAACCCCCTTTATTTGTAAAAAAATGTTTTTAAGGATGGTTACAAATAAAAAAATATATCCACCATTTTCCAATATGGCCAACAACTTTGTTATTTCTTATGGAATACGCTGTATTTTAGTATTCTTTTAGAATTTAAAAGCTATTTTTTTATTCGTGACATTTTTTCTCTAAACCTACTCCATTTAGGAGTTACAGCGTGTTATATCTAAAAGAAAGGCTTGTGGTGTACATTCGGCATCCTGTAGCTCATAAACGAGTAAGTTGAGAGAGAAAGTGCAAAGAAGAAATAAGTCGCATATAAGTCCTCGTTCCAAAAAATATATAAAATACGTTAAAAATACTGATTTTGTTGTTTTAAAAATGGCCACCATTTTCAAAATTGGTAGCTTACTTTGATATTGGAACAATTTATTTTATGGTTTTTTTAAATGTAGATGTGATTTGAAAACTTGTTTATTCTTTGTATTTTCGCTCTTAAACTTACTCGTTTATGAGCTACAGGATGCAGGATGTACTCAAAAACCATTTCTTCTTCGATGTAACTCCTAAACAAGTAGCTTTAGAGAAAAATGTCAAGAATAAAAAGGTTTTAAAATTGTGCGTTTACATTCTAAAACAATCATAAAATACAGGGTATTCCATAGGACTTACAAAACTGTCAGCCATATTGGAAAATGGCAAACATATTTTTAAAATTCGAAACCACTAAAAAAAAACATCTTAAAATAAAGGGTAGTGTCCCATAAGAAGTTAACTCTATATCTCATAATAAAAAAGTTATCTATTGGTTCACTTTAGGTGAGACACCCTGTACGTAATAAAATGAGGCTCTGGCGTACAACAGCAATTGTACGATATTCATTCATATGTATCCACTACAGTCTGTATATGTACTGAATGAGCTACATAACGTTAATATAATCTATATAACGCGGCAAATTCAAATACAAAAACCATAATATACGTAATTTTTTTCATTGTTGCGGTGCAAAAAAAAGCCAGAGTCCTGTAAAATCAATATACTGTACTATCTATAACCACTATATGCAAACAAACTGTTAATAACTATGAATCATTTAAAAATGTAAACTATGCACCCAAAATTTTGTATCAAACATTTTGTTGTGCGACCTCGTATAAAAAATCTAAAACGAAAAGTAACATAAATTAATCCGTAAAAATTATTTCTTTATGTTTATGATATTTTTTAACTATGAATATTTAGGATACCATGGTAAATACACTTTTTGTAGAATATCGTAACGCAAAATGATTAATAAAAGATTGCGTTATTATCCTTACCCGTTTTAAAGTTATAGCTTAATTTCTAAGAGACTGTAAATTTATCTAAAAGGGGGGGGGGTAGAGGAAAGCACAAAGGGGTGGGAGTGGGGCTTTTGGGAAAATACTCATCTCAACATGGTCTAACAGCAAAGAAAAATTCAGCTTTCCCATAGTCACTTACAACATCAAACCTATATTGACTGTGGGCTACGTATCCGTCCATGCGCACCTCGATACCACTACGAATTTTCCACGTTTACTCTTACTGAAATCAACGTAGCTCTGTTGTTTTTGCACAGATTTCTGTAAACTTGGTGTTGTTGTACTACTTGTTAGTTTTTCTAACCATAAATAGTTTGTAACATGCCCTAAACAAGCGCAATATTTCCGATATTTCATTTTAAAGTATTTTTAAATTTTATTTTTTCAATAAATGTTGATTAGAACCTAAAGTATAAGAGATATAAGAAAGGTTGTAATAACCTTTTCAAAAGACAATATATTTAGGCGTTGATAGACGCTTAAACCACCTTTCTATCATAAACCGTTTGTGAGTTAGACGCGGAAACGTAAACCGATGACCCGCGCAACTTCCCCCCCTCCCCCCCGAGTTGTGACCACCCTAGAAATGCGACATCATCGATTTTTTTCATCTACTAGATGTCCCCAACAATAATCAAAAGTCAAATTTTGTCAGACTTTCAGTGCATACTCAACCCGTTTAGCGCCTGGACTACAAGATCATTCCATTGCACAAATCCAATGATTTCACAGACATGAATAACTATCGTCCGATTTCTTTGTTAAGTGTAATTGCTAAGCTATTAGAGAAAATTGTTAAAGACCAACTTGTTAGCGAATTTCCCTATAGGGAAGTAGCTATTTTTTACCTCCACCAGTGCAATATTTTAAGTGAGAATCAGTGTGGTTTCAGGAGTGACAAAAACATATCTGTTAAAAACAAGACAGTGTATAGGAAAACAAAAAATAATTTGTATAATTTGAACATTTTTTAAATTTTTCTTGCTTGAAACTGAATTTTTAGTGTTCTGGAATTAAATTGACGATAAAAAACTCTTTGTGCAAACTGAGGTAATTTATCAAAATCTGGTGAAGATTGAAGAGGAGAGGTGGATTTAAATCAACCTTTTCGCAACTCGAGTCTACGCACAGGCCCTGCCTATATGTAGACTTTTTCCTTTCTTATAGAAGGTTTTTTTTACACTTTTGTTCGCTTTTATTTGAACAGCATATAATTTTGGTTTTGGTATATAGTTAGTAATGTTTGCTGTATTATATTTAAGTAAAGAAAAAAATACAACGTACTTATATGTATATAATTAATGGGAAATAAAAATATTATTTCATTTCATTTCAGTTCAAACTTGAAACATGCTCACAAATGGATGACAATGCAATATTACATCATTTAATTTTAAAATTTCCCTTCCCATAGGCTTTCAAATTTTTCATGTTTACATTTTAAAAGAATGTAAATATGTCATTTAATTTAAGTCAGCTTTAAATACTTAAGTTTGACAGTTCAAAGAGCAGAGGTTAAGAGGTACAGGTTCTGATCCCGAGATATTCTAAAAATATAAAACAAGCACTTCAAAGTAAAGATAAAACATCTGATCATGGTGGAAGGAAAAACACCTTTTTTCCTTCCACCATGACATCTGATTATCTATACTATTATTTAAAAATCTAGTTGTGTCTGTCTGTATGTGTGTTACTAATAGGCACATAAACTACTGAACTGACTGGGCTTAAATTTTACAAAAATATAGCGACCATACCAAGGACCATTATAGGACTATTCGCACTTCTATACTGACCGTGGGCTTTGCCCCTTTTTAGCTTTAAAAGTTCTGAGGTGAGGATTTGAAAAGTAAATATTGATTGGTCTCCATGGCTGCCATGAGAACAAATACAATGTTTGCAATTTGCTATGCCACCCAAATGTAAACAAGCTGAACTGTCAAACCACATTAATTCACAATTCCACAGCTGGTTTATAAATAGGCATATAATATTCTCTACAATCTTGTGACATGTTTATTTATTCTCATATTTGATGGTTCATTGATTATTGATTTTATGATATAAGTGAGATTGTATATGTTGCTGTATCTAACCCTAACTAATTATTTAAAATTTCGCTAATGTGAATGGTTGTATAGAAGATTTTTGTAATTACTAAGTTAATAGTTTTTAATAGGTACATTTATTGGAATTTAATCTTATTTTACTCTTTTTTTCATGTCAGATTTCAAAAAGCACCATAAACATACATCAACCCCGGACGAAGGACGGGTCCTCTGCTAGTAGATAATAAGGTTTTAGTAATGTATTAACATGCCATATAAAATAGATTTAACATATTTACACATTAAAGACTAAAAAGTACTCTGCTAGTAGGTCATAATAATTCAATAGGTGAAGTTAATTGTAAATTAGCATGAAGAACGAACAAGAATAGCGAAGAAGCAAGTAGTCTATAGGTCTAAATCTGATCTTACAAATTGTCATAAAATGAAAGGTAGGCCTATAGTAGCAGAGTCCTTTTTTGCATATTTAGGCCTAAGCTGCAGCTAATAGCCCTAAACATTTATGTAGTATCTAGCTGTACCCGCGGGCTTTGCCCCGTTTAACCACAGAAAACATACTACTGTAGTAGTATGTTTTCTGTGGTTTAACTTCATAAGTATTCGCATGGCTCATTCACGTCCTGGTTGAAGTTTGTTCGCTACGCTCACTCACCTTTAGGTTAGAGCTCGTTTGCTGCGCTCACTTGCCTTCAGGTTAGCTCGTTCGCTACGCTAACTCGCCTCCAGGTTGAAGTTCGTTCGCTACGCTCACTCACCTTTTGGTTTGAAATTAGCTGTTGTCATAAATTAAAAAAAAAATAATAGTGCTGCACCCTGTTGGTAATCCTTGTATTTTTTATGCTATTGAACATCATAGAACAGAACCAACTTGTTAAATTGAAACAGCTGTTAAGATTCATTAATTCCTTTTAAATATGAAAAACCATAAGGTTAACATGGGGAACTACAGAGCCACTGGGGCGGAGCCCGAAAGGATTTTTGGGATAATAATATGCTTTAATGTTTATCGGGAATGTGAGCTATCATCTTGCCAAATTTCAGCCCCCAATCCGTCCAGTAGTTTATGCGTGATTGAGCAACACACACACACACAAACACACACACAAACTCACAAACTTTCAGATTTATAATATTAGTAAGATAAGGTTTTAGTTATGTATTAACATGCCATATAAAATAGATTTAACATATTTACACATTAAAGACTAAAAAGTACTCTGCTAGTAGGTCATAATAGTTCAATAGGTGAAGTTAATTGTAAATTAGCATGCGCCCCACGTTTTATTTTTAAATCTTACAAGTATTTATTCTCTCAACATAATTATGAATTATTTTCTACTTTTTAGTGCGTTTAAAAACGTGCCATTTTTAAAATGTATTTTTATTTATAAATTATTAACCATTATGATGACTTGTAATGGCTGTGCTAATTCAATGACAACTTTTTATTATTGAGAAGTTGAATGGTGATATTTAAATGCTGTGTAGGTTGGAAAGATGATCCTGGACTTGGCTATAGAGCAGGACGAGAGTGTGTCTGTGTACGGTGTCTGCGCTATATTTGATCTCACCTCAGTATCCTTGGGACATGCCAGACAACTCACTCCAGCCATGATAAAGAGAGCTGTTCATGCTTGGCAGGCAAGTTGTCAATTAGATAGCCTTTACTTCCTGCACATAAATAGTTGAAAGTTATCCTGCCAACTTAAACATGTTAAAGTTTGTTGTTTAAGCAATAGTACACAATTTTTCATTCATATGGACCAGCGACGCACATATGTGACGGCTTGTTTCTACCCTTAGACACATTCTAACGCCTCTCTTGTAGGAGGTCTTGTAACGGTCTACTTTACCTTAAGGCACAGAATTTTCTGCAGTAATCTACAGGGATGTCTGTCGCACAACTGCGTCGCTTGGTCTTACTTTACTGGTCTGTGGATATTATGATTGGTGACGTTCTTTACTTTGCTGCATCACTGTATGCTGCATGTATGCTGTATTTATGCTGCATTATCCTGTGTAGTTTTGTTCAATTATGAACTGTTCTTTAAAAATCTGTTTTTAGCAAATTTCCTCATAGGGAAGTAGTTATTACTGTAGGTGGCACGGTAAGACCTAGGCCCGGGACTGATTTACTTTTTAATTTTTTTTATGTCCCCAGAGGCCAAAAACACCATTTTTTCAATTTTTTATATGTATATAGAGTTATATATGTGTCCTTGAACGTGATAATTCGAGTAATTTTTGTCCGATTTTTATGAAATTTGGTTTAAAGGTAGGATAAAATTGAATGAGTTTTTAAAGCAGTATGATCAAACCATGGGAACGGGGTTTTACGGGGTAAAAATTGGTTTTTCTCATTATTGACCCTCAAAAGACACAATTTCCCAATTTCTCTCTAGAATTGTTTTAAAGAGCTTAAAAAAAACAAATAATTTAGTATATCAACGTTTTTTTACGGTTATTAGTAACGGAGAAAATTCAAAAAGTTGTAAATTTAAAAATTCCCATGTTATTCTTATATTGTAAAATGTTGTAGTTTCCTTGTTTATAGATATATTTTTATCAAACTTGCTATTAATTTTATACTAAGCTATTAATATTTTACTATAAACCACACTTTATTAGTTTCCTTGTAGCAGCAAACCTAGGTAGTCGTTAAATCTAGTGTTATTTAACGGCAATAAATAAAAAATAAAAAATAACAAAATTAATTTAAAATTAAATCAGACAAATGGAAATTCGCTTAGTCTGTGGGTTTGCTGCGGCGGGGGTATTTTTACTTACTTTCACCTAAAAACATAAACAAAAATGAACTGCCGATATATGCGGCGTTACAATTACCCATAACCAGATGTGTAGCTGTGTACACTTGTGTACTAACTAAATGGAAAAAAAACTTATTACAGTAGGCTTATAGCTGGATGCAAAAACCATGTAATAATTTATACATAAATAATTTTTATATCTACCTCCTTTTAATAGTTTTTAACATTTGATCTATTAAAACTTATGTGTTAACAATAAAAACATTCTGTTAAATAGGAAAATTAATATAGAGTGGATGCAGGGCCGGTTCTAGGAATTTTTCAGAGTTAAGCGAACACCCGAATCAGCGCCACTTAGGATTCCCCCCACCACCCCCTCCCCGAACCAATAACATAACATAACCGTATTTGTGATTTTTTCCCAATAATTTTGGGAAGAACTTTTTATAAGTTTAGGTTAGAAGAATACTTGCAATAAAAGACTGTTTATTATTCGCATAAATTTAACATTTTTACTTTTTTACTCATCATATAAACTTTAGCAAAACCAAGGCCACACTAAAAAAAACAGTCCGTAATCAAGGCCACACTAAAAAACAGGCCGTAATGCTCGTCATTCATGACGTCACGATAGAAGACGGCAATGACGTAATTAAGGTTATATTTTTGTTTTCCATGAAAAGATTAAAACAAGCAGCTGATCACAAACAGTAAACATTACATCATTGCCGTCTTCTATCGTGACTTCTTTTTGGGCTGACTGGACTCGCCACCAGATGATTTAAACAAAAAATCTACTCATTGATTTGGCTTTTTTTATCTTCCTCTTACAAATTTGCCTTACTCTTTTTATAATAAGTGCCAGACGTTTTTTTTTCTGCCATTGTTTTCTTAGTATCGGCTCGCTAGATGTTTTACTCATTTATTCAGTTTATACTTTCTTCTTGTTTAATGCGCTAAATATAAATTAAACTTAAAACACTCGTATACATTCACTTATCAACAATCATGAATCATCAAAACAACGCCATTACGATACCGATACACACTAATACGCTAATACACTAAAAGAGTGCAATACAACGTAGTGCTCTGCTCTAGGATAAGAGTCAGAAAGGAGGGGGAAGTTTCTTGTTGTGACAATTGGCGCTGCGCGCTTGCTTATCTCATCTCGAGCATGAGTGAGTCGTGAAATTAAACCCACAGGCGCCGCGCTGTACGCTGCCGAGCGTCAGTTCACTACAAAATCGAAACTGCAAATGGCATTGAGTCCTTGAGTTGTACAGTGCTTTACAAATATACACATTTTTCAAGTGCTGTTGGTACAAACAGAATTAAATGCCTTTATTGTGGTATACTTGAACTCTGAGCGAAAATAAACAAAATTACGTTGTTCACGTAAAAAAAATTGTTCCGTTGGCGACACGGCGCCACTTTTTCGTGGCGCCATATGCGGCCGCGTAGTTCGCGTATGGGTTAAACCGGCCCTGAGTGGATGAGATTTTCACTTAGGCTAGTTTGTGTTTTGTTGTACAACCTGCTGACACACAAAATAGGCTAATGAATAAAGAAGTTCGAATGAATTGAATTGAATATAGGAAAATTCCCTAAAAAGCATAGGTTTTAAAATTTTCCCCTCTTTCAAAATAATAATATTCACTGTCGTTTGCCGTGAGTGAATACTGTAGCATTGTATGTGTGATACCCATGTAAACATCGGCAACGTCACAGTGGCGTGCACTATTCCGCCTGGCAGGCAAATATCGTACAAAGACCAGGTGGAAATATCGTAACCCGTTGCCGGTCACAGGGAAAATTTTGTTAATAAATTTAAATTGGGTAAAAAATCATCTCTTTACAAATTATAAATCTAACATATTACTGTTATGTCTTGTGTCATGACAAACACATTAATATTTTGAACAAAGTTTGTAGCGACTGGACAGTCCAGTCTGCCTCCGTGCCGCAACCGGTTAGTAGGCCTAATTTTAATATTAAATGTTTTTCGTGTGTTATATCCTTTTGTATTCGTTTGAATGTTATTTGACGACTATAATGGCAGAAGCAATCTTGTTAGGAGATCACCAGACGATGCAATGAATAGGCGAAACATGTTGTGACTTTGACTACCACATTTTGAGCTGTTAACGAAAAAGTTACTTTACAGGGTCTTCTAAAGTACACATTTCTATGTGTTGCTAGCATTTTATCTTCCTTCACTGCTTGTGTAGTTCAGACTAGGACTTAGGACGTAGATAATAGTAAGTAACATAAAATACCCCCGCCGCAGCAAACCCATAGACTAAGCGAATTTCCATTTATTTCCTATAACATTAATTTGAGTGAGTAATTAGGTTTGCTGCTACAGGGAAGATATTGAGGTATGTTTTTATTGCAATTTTAGTAGCTTAGTAAATAAAAAAATTTTTGAAATTTTGTTAAAATATATCAATAAACAAGCAAAACTACAACAGTTTATTTATTCTACATAAGAATAACATGGGAATTTTAAATGTACAATTTTACAAATTTTCTATCCTTTGGGCATACAACAACGCTTCAATATACAAAATTATTTATTTTTTTAAACTGTACAAAATGGTTTGGAGAGAAATTATGAAATTTTGTATTTTTAGGGTCAAAAAATAGGAAAAATCGTTCCCATAGTCTGAATATGCTGGTTCGCGAACTCGTTCAAACAAATGTAGGTTTACACGTTTGTACCAAAATTAATCAAAATCGGATGCATTTGTTTGTATATATATTTGAAATTGAACGGAAGGTGTTTTTGGCCTCTGGGGACCTCAAAACAAAAAAGTAAATCGGTCCCGGGTCACCCGGGTCTAGGTCTTGCCATGAGACCTACGGTAATAGCTTATTACCTATATGGGTAATTTGCTAATATTCCCTATATGGGAAATTTGCTAAAACAAGCCTTCAGAACCCTTTTGGTTAACCAATATTTAAGATGACTGGCTTTTGAATAATCAACGCTCAGCTAAAACTTTAGTTGGGGTGAGAGGTGGCCTAGTGGTAGAGCGTGGGGCCTGGAGCAACTCCACCCAATCACCAATGGATTTTATCCATGTGATAATGCCACGACCCTCCAGGAATAGCCTTAAGTTGTGTGTAAAACAGTTCCAGGCTAGAACCAAGCGTCCTAGGGTGTGATGGTGGGACATAAAAAAACTATAACATTAAGTTAGTTAAATTTTTAACTAATCACACTTTGCCACTCAGTTGGTTTGGGTCGATGATAGTTTAAGCAAATCCTTTTCGTACGCTAAGTAATCATCTAATGTTTAAACAATTTAAATAAGCCTACTAAAAATTTTACTGGCCTTGGTTAATTAATCCAGATTAATTAATAATCTTAATAATAATATTAAATAATGTAAAATTGCAATTGGGTGGAGCCACATGTTAATGGCTCATCTTTTTAAACTTGCTATAGTTCCTTTGTAATGTTATTATTTTAAACTCAAGAAATTGTCTTTAAAATCAAGTATAACTTACATAAACTATAATGTATTTTCCCACTTCTAGAGTAACTGAACGATTGATTTCAACCATCTGTATGTGTTTTCTCCTATTAACTACAGAAAATTAAGGGTACTCATCCAACTGTACCTACAAATTTCTTTTCAGGACTGTTACCCTGTTCGCACTAAGAGTTTGGACTTCATCAATTCACCATCATATGTTAATGTGATTCTCAGAATATTTAAAGGTTTCATGCGGGAAAAGATGAGAAACAGAGTAAGTAAACTTATTTAATGAGAAATAAACTATTTTTTGTAGCAGCAAAAACAATAGTTCATTTTGGTATAGGCCTACATCATAAATGGGAAAAGGGGAAAAGTTTTAAACATACAGTATAATTTTACCCAACATTTACCAGCAAACATGTTTAATCATCTCATGGTTTTTTTACAAAGGCTACAGAACTTTTGTGTACCAAACATTCTTTGTTTAAGATTGTTGAGATGCAATTCTTAAACCCTTGAAGAGAGTTGGATCAATCAATCAATTGATCCTTCAATATATTGGGTTGGTATGGTATTGTTTTATCATTTTTTTCAAGTGTTAACGTTGGGAGCCACTTAACACTTCTGTCCAAGATCAATGAATAATCTGTTTAGATATATAGACCTACTGCTGTTTAAATCACTCAGTGGAGTAATAATGTATTATATACATGATGATGAAAACACCTTGTCAAAGTAAACCTGCAACCTGAGCCAATACCCAGTTGAAGAAAATTGAGCTTTCATCGATCAAGTTGCATAGCTTTGTAAAATGACAAGAAGTCGAGATAGGAAGAGGGCGTTTCCAAAATAGTCCTATTTTTGATTTTTATTAAAAGGGGGAATAGATACATAACAATATATGTTAAGCTATAGTTGATTTTTCATTGTTTTAAAAATTTTTTTGTACGTAACAACAATAAAAAAGTACATAGTTCAGTCCTTCACCACAAAAACTCAGAACTCCCCCTTATCCACCCATGTGTGATTTTTAAAATTTTGTGAGATTGTGCCTAAACCTGTGTTCATACACAATCTCTTTATCACCCAACTTTGACCTGTTTATCAATGATGACAGGTACATGTACATGGGTATGACCTGCAGTCTCTACATCAAGTGGTCCCTCCCAGCGTCCTGCCCCAGGAGTATGGAGGGTCTAGCGGTACTGTACAGGATCTCATTGGTGAGTGATATGTATGAATAAAACTTACACTTATCTGTAATGTCTCAACGCAAAGATGCAAAAAATATCTTCATTTTAGTTTTTCTGTCAGTTTTTGAGCCCAATTTGTGTTTTGATGGCGCCCCTCCAGTCACTGTAGAAATCTATCCAATTAGGCTAACAATAGTGTGAGTATTCCAACCTGGATCTTTTAAAAAGTGCAACTCAACACAGTTAGGTTCGCTGTTTTACAGTATAATCCTCATAGGATATTTAGTTACATTTTAATCGGTTCACTGTATGCCCATAAATCATGCAATTTGACTATTTAGCTTTAACTCATGCAGATATTTTTTAACATAACAGAAAATATTAGTTTAGGTAGAGTAAAATCCTCTATCTCTGCACATGTATAGAGGCACCAAAGAAAATGGATACATGAACGTTACATTCTTTCTTAGAACAACTGTAGTATGACTAGAAATATGTTAAGGATTATATTTATAACAACACTTGAACTGGGTTTATGGCTTTGCTTTTAAACTATCTTATCTGCTGGCGATAAAAGAATGTCAGTTACAAAGGTCTAAGCTTAGCTGTATTATCTTGTGAAAATGAATTGACTCACCCACAAAAGTAGGTTAGATAATGCGTTGATTATAACTAACCATGGCAAATACACAATTTGTATCATCACTTATTAATTTCTCCCTCCATGTGAGCAATAACAATTTTTATATTAAGTATTTTTTTTAGTTTTTACAGCTTTTTAAAAGAATTGCTGGATGGTATTAGTTTTATAAATTTCAAATGTAAAATGTCATAACATAACAAACAGTTGAAAATTATTGTATGAGCAATTACAGTAAAACCTGACTAACTCGACACCCGGCAACGCAACAGTCATCAGCTGACATCAGGGTACATGCAAGCAATTTTTCATAACATTTAGTTTTAATTGTTGAATATTCAACATTTCCTTCAAAAACAATAAAAAAATATAATATCTGCAACCTCTTAATCTGCAACACTGCACGTTTAACATGGGTTTTATATGGGCAATTCGAGTTTTTGGTTAGTTACTAGAAAACTACTAGACTAGGCCCGTTTTTAAAAAAGGCAACGCAAGAAGCATTTCATATAACAATTGAGGAAACAGTGTATTTAGGGTATTTTAACCCAGCAGAGTACGAATCTGCCTGTTGCCAAAGTGAAATTTGAACCGGAAGTGCGTTATCCAAGATGGTGGCAAAAACTCTGTTTGCCCTATATCTACCTTGTTAGTTGGCCTTAAATAATGGTTTAAATGTGTATACAGTGATTTTTCAGATGCCAAACACATTGCAACACCCAAAATTTAATTACATTAAGTTTTGGGGACATATATTTCAAGATGGCACCTGAGATGGCCGCCAAAAACTCTTTTATATGTATATATATATCCCTTGTTTGTTTGTTTGGATTAATGATTTAATATCTTAAATTAATATAGCCTATTGTATTGATCTTGTGGTACCACCCATCAATGGAGGTTTGTTTACCTTGGGTCTCAATGGATAAAATAGATTTTTTAAGGATTTTTATGGCAGCATTGTGTTGGCTGCACTGATCAACATTAATCAACTAACAACTCTTATTCTTTTCAATATCTTCTGTTGGCCAAACGTCTATAAAAGTTTGTTTATGAAGAGAAAGTAAACAATTGTATACATGTGTACAAAATAATTGTTAATAAGGTAACATCATTTGTTTTCCAACTTTTTTAAGGCAATTCCTTTACAAATCGATTGACACCTTATTTTTTAAGATTGGACGAGTATTAATTGAGATATTGCAGTTTTAGTGATACGTGACCGCTGGAGGTTAGTTGCAGCGCATTTTTAAAAGGTGAAGAAATCGACCAAAGTGGAAGGAAATATTCCGAAAGAGAATAAAACTTCCTACAATTTACTATTAAGCATTTTTTGAAAAAATACTCAGTAAAGGCAGCCAAAAATTGCCAGAATGAAACAAAAACTGAAAATCCCCGTTTCTTATATCTATTGTCTACATTGAAACGGAAATTTGCACATATTTTTATTTTGAGGCAATTTTTGGCTGCCTTTAATATTTTCAAGAAATTGATAATTGTAAATTGTAGGAAATTTTATTCTCTTTCGGAATATTTCCTTCCACTTCGGTCGATTTCCTCAACATTTCAAAGTTATTTCCATAAATGTCAAGCAACCTCAAATTTTTAGTGGCGAAAAAAGTTGGAGATTAATTTTTTACTTTGAACAAATAAATCTAGAGTTCTACTGAATCGTTTTTGTTAAATAATGTGTCTTAGGAAGACATAAACTCTTTGAGTTGCTTTTTTATTTTATGTGTGTTTTATAGTGCTAAGTTTAATAGTATAAAAGTTTTAAAGCATTAAAACCAGGCTATTCATTTTGATTCCCCCGGTATTACAATAATTGATTGCACTTATTTTATATCAATCTATTTATTTTTAGATCATTGGAAAGTGAAACTGACAGAGAGTAAGGATTGGTTTGCAGACGATGAGAAATACAAAGCAGAACCCTCCAGCTGATAGTTTATCAGCTGTTCCCACCTTACAAAGTAGTTACAACTTGAAGCAACGAGATCTCTTGGTTACCTGGTCGATGATAGTAAGATTTTATATGCTTTGTTTTAATGGCTTGTTGTAGTGTATAGCCATTTCATAACAGACAATTAATTAATGATGCTCCTTAGATAGAAAGATGAAGGGATGCAGCTTTATAAATTATAACTATAGTAACTTAATCTTCAACAATTTATAAATATAAATTTGGTCATGCATTATGTTTCCTTTAAAGTTATTTTAATAGTAGTTTTTGCAATATGTATTTATTCCTTATCCAGCAAAAATGTGTAAACAATTTTGAATTAAATTATTTTTTATATGATCTTTAAATAGGAAGTATAGGCCTATATTTATATGTAAAACAATTTGATAACATTTTATAGGAAATATTCTAGTACCTTTTGACCATTAGCTATTTTGTATAAGAAATATGCTACCTCTGCAAAAAGAGTAATGTAAAAAAAAGTTGAATAACCTCAATAAATGGGCACTTTTGGACTTTCTTATTATGATGCAAACGGATCTGTTGCTGAAGGTCTAAATCCCGGAAGGTCTAATTAGACCTTCGGCACACATTTTGCATTTGGTACTTGTTGCTGAGGGTCTTAACGGGCAGAATCCCAGGAGGTCTAAAAGTACAGTCAATGCAGAAAACTCATCGACTGATACTGTTTTAGACCTTGGGCTAGCAACCTATATTTTGCAAATAATGTTTATAAAATGAGAGTTGCTAAAGGTCTAAGTCCTAGAAGGTCTAAACATAAAATGAGAGTTGCTGAAGGTGTAAAAATGTGAGTCCCGGAAGGTCTAAAAATGCGGACATTGTGTCGCAATGCTTAACTACGACCATTTTTTAAACTAGCAGTTCCAACCCAGTTATTGGAGTTGAAAAGATTCGCTTAACAGCTTTTTTTACTTACTTAATATCTAGAATCGATATTTTAATCAACAACACAAGTAACATACCAATGAGGTTCAAGGAATGATAGAAAAGACGTACAGTTAATTATAATGCTTTGAACGTCACCTAAGCTGTTCAGACCAATTCATTTCTTGATCAGTCTACTTGGAGTCCTCCAGCATAATGATCCATCGATTAGATAATTTTTTGTGCTCTGGCATCTCCCTGTAAATCCAAAAAAAATCTGCAGTTATGGTTTTTCATTAAGGGGGCAACTCGGGTCTTTCGATCGTTGATGGTACAGGGGCAGCGTATTGAAGTTGTGAATGAATATACTTACCTTGATATCCTTTTAACTCCTTTATTATCATGGAAAAACATTTCAAAGCAAAATAGAAAGTATAGAAGTTAGCTATTGATTTACTGTGGGAAAATCTCATAAATGGCATTCAATTCCCACTCAGTGCCAAGCAGTTGTGTTTAAACTCAGTCTTACGATCAATTAATCATTATGCGCAAGTGTGGGGTTTCATTGATAGTGATACAGTAGAGTCTGTTTAACAAATTTTTTTAAAGATATTATTTAGAATTTCCAAAAAACATACCAAAATATTTAATTTACTAAGAATCATTAACAAATAAAATTTCCTTTATTCAAGCGAGTTACACCTGAACTAGGCCTATATCTATTAACTGTTTTGTCAATGTCTGAAGGTTGTTTACCATTTAAATTATAAAAACTAATAATAAACAAGAATATTTACTAGTGTAAACATTGGAATCGTCTGGGAAACAAGCATGGCAGGGAAATAAATTTCAACGTAGACGAGGTTGGCATCCCATTGTTACAGTTGAGGTTTACTTTAATTAATTTAATTATTAATATTTGTTTGGTTTTATTTAAAGTGCTAACCAGGTGCGCCAGCCGCAACAGATGGTCTCCATGATCATTTTTCTATGCTGTGCTAGTATAATGAATTGTACACTTAATTTTTAAATAAAAGCACTTTTAATTTCATTTTTTTAATTATATATACATTTATAGGTGGTTTTTTCTATGCTTTTTTGTTTAGAGTAAGTTTTTGTATACAGTATTTATAAGCTAATACTATATATTGAACAATTTGTATATAAATATAAATGGAGATTATTTTAATTTTAATATCTCCATTGTACTCGTAATAACAAGCTAACAAAATAATAGACGTGAGAGTTACTAAAACTATCACTGAGAATAATTACAACTCTACAAGTTGTTGCGTTATTGACTGTGTGTATAGCCTTCAACTCTGGCAACGCAATGTCTGCATTTTTAGACCTTCCGGGACTTAGACCTTCAGCAACTCTCATTTTATAAACATTTATTTACAAAATATAGGTTGTGTGCCCAAGGTCTAAATCCCGCAAGGTCTAAAACAGTATCAGTGGATGAGTTTTCTGCATTGACTGTACTCTTAGACCAGACCTTCCGGGATTTAGTCCTTCGGCATACTGCCCGTTTAGACCCTCAGCAACAAGTACTAAATGCAAAATGTGTACCGAGGGTCTAATTAGACCTTCCGGTGTTTAGACCTTCAGCAACACTCCCATGCAAACACATATGCATGTTAATCGCGTAAGTCGTAACGCCAGACACTAGCATACCCTTGTTTTGATTTTAACTATTGTGTGTTTATTTTTTCACTGTGAATATTGTTGCTGCCTGGTTTTATTGCTACCTTTTGTTTTACAACAAACATTTTAAGCGTTTTATCTTCTGCAAAAACTTTTCAGTTCCTGCCTAGTTTTTACCACTTGTTCGTTGTAGCATTAATATTTCATCAAAATACTAATAGGAAATAGGTTATGTTCCTAAGTTCAGGCTATTTCTAAGAATCGCAAGAATAATGGTTTTTTATGTCCCACCTTCACATCATAGGACATACACTCTAGCCCGGAACTGATAAACAAATTACTTCAGACTTGGCCTAGAGGGTTGTGGCATTGTCACTTAGATATGTATATTGGTGATTGGCGGGACTGAAGCCCCACACTCTACAACTAGACCGGTTTGCTTTCCATTGCAAGAATGATTTGAATGATTGATTATTACAATATCATAAGACTTTGCACTGATAACTGCCCTAGTTCTGACCATCCTAAACTATTTACCTATAGTAGTCTTATTTTTGTGGTAAAAGTTTTGTTAATGTAACTTGTAATATGCTTTTGGTGTTGTAATCCTTATTAATTTACTGTGTGAATAATTTTAAATTCAATTTCATGATCATGATTACATTTTTTGCAAAGTTTGTTATAATAACATGTACCATGCTGATCAAGAAGTTATTTAAAGTTTGTTTATAACAATTTTAAATAGTGGTAAAAAATTGTTTTAGTTGCACATTTACATTTTTCACATTTTCAGATATTAAGTAAGTGGTAAATAGAGTTTTTGTGAGTCAAACAATGCAAATACACTCCCTACCTGTAAATAATTTATGTTTATGGTCAAAAGTTCAAAAGGTTCCACAGCTTGTAAATAATACACAATATTTTTTTAACTTATATTTTTACAAAAATACAATATTTTGTAATATAACTAAAAATAATTATCTTTAAGTACAGTATAGTAAACATTTGTTGTCTTCTGTGTTTACACTCTTACTGTAGAGTAAAATTATTTCACTAATAATTCATTTACTATGGAGGTCATAGGTACCTTAATTAAAACCAATTTATAATGTTTCAACTATTTGATTGTGTTTAAAAGTGTATCATTGTTATTGTTTAAAACAAAAATTTAATTTTAAAAAATAAGTTTTATTATTGTATTGGTTAGTTTCTATAAAAAATAAATGTTGGTTTTTAAGTTTAAAATTTTTATTATGATCCCCTCAACTCTGGTTTCTCATACTGTTAGGGTAAGTTAGGCATCACCTACTTCTCAACAGTGTTCCAAAATCATTTTATAAAATATAAATAGTTAATTTATTATATTTTTAAATGCACATACTCCATCTATATTGAATACATTCCTTTAACTCATTGGCGCCTACGAGTGTTACTCGTACGGCCGCTGCAGGCCGGCGGTTGACTTAAGAGTGCCGTTCGTGTCACCGCTACGCAGCGTCACTAGTTATTTTATTATTATTTTATTTATTATTACTATCCCATTTTTTGTCTTCTTACTTTTATGATGATTATAAATATCTTGCTTATTGTTTTGCGTAGTTACTCATTTATTTTGGTAAATAATGGAAACCAGATATCACCCAAAATCAGCCGCGGTAAGGTAAAACAAACAATTTTTTTTCTATGTTTTTATATTACTTATAAAAGTAAACAACTTGTGATTTTTCTATGTAGGGAATCAATTGAACTTTATAATAGTAGTGCCATTTGGTGTTTGGATTAATCTTGGAATTTGTAAATCATGTTTATAAAAAAATTGTTTTTAAAATTTTTTATTTTTATAATATTTATAATTTTATTTATTTTACACTCTGAGATTATCGAATTACCAATTTTTTTGTAGACAATTTTACTGTGAACAAAATGGCGAAAGAATTAATAATTTATTACCTAAGGTTTTAAAAGTCTACAAATTCGGTGAAATTAATTGCCGATAGAGGGTGCTGCAGGCAGCGCATTAATTCTTTCCCCAATGGGTTAAGGAGTTAAAACATTAGTATGGTAGTAGTATAATATTATTCTACGGGCCTCTTTTTCTGTCACAAACCTGTCTTAAAACAATATAATCCTATATAATAGTAATAGTAATAGTAATATATAGGATAAACCCTTTGGTCTTGGTCTCCAATGATTTATATGTCACTAAAACTCTTTTTCATGTTTTCCAATTTCTTGAATAAGCCATAGTCTTTTCTGAAACATTTACAACAACAAAGGAATTTAAATAAATGGCAAACCTTTAACAAAACTAAAATCAACTTAACTTACATAATCCACACCTTTAATGATATTCCAGCTGTATCCATGGAAAGACTTGTCTACTTTTCCTTATTGAAGAGTGCTTTAGAGACAATACCTTATAACCTCACACGTTCGCTACTGCAATAGTACAAAAATTTTCATTCGCGTGGACCAGCGACGCACATATGCGTCGGCCGGGTTCCACCCATAGACTGCCGTCGCATATATGCTCAAAACATAACTCAAAACACAAAAAATGAACTGTCGCATATATGCGACGTTTGGTCTATTTCAAGAAAACTATGATAATTTTCACTATTGTCTTCGCTGTAGACCGGGCGTCGCAAATATGCGACATTACAAAAGGTTATTAATAATACAAAAAAACAAGGATACATTACAAACACGATTGTAGCGTATTACAATGTAAATGATCACCGTTTTACAGGTTTTCGCCCGTGGTCTGTGTGTACTGTTATCCAAGTGACAGCCGGTCTGTGTGTAAGATTCAAATGTGTACCTCGGTCTGTGGCAATGACCGCGGCGTCGCATATATGCGACGCTCAGTAGCGAACGTGTTAACCTTTAGAGAGCTAGATGCAAGTTCTGCAACCCAGGTTTTTACATGTTTCCCACTTATACTAAATAATTAAATACAATTTTCTGTTGTTTAGTTCTGGAATAAAATTTGGCACTTGTAGTTTTCTTTTCACTTTTACCTCAAAATGCACTCACTCCCTTGTTATCTACAGATCATTTCATCAAATCTAATGATCTTACTGTGAACTGTGATGTAAATCTATAATATTAAAACGAAACAGGGTTTTTTTATTTCACGATTCTGAATCAACCACTCGACGGATTTTCATGATTTTTGTGTTGAAAGAAAGATAATTTTGAGAACTAGGGAATGTCGAAGCCACAATTTTAGTTTAGGGTCCCAGTTTTTTAGAAATTAAGTTTTAATTTTTAAAAAGTCTAGCAGCCGACGCTAAGATTCTAAACTAGCTTTTGGCATAAAATAATTTGCTTAACATAACAGCTGTAAACATTCAGCTTTTGTGTCACAAATTCAGCATTTGGATAAAAATGTAAAGACATACTTAGGGTTGACTTATTTAAAATGTGTAATGCTGTCAGTAATGTTATTATTGATACGTTCAATTCTTCTGTAAGAGGATGACAGATTAATTTAATATACATAGTCAAATACTAGGATGTTCAAATTATTTTTTAAAGCAATCTTTGTAATCTTCGATTTGTTTTAGAGCAATATAATTTGTTTTAACTAACAGCTGGTTAGTTATAAAAATGCCCTATAGAACTATGAGGTTATTTACTCTGATTTTGTCATTGATTATAGGAAATAAGTAAGATTAGTAGACCACCGAGATAAGTAACACCATCGATGTGTACAAGTCGAGGCTCTGTACATGAGTTAAATAAAAAAGATATGCAAATTATTTTACTGCTCAACTTTTTTAGAAAGGGTAGGAAAACCACAATTTTTACATATTTTAATTCATGTTGGCAGCTTTTTGTTTACAATCAATGTTTTTGAATGCTTGAACTTTGTTTGGATTAGGCCCGGAATTATTGATGTCATAAAGATGGAGATCAAGAATCCTCAGGAATACAATTTTAAATTACCACCACAACCTCAGACGGGTGTTATTCAAAGATATACAGACGAATGACATAGATTTAACACAAAGTCATCATTGACCTAGGATACTGCAATTAGACTAACCATCCTTTTATGAAATCTAAAAAGTTGTTTGGCGTGTGTTTAGTTGTGGTTACGTTTGGAGGCGCTGAATATTTTATAGTTTAAATTAATGAATATGGGGAATTACGATGTGCATTGATTCAATGAGGGTGGTTTGATTATCAAGGATATTGGAACTAATAACGGAATGGATCATAAACATAGACAATTAATTACGTCCCTAGCTTTACTAGCGTGTTTTACGTTTTTAATTCCTTCAACATGTGACCAGTTCATTTGTTCAAATGAATATTATTTTATTTTTGACTCAGCTGTTTACCAAAACAAACTATATGTTGTTGTGTTTACTTTTCTTTGTTTACACTTATTTATTTAGCAGAAATTGATGTTAATGGATGCAGTGAAATTGACATAAAGGATGTGTGTGGACGATTCGTTTAATGATGTCAGGACACCAACGTTATAATTATGTGTACTGTGAATTTTATTGGATATTTTCGTTTTATTGTTTATTTATTATTATTGGTGATATTGATTATGGAAGAGGTAGGTAGGCTATGCAATGGCAGGTGATATCATTGACTAGGCCTCTATACACTTCTCAATTGATAATTACTCCTTCTACTGTAGGCTGCAATAAAATTTGTCTTTATACGTGTAAACTAGCTGTTCTGAATTATAGGCCAACTCCGTTTTAACTGTCTACTCCCGTACGTAGGACGGGCTAACACCTCGTTTTAATTTATAATGAATTTTAAAGGTTAGAGTGGCATGGATAGGAAGGAATTTGGTTTTGAAATAGAAATTTATCATGGGATGACACAGAATGACACAAATTGATGACAATGTGGGTGTGGATTGTCATAAACCAAAATCCCATCTTTAGTCAAGTGTCTACAATGTTTTCCCTCGATCACTTAATTTTTGTTGAGCATACTGTAATAACAATGTAGATAGTTTGTTGGACTGAAAGAGTCATAATAAACATACAACATGTTATAATAACATACCTGCTTCTCAATGTAAACTTGATGCCATACGGAGGACATCGGCGTATGACGTCGTGCACCTGGTCGTTGGTCAGCCCTGTTACAGCTGTACCGTTGACTTTTATCAGCTGATCTGCCACTTTAACTCCAGCTCGTCCCGCAGCAGATTTCTCCCGGACACCCACCACGTACACACTCTTGCCCATCACTGCGGTTTTGAGACCAAATTTTCCATCCCTTTTGTTTAAAATAACCTGACCAAAGAGATAATATTAATTTTTATTATGGTTTAAATTGAGGATAAAATGTTGTGTACAAATTTATTCAGCGTAAATAAACACCACCTAGTACAAGTGATTTTAAGATTTGTATGTAGCTCTTGAGTTAAATATTAATTATTAATACTGGACCTGAAAGTAGTTAATGATAGGTCCAAGTTGTCACAGGAAATTTTGTTATTATTTCAGGTTCAGGGTAGCTGTATTGTGCTACTTGTTTTATAATGTGTTTTTGATTAGTTCTGGACTTAACACTTAATGCCCTAAACATAAAGCCTATTTACAACTTTAAAATGTTATATTTATTCCCTTTTTAAACACTATTATACTTTAAGTTAAGTTTAACATAAACTAAACGACTTTTTATACCGTACCTCTCTAGTAATAATTTTTTTGTCATTATCTTCTTGGTTGCTGGTTTTGATTGTCTCCACGGGATCACTAGACAGTTTATAGTAAGAAATGCCATTGCCTTGGTGCTAGAAAACACAAAAAATTGAATTATAAAAAAAAAAACAATAGTTTAACTTGATTTTTGTTAGACCTTTAAAATTATTTTTAGCGATTATATAATTTGGAAAATCTTTTACAACCTCAATAATTAAGATGTGTTATGCTTCAACAAAAAAAACCTACATGAAATAAATAGTTTATTTTTAGTAGTAAAAGCTCCCAGAAATTATGTTAAAAATATCCCTCTAAACTAGTTTCTTTAACACTCATCTAGGTAAGTATAACATTAGATAGTTTGATCTTTTATGGTACTCTTGAGCCATGATAACTATCTACTGGAATTGATTCTTTATATTTACATATTTATAATTTTGCTTTTGATCCAATGGCTGTTTTCTTCATTTGATGTGATTGTACATACCCTCCCAATTAATTGTAAATATATATAAATATTTAAAAAAATATGTTAAAGCCCCCCACACACTACCAGACCAGACCTCCAGACCAGACCGTCTGGCTGCAACCAAACCGTTTTGGACGGCCCTACACACTCCCAGACCAGACATTCCAACATTTGTAATTGAGACACCGTGGTGAGAACTCCAACAAATGGATGAAGACTGTAGCGACGGTCGGTCGTCTGACAGACAGCGCTACACACTCACAGACCAGACAAAAATAGTGGTGGGGGAACCTCAGACCGTCTGTGGTCTGAGGGTTCAACCATCAGACACAAAGACAGTCTGGTCCGAGAAAATCGGTCTGCAGACAGTCCCACATACGATAAGACAAGTGCCAGACGCCAGACCAGACAGTCTGGTCTGGAGGTCTGGTCTGGTAGTGTGTGGGGGGCTTTAGCTGTGTAACATTGTCTCAAACTATACACCTCTAATGCATAACTTTTGTATTTACTGACCATTGGATGTATTCCAACGAGAGCTACGTACTCTGGGAGATTGTGAGGCGAGGCAGGGGCCGGAGGGTAGACATCATACAGGGGAGGATACAGAGAAGGGTTGTATGGTGGTGGAGGCAATACTGTCCTGTAGATGGGTGCTACTCCCAAGTGAGGACTCTCCACCTAGGTTCACAGTCAAAAACTGTTTATATGTTTAAACCGTTTTGAGACTCCTGATTACTACAACTAAAAAAGTTTATGTAAACTTCGACTGTATACAGTTTATGTAAACTGTAAAGCCTCGATTTCTGTGGTGGCTATAATTTCAACCTCTAGAAACCAAATGTATTATAGTCCTCGCCACCCTAAGTTGAGGCAGCCCAAGGCCGCACGGCATATATCTAGTGCGGCCTTTGGCTGCCTCAACTAAGGGTGGCGAGGACTTTATAAGCAGTGAGCGACCTCGCTCTAACATCAAGTCTCGTTTAGCTGCAAGTAAATTTTTGAGAATGGTCATGAGAGGTCTGAGCAGTAAGCAGCAACGTCTAGTGCCGCTCAGAGTTTCAAGTCCAGAGATGATGGATCCATCCAAGTCCAGATTTTTGCCAAATCGCCGCTCAGATTTATCATGCTTCAGATCTGTTGTAAACCATGCAGTGTTTTTGTAAACCTCTCCATCTCTTACCAATCCTCAATCTCAATCTGCTCAAAATGTAGTCAAAAGTAGATATTGGACATATGAAGGGTATTTGCTGGGCATTTGAAGAATGTATCATTGCCTTCCCTAAGCTGCAGGTTTAGGTTTAGATGATGGTGTTCCTGAAACAATCTTCTCCTCTTGTTAATTGGTTGTACCCGTACCCCCATTATTTACTGTACCGGTATAGGTATCTTTTCTGTACTAACAAATTTTTTCTTTGAACTCTTGCAAATAAAATAAGAATATCAGTTTGTTGGCCTGAAAAAGTCATAATAAACATACATGTTATAATAACATACCTGCTTCTCAATGTAAACTTGATGGTTTACATTTTAGTACATAGATTTAACAAACAAAATTGTCCTAATAAAAAAATAGATACGACTTATGCCGGCACTGTTTGCTATCTTAAGCTTTACAGACACTTACAACAGGGGAAATGCAATGAATATCAAGAAAATTTGCTGCTTGAATCACAGTCATCACCAATACTTACATATATGTTGCTCACGTTGCTGCTAGCCATCCGCCGCCCAATGCTCGTATCTTACCCGAGGCCTTAAAGTCAATTTGTAAAAGAGCTTTTTGTAACTTGTCAGACAAAAACGTTAAACAACCTTGACATCGTCTGGATAGGCTTGTGCTACTTCAATATACTTAACTTTTTTAAATTTGGTATTAGGATTATTATGACAGATGATTATCACCAACTCACCTCAAAATCTGTAAGTTGAATACACACTGGAACAGTAGGGAAAGCCATCTAAAACATAATTAATATTAATTAATTATCTTAGCAGTTAGATCAGTATTAGTATACCGTAGTACCGGTACAATATTTCCTTACAAATTACCTTCAGAAATGAAACCGTTTTATACCGATGTGGTTGAATAAATTTATTGAGTGATCTCAATAAATTTATTGAGATCACTATTGTCTGTAAAATAACAACTTCCCCTCCACGGCCACAACACCTTTCTTACCCTTAATGGTCGTCCAGTTTTTATACCGTAGATGAATTTTTCCTCAAAACTTACAGTTAAGTTTATTAAAAACTTATACCATTGACTATACTACATCATAGTGTTATATAGTCAATGCTTATACCCTTTGAGAGATAATTTCTTAAGAGGTTATTTTATGCAACCCAATGTTAGGCTACCAAGACAATGAAAATTTTACAGTGAAAAATATAGTTTTATTACTTTGCATTTTGAAATAATATGTGTAAAGATAATTTCAATGATAACACTCATAAAACTTGAGGCTGGCAGGGATTAGAAGGATTAGAACTACCGTATGTAAAAACCTTCTTTTTTTTGTTAGTTGTTACTAGTATGATTAAAAGTCAATAATGTAGTCTGTAGTCACCATTACTTTGAAACAAAACAAAAAAATAAATAACAACAACCTTCAACTTGTATTGTACTTACATTCAAGGTGGCCGATGCAGTTGTAATTCATCCCAACAAGTACGTTTATCAGGACCTGATAATCTTATCATGCTTGCCAGGTGTTTACTTCAGAAGTGAATCACTCGTATAATATCATAAAGCATGAGCAATACATTCTGCTCAATGCACAATAACATGGTGTATACCGGTACTCATTACAGACTAAATACTAATCAAGACTGTACGGTATACAAGTTTATTTCAATTGAAATAGCTATACTTTGGCTACAGTTCCTCAGAGAACCTGTGATATATTATTGGACTATTGGTATTCTTGATTTTGATTCAGTGTAAGATATATCGCTCCTTAAGTATTATTTTTTCCCCAACCTTGACATTGAATTGAGTTATGGTCTGTTTATGCTGTTATTGACTTTTAAATTTAAACTAAACACAAAATTTGATTTGAGAACCTAGAAATGATATATTTCGCTAAACTACTGTAAAATTACATGTTTTTCGTTGCATGTTTATCACCTGCGAAAATCTATCATTACATTGTTTACTACGGCAAAAGAATGTTTACTATGCGAAAGTAATGTTTACAATCTTTTTTTGATTTTGCCAACGTAAACAAACAAATACTTGTTATTGTTTTACCAACAAACTGTTTCAATTTTCAACAACGATAACAAACATTAACTTTAAATTGAAGGCATAAACTAAACAATTCTATGAGTTTTGTAATGAAGAAAATAATTATTCTTTGTAGTGTAGCAAAAAGTACCTAACGTTCAAAACACGAACAAGAGTGAAAGTGTGTCTATACATATTCTCAACCATTTAAAGTGCTCGATAAATATCACACTTCAAACATGGTCTCAAATATGTAATGAATCACTTTCTACTCTTATGGAATATACTGTTTACGTTTTTAATGGTGTTTATTGTTTAATAAATGAAACTATATACAACATCATTTCTTTGTAGTGTAGCATAAAGTAACGTTCCAAACATGAGTGAAAATGGGGCTATATATATTCTCAACCATTTTAAAGTGCTCGATAAATCTCACACTTCAAACATGGTCTCAAATATGTAATGAATCACTTTCTACTCTTATGAAATATACTATTTACGTTTTTAATGGTGTTTAATAAATGAAACTGTATGCAACATCATATAACCAAAAACATTATGAACGTTAAAAAACAAATAGCCTATGACTATTAGTATAGTTACTAAGAAGGAAATTATTTCAACTACTGTAGATTGTTAACTTCTAAGAAAAGAATTGAACATTTTTCTAATCTGTTAAGTAAGGAGGACTGGTCTATGTGTTTGTCTTCGGTGGATAGTAATGAAGCTTATAAAAGTTTTTTCTCAGTATTCTATGATTTGTTTCTGCAATGTTTTCAAACTAGAACATTTACTTCAAATAAAAAGTATAAATATGGGAGTGACTGGATGACAAAAGGATTAAAAATCTCAAGTAGGAATAATAAAGAACTCCATAAAAAAATATAAGCAGACTTCTGACCCAAGTTTTCAATTGTACTATAAAAACTACAAAAAGATCTTTACAAAACTTGTATTTGCAGAAAAAAAGTATATCTTCAAAAATCAAGCATTCCAATAATATTGCAAAAACAACATGGCAAGTAGTTAGGAAAGAGCCTGGATTTATATCAGATGGTTTTCATTGTAATGAGTTGTTAATTGGTGACAATAACATTGTAAAGGGTCCATGAGATATAGCTGAGGTTTTTAATGACTGCATTTTAGTAGTGTGGGGCAACAGTCTTCCATCGGGGGTTCAGTTCAGGAAGCAATAAATTACTTAAATAATGCAAAGGTACAAAGCTTAACTTTTTCATTTAGTCCAATCACAAAAAGAGATATGATTAAGACCATAGCAAGCTTGTCAGCTAAACAGTCATCTGGGTGGGATGAAATCCCAGTTTCATTAATTAAAGAAATTAGTAGTATAATTTTGACTCCATTACTGCACATCTCAAATATTGTATACTGGAGTTTTTCCTGACAAACTAAAATTTTCCAACATTTTTCCAATTTATAAGAAAAACTGTAATAAAAGTTTAGATAAAGATAACTATAGACCAGTAGCACTGCTTCCATCATTTTCAAAAATGTTAGAGAAGATTATATTAAATCAAATAGTCACTCATTTAGAAAAGTATAATCTTATTAACGAGAAACAATTTGGTTTTAGACAAGGAAAATAAACCCAGATGGCAGTATTTGAGTTGGTGAGTGACTTGTTGAGGGCCTTGGATGAATCGCAGACAACATTTTGAGTTTTCTGTGATTTGTCCAAGACTTGATTGTGTCAGCCAAGAACTGCTGCTGACCAAAATGAGTTACTATGGATTTAGAGGCATAGCACGTGAACTGTTTGAATCTTATCTTACAAAACGATTCCAAAGAGTTAAAGTTAAAATGTTCGATGATGACAGAATTGCTAACTTCTCAACTTGGAGGGAGGTTGTCTGTGGCGTGCCTCAGGGATCTATTTTATGGCCAGTATTGTTTCTGTTGTACATTAATGATTTGCCAACCAACATTAATACTCCACTTTATCTTTTTGCAGACGACAGCAATAATTATGTGTCGAAACAAACGAATAACAAAATTAAAGCTTTTAAATACTCTCCAAGAAATATCTGACTGGCTATCCAAAAACTGTCTTAGTTTGAATTGCTCCAAAACAAAAATCTTAGCTTTCACTTCTAACAATAGAAACAAACAAATAAATGAGGAATTCGTCATGCCAAGTGAAGAACTTTGTGAAAATTCCCTTAGTGTGAACTTTTTATATTTTACACTTCAGGACAACTTAAAATGGCATGATCAAATTCAGGCCGTACAAAAAAAAACTTAATAAATCTCTTCATGCTATTAGAATTATTGCCAATACTTCAGATATTATAAAGACATGTCTTCAGGTTTATCATGGTTATTTTTTATCAATTAATTGTTAGGTACAGCATCATCCTTTGGGGTGGAACATCAGTAATTGACAAGATATTCAATTTACAAAAAGATGCCATTCGAGCAATGTTTAAACTAAAATTTAGATAATCATGTAAACAATATTTCAAAAATTCTAAACTATTAACTGTATCAGCTTTATATTTTGGAAGTTCTGAAATTCTTTAAAAAAAAATCAACAATATTTTTCGAAAAACAGTCTGGGGACTCAGGGTACAAGAAACATAGACACTCAGCAGTACCCTAAACATAGATTGTCACTTTTGGAGAAGGGTCCATATTACATGGCAATTAAACTGTTTAATCACCTTCCACCAGAGATGAAAAAATAAAAAATAAACTAAAACATTAAAAAAAACTGGAAACTCATCTAGCTACAACATGTCCTTATAAAGTGGACGATTTTTTTTTAATAAGCTCATCTGTCTGAATCAGGGGTTGTACTGTAAATGTTTTAATTTTTGTTAGACTATATCTTATCCACAATATATTTGATTTTTTAATAATTAATTTACACTCTAGTTATAATTGACATGCCATCTGTTACATGAGCTATGCTCAAATTTGTTATTTTTTTATGGCAAATAAAGAGTTTGAGTTTGAGATGGAACAGTGATATCTGCTTCTCATGTCAAATTTGGTGTACCACAAGGTTCTGTGTTAGGGCCTATTTTATTCCTTGTCATGGTAAATGATCTGCCGTCTACTATTAAGTCATCGAAAACCATCATGTTTGCTGACGACACATCTTTCCTTACAGTCAGTAAAGATTTGCCAACTGTGAATGGTATTGCTGATGAAACTCTGAATCTGGCTGTTACATGGTTCAGAGCTAATGGTTTTAAACTTAATGAATCAAAAACACAAAAGGCAATATACTCCTTAAATAGTAGACTTGCTTATTCAGATGAATTTGTTAAGTTACTAGGGGTGCAAATAGATTGTAACTTAACTTGGAATAGCCAAATAGATTTAGTTTGCAGTAAATTGTCAAAAGTTGTATATTTGTTAAAAACTTTAAAATTTTACGTTCCTGTTACTTATTTATTCTCTGTTTATTATGCTTGGTTTCATTCTTTGTTAGACTAAGACTATGGTATTATTTTATGGGGAAATTCTGTTAGGGTAACTGATGTTTTGTTGTTGCAAAAGAAAGCTATTAGGATAGTAACAAACTCAAAGAAAAAAACTCAATGTAAACCTCTTTTTACTGAAACTGGTGTTATGACTGTTATCTGTTTGTACATTTTTAGGTTATTGTTATTTATAAAATCAAATTAATCAAGTCTTGTTTTTTAATAAATACATCCATTCATATAACACTAGAAGTAGTAGAAATGTTCATATTGATCAAGCTAAGTTAGCTAAAACTTTAAGAAGCCATTCATGTGTGGTGTTAGACTTTTAAACCATTTGCCTTTAGATATAAGATGTTTGCCTTTTCCTAGTTTTAAAAAAGCCATTCACCTTTTGCTAGTCAACAATCCTTCCTACTGTATTAAGGAGTATTATGAAAGATGTTTGAATCTGTGATACTGTTAATTGTTTTTGTAGGTAGCTATGTTATTGTTATTCATATTTTAAAATCTGTGATATTTAATTTTATTATTTTAATAATTGTACTTGACAAGGTTGTATGCACTGTAAATTTTGTGTTCTTAGACCAATAAATCTCTTGACTCTTGATACAGAAACTTTACTAAACAAATTTTACAAAGAAAATTTCTCATTGAAAATAATTTAGAAAATATACACTCAAGAGGAGTTAAAGTCATGATGAGATCATCACATAACTAACTTTAGCAAGATTTGTAACTTTGATAATACTATTCGCTTGTACAATGTAGTATTATATTATATTGAATTAAGGATTTAAATGAGGTAATACTAAAATTGTAAAAAACCATATACATTTTATCAGAATATATACACAGAAGAATATACAAACTATTCAAGCAGCTTTTTCCTACTCTTAGGACTAGATAGCGTGATAAGTTGGACTCGGCGAGGTGTCTTCTTATTAGTGTTACCAGGAGTGATATTGACTCCAGACTTAGGAGAAGTTAATGCTTCCTCTTGCATAGTCTTTGTAGGTTCGCAGTTTTTTTTGGGAGATTCTTCCTCAATGGGGTTACTAACTGGTAGATCATGGCAGTCTTTGGCCTTTTCTTTTGTGCTACTTTCAGATTCAACTACCAGATTTTCTCCTTCTTTCACTTTGTTTGAATCGTAGGATTTTGATTCTAACGCTGGCTCAGTTATCGTTCCCTCATAAACTAAACTGAATTCATCAATGTCCATTGGAGTCTCCTTATCTTTGGAAGGGATTTTACTCTTACTATCATCTAGCTTGGTTTCAATTTTTCCTTTTGCTTCAAAACACATGTTTGCTTCTTCTGTAAGGTTCAATGGAACATCACTTTTCTGCAATGGTGTTTTCAGTGTGTTGTCCTGGGATTTTGTCAGCTCATTTTCTGGTGTTTGGTTGTCCTCTTTTGTGTATATTGTGCCAAGTTCATTCTCAGCAAATGTAATTATTGAACAGTATCCGTCAGATGATGAAACAACTAGCACTCTTCCATCACTTGACCTACAACAATAAGAAAGTATTTGAATTTTCATTTAAATAGTGGAATAGTAAATTACTAACGAGCAGCACAAGTATGGCCAATGAAACTAATTGGAAATTACATCGGTTTCTTGTGTTGTAATTATGATTATCAAAGTTTCTATTAAATGTTGAAATGTTACGTTTAACATGAAGAACAGTTTTGTAAATATAAAAGCTATAAACAGTCATGATACCCAACTCAATAAAATGTTTTTTACAGTGTGCATCAAAATCCAATTTAACCATTGATCTTTTATTTTTGAAGATGTAAATTTTTTGGTGGTTAAAATTTGATGTTGCTCCATATACGGAAAGTAAATAAAAGAAACGTCTTATAACACTTAAAACATATATTTACGCTTATACTGTTACTCACAAGACGGTAAATATACAAAAACGATGGTACCATCGTTTTTGTATATTTACCGTCTTGTGAGTAACAGTATAAGCGTAAATATATGTTTTAAGTGTTATAAGACGTTTCTTTTATTTACTTTCCGTAAATTTAATAACACGTACAATGCTGATCAAGAAGCTCCATATACTTCAAGAACATACCCAATATGGTTATGGACCATTGAAAAATACATTGATTGCAATGTTTTGATGTCACAAAAAGAGGACAAACTCTTCAGAGCAAAGAATTGAATAACACTTGTTATCAATTTAATAAGCTTTCATTTTGGTACGGGTAGTAATTTTGATAGGACACACAATTTTTTAGATTTCAGCAAACAACAAAAAATTGGTACCTTTGAGCTCCATCTCCTCCTTGGCTCAAAGGCTATGGGCGGGGACTGTTAATATGTCCACCTCCAAACTAGTCCAAAGTTACAAGGTCAAAAATTGTATTTCAAACATTTTCCTCTATCGGCCTACTCTTTTTTGAGCATTTTTTGTCTGGATCGAGTTGGCTGCTATTGAATTGCTTTTCGTAGGTGCGCAACCTTTTTTACTGACCCATCACTAATTATTACATTTCCTGCTGAAATCCAATAAATTGTTGACTGTTTGTTTATCATCAAATTGCTTAAGTTTTTCATATGGTACCTATAGTAATGTACAATATGGCAACGGCAACAGCATATGTACTGAGTTTAGTTAGGGGTAAATAAATTTCAAAGTGTAGTTAGATAATTAATTCACAATTTAATTATTTAAACTAATGTTACCTGACGAAACTCAAGAAATATACACTCATATAATTTACACCGTGTCCCAAAAAGAATGGATCAAATCCACAGCTTACGTGTTATTAAGGATCGTAGGAAAGTCAAGTATGGCTTATTTTAAAGCTGACATCTTTAAGTTTTTTTTTTAGTATGATTCAACAAAAATCAGCTGTCCATTGTTGTGAGCTCGCTTGAATTTTAAAAACATAAACAAACCACACAGTTGCATTATGAATGTGCAGTTAAAAGCACAGCGTCTTGAGGGGTTCATTGAGACTAAATCAGTGGTTAAGGTAAAACGAAGATTTCGCACTGTATACAATGTAAATTCACCACCCAGAAACAGTATGGAGCATCCATTATGGTACAAGCAGTTTAAGGATTCTGGAAACATCGGCCAGACAGATGAAACCTTCCCAGTTGGATTGGTCGCGGCGGTCCCATATGGTGGTCTCCTATATCTCCTAGATTACGCCTTGTGATTTTTTGTATGGGGATTTGTGGAAGATCAAGTGTATAACTTGCCGATCTCAAACTTAGATGAACTCAAAGCAAAGATAAGGGAAGCCTTTGGAAAAATATCCAATGAAATGCGACACAATGTGTGGTCTGAGCTTGAACACCGCCTTGACTTTCTCCGAGCGAACAACAGAATACATGTTGAGGTTAGGCGGTGAAATCATGTCAGGGAAACTTTAAAATGTTAAGAAATAAAATCTATATAAAGTTAACTTTTCATCTTTAAGTAGTGGGGAGGCAAATATAGTAAAATATGTAAAATAACAAAGTTGGCTCACCCCGAAAGGTAACCGGTGAACACTATGCTAGATGATATTATATAGTAGTAGAGATGATATTTTGACCGGTGTTCACTCTGTATGAGTGGGACTCTCTTTTCTGGACGCCATTTTCCAAAATGGCGGATGTCACTGTTTGATCTTTGTATAACTCGAGCAAAAATTATCCGATTTTGATGAAATTTGGTATAAACGTTTAAACATACATTTATTCAAATGAGTTCGCGAATCAGCATGATCGGACCATGGGAGTGGGGGTTTATGGGGGGTTTTATGGGGTAAAAATGGGATTTTCTTTTTTTTGCCCCCAAAGCACAGAATTATCCAATTTCTCTCTAAACCATTTTAAAGAACTTAAAAAAACAAATAATTTAGTATATTAAAGTTTTTATGTACCCTTATTGGTTACGGAGAAAATTCAAAAAAGTGTTAATTTAAAATTCCCATGTTATTCTTATGGAGGATATTGTCAACTCTTGTAGTTTGCTTGTTTATGGATATATTTTGATCAAACTTGGTAATCTTATTTATTTATACTAAGCTATTAATATTCTACTAACTTTCACACTTTATTAGCCTCCCTGTAGCAGCAAACCTAGGTACTCGTTAAACCTAATGCTATTTCAATTCAACTAATTTAAAAACAAATCAGGCAAATGGAAATTCGCTTAGTCTGCAGGTTTTCTATGATGGGGGTATTTATTCTTGACATTTCTTCCTAAACCTACTGGTTCAGGAGATTTAAAAAGCAGTTAGTTAAAGTTAGGATTTCCTCAATGATAAATACATTGATCCGTTTTAACTGTCACCCTAATGTATCCCGTTGGGCCGTCGCACTTTCAGGGTGTCTACTACATTCTGGATAAAAAATTCATGGACAATTCCCGTACATTTAAGGACACTTTGCCGTAACCTTTGTCGGTGTCATTAGGCCTACCAAATAATTTTCCTGATTTGTCAAACTGTATTAATCTTGTTATTCACTGTAGTTGTACCAGAGAGAAAAGTAAATAATAATAGATAAGAGTTAAAAATTACAAAATAGAAATTTATTGAAAGTAAACAAACATAGGCCTACCTATAGGCTACTTTAGGTAAAGCTTTTATAGCGTAACAGAGAAACGCAATCATCGTCTCCTGCGATAGCGACAAATATCTCCATCCGTCACGTAAACTTCATAACATAGCTTATCCGATCCAGGCGGATTAATTTGGCATGATTCGCCCTGGCACAACGTTAGGTTCTCGACTACTTTTGAAAAAAATCTTTAATGCATATTGTTACTCAATTCTTAGTACAAAATCAAGGTATGGTAAGCGGCTATTAATAAGCAATAAGCACAGAGTAAGATTATTGTATTTTCATTTGCAAAGTTAATATCGACACATAGCAATCATTAGTAGTTTATCTTAGGCTCAATTACATTTTCTTAATATATTTTACAGCTCTTTCAAGAATCAAAATACCCAGGCCTAAACCTAATTATTTATGAGGGCCTATATAAACTGAGTAACAAACAGGTTATAATAGCAGCAAAGTTACTATCATCATTCTAGTTCATAAGATTTTTATTGCTTAAAGCATACAAATCAATAAATAAATATATGGGAAACAAAAAACATTGAAACTTGAATAGCCAACAATATAAGACAAAGATACAGAAAATGCAATGACATAATTTGAAACCAAGCAGGCCTACATAGTGATAAAACATTAATGCAAACAACAATGCTTGTGGTTTTGTCAATTGAAAGATAAAATGTCCATAAAAAAGGGGTTAACTTACAAAATAAGACTGTAGATTATTTACATGTTTAATATGAAACCATAAACAGTTTTATGGCACTAGGCACTGGCCGCGGCAAATTGAATCTTCAAGCCGAAAGTACAAGTAAGAAGTGAAATTTAACAGCCATTATAAAGCTATTATTTTCACGATAAAATAGGTTTGGGATCTAATAATAATTACCCTAGTAATAAAAAAAGAAGTTGTAAAGGAATAAAAGTGATACAACTTTTATGAGCTAGCTGCTGAGTCAACAGTTCTTGGAAGTACTTGACTTGACACTTGATTGTCGTGATAAAATATTAATGGGTTTGAGATTGTTAATGGGATTTTTATTGCATAATTACTCTAGTAATAAATTATGAAAATGTAAACAAACATCTGATAAACCTTTTATGTGCTCCTAACCAACTAGCGATCAATAAAATTATGGCCCATTAAAAATTTAAGGACATTGTCTGGCATTTAAGGACAATTCCCGTACATTTCATGGCCAGTAAAAATTTAAGTACAATTCCCGGTTTTCCCGGATTTCCCGGTTGGTAGACACCCTGACTTTTCTATATATACAATTTATCTTCTATTTTAAAAATAATGGACCCCAATAAAATCAGACATTAAATTAACTTTTATTTAATTATTATCAGTTATTACAACAATATTTCTTTAAACATCAATAATGATATTTCTTCTCATTAAACATGAAAACACTATTAAAAGGTTCTTTGTGCAGGGTCTAACTCACCTTTTAGTATACATTTAAGAGAATATATATTCAAGAGTTATACTATTTCCTCCTCATTGTCCTGATTTGAATATATATTTTTACATTTCTCTAGAGAACATCCACACACTTTGAGACATGGTAGCTTGTTTATTGTACACACACACTTAGATCGAGAACAATCTGTAGTACATCCGCACTGAACGAGCTGTTTGTATGTCTCAAAGTGTGTGGATGTTCTCTAGAGAAATGTAAGAATATGTATTTCATAATGTCCATTATTTTTAAAATAGAAGATAAATTGTATATATAGAAAAGTGCGACGGCCCAACGGGATACATTAGGGTGACAGTTAAAACGGATCAATGTATTTATCATTGAGGAAATCCTAACTTTAACTAACTGCTTTTTAAATCTCCTGAACCAGTAGGTTTAGGAAGAAATGTCAAGAATAAATACCCCCATCATAGAAAACCTGCAGACTAAGCGAATTTCCATTTGCCTGATTTGTTTTTAAATTAGTTGAATTGAAATAGCATTAGGCTTAACGAGTACCTAGGTTTGCTGCTACAGGGAGGCTAATAAAGTGTGAAAGTTAGTAGAATATTAATAGCTTAGTATAAATAAATAAGTTTACCAAGTTTGATCAAAATATATCCATAAACAAGCAAACTACAAGAGTTGACAATATCCTCCATAAGAATAACATGGGAATTTTAAATTAACACTTTTTTGAATTTTCTCCGTAACCAATAAGGGTACATAAAAACTTTAATATACTAAATTATTTGTTTTTTTAAGTTCTTTAAAATGGTTTAGAGAGAAATTGGATAATTCTGTGCTTTGGGGGCAAAAAATAAGAAAATCCCATTTTTACCCCATAAAACCCCCCATAAACCCCCACTCCCATGGTCCGATCATGCTGATTCGCGAACTCATTTGAATAAATGTATGAACGTTTATACCAAATTTCATCAAAATCGGATCATTTTTGCTCGAGTTATACAAAGATCAAACAGTGACATCCGCCATTTTGGAAAATGGCGTCCAGAAAAGAGAGTCCCACTCATACAGAGTGAACACCGGTCAAAATATCATCTCTACTACTATATAATATCATCTAGCATAGTGTTCATCGGTTACCTTTCGGGGTGAGCCAACTTTGGAATTTTGGCCATTCGCCTCCCCACTAAAGAATAAAGTGTTCATGTCATTTTACTTTTGATCCATTCTTTTTGGGACACCCGGTACTTTCATCACAGCCACCTTTTGTAAATTGATTGAATAGTAGGAAATGTTCTGTATGTTATTAGAACAAATTAAATGTATTCATCAAAGTACAGTTTTAACCAACTTTATTCCGCACAAATTAAAAGCAAAGTGGAGAAGTAAACATTATAACCAGCTGATAATAGTTATAAAATAAATAATAAGCAATAAGTAGAGATAGATATTTAGGATGTAACAGGAAATTTCATAATTACCAAGAAAGATCAGTGAGGCGAGTGTAGTGAATGTTGGTGATTAATGCAAAAGGAGCTGCATGTTGTGTGTCATAGAGCATGACATTGGACTGTGTAGCAACAGCGATGACAATGCGATAAGGCAGCTGGAACAGTGGGGCAAAGTCCATCTGTCGTAAGGTGAAGAACACAGGACAACAAGACACTGCCACACTATACTGACTCAAGGAAGGCAGGAATGCTATTGGCCTGTAAAATAACAAACAGATGTTAAACATGTTACCAAAAACCATCACTGTGCAGAATTTAGGTGTACCACTTTGTGTTGTGAGTCTGCAGACACTAATAATAAATCTTGATTTGAATGTCCATAAACATTGCACACACAAAATATAGTCCTTTTGTATCCAAATAAGGAGGTTCACACATTGGGTTGGGTATCATGACTGTTTATAGCTTTTATATTTACAAAACGGTTCTTCATGTTAAATGTAACATTTCAACATTTAATAGAAACTTTGATAATCATAATTACAACACAAGAAACCGATGTAATTTCCAAATTAATAAGCATAAAAAAGAGATATCTAAACAAAAACCATCATACATTGGAATACAATTTTTAATCATATCAAAATCATGAATATCTCTCACGATTATGTGAACATTATCATTGTCTCCCGCAATCACGGAAAAATTCTGATTATCTCCTGCAGCCATCTAGACATCATCAACGGCTCCTCCGGTCACTCAAACATCATCGCCGTCTTACACGATCCTGGCAAATTCATGAACATCTCCTCGCAGCCGTCGTCCCGCATCGTCTCTCACGGTCACGGAAAGGTGACCCTTGTCTACTGTGATCGTGGCAAGATCGTGAGTATCTATCTTACTAATATTATAAATCTGAAAGTTTGTGAGTTTGTGTGTGTGTTTGTGTGTGTGTGTGTTGCTCAATCACGCATAAACTACTGGACGGATTGGGCTGAAATTTGGCATGATGATAGCTCACATTCCCGATTAACATTAAAGCATATTACTATCCCAAAAATCCTTTCGGGCTCCGCCCCAGTGGCTCTGTAGTTCCCCATGTTAACCTTATGGTTTTTCATATTTAAAAGGAATTAATGAATCTTAACAGCTGTTCCAATTTAACAAGTTGGTTCTGTTCTATGATGTTCAATAGCATAAAAGTTACAAGGATTACCAACAGGGTGCAGCACTATTATTTTTTTTTTTTATTTATGACAACAGCTAATTTCCAACCAAAAGGTGAGTGAGCGTAGCGAACGAACGTCAACCTGGAGGCGATTTAGCGTAGCGAACGAGCTAACCTGAAGGCAAGTGAGCGCAGCGAACGAGCTCCAACCTAAAGGTGAGTGAGCGTAGCGAACGAACTTCAACCAGGACGTGAATGAGCCATGCAAATACTTATGAAGTTAAACGGGGCAAAGCCTGCGGGTACAGCTAGTTCTATATATAATTCAGTTTTAAAAATCTTTGTACAACTAAATCTAGAATTCTACTGGACCGATTTTATTAATTAATGGGTCGTTGGAAAGCTTAAGTCGTGTAGATTTGCAAATAATTATGAAAGTTTGTTTTTGTTATGATTTATGGTTAAAATTTTTAAAAAAACATGTTTCCATAAGAAATACATTGAAAACGGTGTTTTGCACACTTTTTATTTGGGTGCTACTTTTGGCTGCCTTTTTTAGTACTTCCAAGAAGTACATGGTATCAATTTGTAGGAAATTTTATGCTCTTTCAGAATATTACCATCCACTTTGGTCGATTTCCTCACCATTTAAAAGTTATTTGCAAAAAAGCTAAGCAACCTCCGAATTTATAGTAATGAGAAAATATTGAGTTTGGGATATTTTTGTTAAACTTTGTACAACTAAATCTGGACTTCTACTGGACCGAATTTGTTAATTAATGGGTCATTGGAAAGCCTAACTCATGTAGATTTGCAAATAATTATAAAATTATGATTTTATTAAATATTTGTGGTGAAAAAGTAAAAATAACAAAAATACATTAAAAACTGCTTTTTTCAAGTTTCTGTTTTTAAGATTCTGTTTGTAGCCAGCTTTTGGCTGCCTTTATTAAGTATTTTCAAGAAATGCATAGTAGTTATCTGTAGTAAATTTTATTCTCTTTCAGAATATCACATCCACTTTCATCGATTTTTCCTTAAATTAAAAGTTATTGGCAATAAGCTAAGTGATCTCCAAATTTATAGTGGTGAGAAAATACTGAATTAGATATATTTTTGTTAAACTTTGTACAACTAAATCTAGACTTCTACCGGACCGATTTTGTTACTTAATGTGTCGTTGGAAAGTCTAATTTGTGTAGATTTGCAAATAATTATGAAAGTTTGATTTTATTAGATATTTAAGGTGAAAAAATAAAAATAAACAATAGTACATTTAAAACTCATTTTTTCCAAGTTTATATTTCCAAGTTTATATTTTTAGCCAACTTTAGGTTGCCTTTATTGAGTATTTTCAAAAAATACATAATAGTAATTTGTAGGAAATTTACTTTTCTTTCAGAATATCACCTTCCACTTTGGTCGATTTCCTCACCGTTTCAAAGTTATTTGCAAAAACGTTAAGCAACCTCCCAATTTATAGTGGTGAGAAAATTCTGAATTAAAGATGTTGTTGTTAAACTTTGTACAATTAAATCTACCGTTCTACTGAACCGATTTTATTAATTAATAGGTCATTGGAAAGCCTAATTTGTGTAGATTTGCAAATAATTATAAAAGTTTGATTTTTTTAAAGATTTACTAGGTGAAACCCGTCAAATTCGACAGTTACTGTTGAGGTTGCAAGCAAGATCGTTTGAATATAAATCGATGATAAATAACTCTATTTTTTGAACAATTTGTGTTGTTCGTGATTTAGCTGTGTGCTTTAGGTACGTCCGATCTTAATAATCAATAAATAAAATGGAAGCTGGTATTTCACTGAAGGTTCTTAGGTCAAAATAATTAGAATAACATAATTAGAATGAAGTACCATATTCAAGACATAATCAAATTTATATTTTCTGATTGAGCGATATAGTATCTTGAACTTATCTGTTTAAAACCATCAATATCTCAAGTGAAAGCCTTTGAAGTATTTTAAGACCAAGACATATAAAATAACTTAAATAAAAATAGAGTAACGTATCATTGATTGCAGATAAGTACTAAAACGATTGTAATTATTGTTGATTCATGGTTCAGCAGTGTGCTTTGGGAAGTCCGATCTTAATAATCAATAGCTCAAATGAAAGCTGGTATTTCACTAAAGGTTTTTTTTAGGGTAATGTAATTAGAACTGCTGGAATACATCTTTAATTGAAGTGAAGAAAAAAAAAAAATTAAATTCTTTTGTCGAGTAATATATTAGATAAATTAATGATGATGCTTGATGTGAAATATGTGCTTGCATAGCTTTATTTTAAAACCAAAATTATAAAAATCGGGCAGGTGGTAGAGCCAAACGAACTAAAAAAAAAACAAATTTAAAAGAAATGTTCAGGGAGGCAGTTCGTGTATAACTCGAAATATACGTCAAAATGAATGCCGATGCTTGATGGCAAATCTGTGGTACGTCCATAAGTTTTAGTTTAAGGCCAAAATTATGAAAATCGGTCGGGTAGAAGAGCTAACCTGACACGGAAAAGAAAAACCAATATTTTTTATAGATGGCAATAATTGGTTTACCAGTATGCATATTCTAATCATACGAAACATGTGTTAATAATTCAACAGCTCATTGTTATATTGTTATCTAATTGATTTTTCTTTGATTAATGTTGTTGTTAACAATTTGCATTTGTGTTTAAAGTGTGTTCCTTATGTTAAGTGTGTGATTCTAATGTTATGTGCTTAATCTGTATCATTAATATCAGTGAGTAAAGTGGTGTATGGATATCATAACCATTATTTTACTAGAGACCGTTGTATTTAACCACAACGGGCACTGTTGCTAGTTTGATTATATTTTACATGGTCCATAAAATTCTAGGGGTCTGCGGGTCCCCGATTTGCCCGAGAGACCGGGTCGGGTCAGAGATTTGTTCGGGCTAAGATCGGGTCGGGCCAAAAAAAATAATTATTAGGCCATTTTTAAAGTTATAATAAGTAATTTTCAAAGAAACACTCTTATATACATTATTACAGAGGAATTAAAATGTTAAAATTAGAATTAAATATTAAGTTTGCTCACGTTTAAGAACAAAGACACAACAGAGAAATTATTGCCTTACTGTCACTAGCCAGAGCCAGTCGTCTACTGACAAAACAAAAGCCAAGCCGTGACGCAACAGTGCAAAGAAAACTAAGTCAAAAGAAAGACTATTTATCCAGAGGTACCAGTTTAATTATTTATTGTTTATTCCATACCTAGTTTAAATTATATTTTAGTATTTTATTTACATAATAAATTATAAACAAAAGAAATATCTGATATAGTGTACAGATATGTATCTTGTTCTTTTATTTTCCTATTGTCCTTTTTGTCATTCAGTAACAAAACAAAACAACACTTCTGATCGTCTGGTTCGGCATTGTTTGGTCACCATTTAATTTTTTTTTAAAGTATCAAGTATCAACAAGTCTACAAAGAGGTTAGGCCTAAATATTTTATAATTTTATGAAAGTTTTCATCAGTAAAATTATTTTTTTCTTAAGTTAGATTGAGCTTCAAAAAATATATTTCTAAGATCCAATACAATATTTACAAGACACAAACTACCATGAATTAATTTCTTTGGAAATTATCTGTAACAGTTTTATATTTTTGAATAAAGAAAATATATCTTTTTGTCTCTACTTCCTTGTTTTGTTACTTGTATTTTGTCAGCAATTGGAACAACCGGGTGGTGTAATATGGGCGGGGGAGGGGAGGGGGAGGGTCTGTAACCTTGAGTGTCCCCGGGCCCGGCTGTGAGAGTGATTCATGGTTTTTTGTTTACATTCTACTACCCTTCCTTCCGAGAAAAAGACCCTACAGTTTCAAAAACATTGACTTACAGTATAAAAACATTGAGTTGTGTTGCTAATTAGGGCACTATAATGTCTCTGCTGTCTGCTTATGTTGCCAAATTAGCATTTAACTTTCTTTTCTCTTGATTTAATATAATTTTCTATATATTAAGAGTTCCTTTTCGGGTACCTAATAATTGTGATATTGTTTGACTTGAGTTTATGGATTTTTAATTCTTTTAATTTATTAGCTAAAATCAGTTGTTTCAGGATTTTAATCTCTTGCAATACCTATAACTGTGCCTATAACTGTGTATGACATGATATGCAATTTTTACAGTCTTTACTATAACTATACCATAAACAATGTATGTGTGTTATTTATTGTTTTAGAGTTTTATAGTAAATTAGTTTACACAATATCTTTTCTTCAATGAGTTCTCCACTTGTCATGTTGCTTAGTAGGCCCTATAAAAAATAATTCCTATGTAAAGCTGTAGGCCTACTAATGCCAATAATAGATAATTCTTTATTTATGATGATGTAACTAATAATGCTATTGTAAGTGTGAGATTTTTGTACTTAGGAGGTTAGGAGGCAGGGAATGAATGATTCATATTGCATGGTGGAAACATAGAATTTTTATTTTCTTCTTGCTTGCAGTCTTGAAGCCAGTCCACAGGCCCTAAACTTGTGATAAGGTTAATTGATTTGATCCATTTATATTAAGTTCCATTACAAACTTGTTGTAATATAGCTGTTTAGATATTTCAACAGTTATGAAAATGGGAAAGAATAGCTTGATAAAAAAAATTATTTTCTTCTTTCTTGCAGTTGAGGCAACTCCTAAGCTGTAAATAAGTTATGAACATGAAATAATATACATAAATACAATCTTTTTCCATATGTTATTTTCAAGTAATATTATAAACACAGATAGGAGTTAAAAAAAGAAAAAAAATCCGGTAATTAATAATTTTTGGCCCGACCCGATTTTGGCCCGAAACCCGAGGACCAAAATTATCGGCCCGACCCGACCCGAACCAAAAAAGTCTGACCCGCAGACCCCTATAAAATTCCCAAATGTGACATCAGAATAAAGACTAAATTCCAACTTTTCAAGACCATTTTGAAATTAAGTACTTATTCCCGATTTTCCCAACTACTAGATACCCTGGTTTGAGTATGACAACAAGCACATATTTTGCGTGAAAATAGTTTAAGTCTACTCTACACAACGTTATCAATGAGAACACTTACTTTTGGAGACAATTCCTATGGAACAAAATGGTGCAGTGTGTAGACTTCTTGTCAAGCTCTTCTACAAGTCCTGAGGGAACTATCAACAGTTGGCCATCAGGAGTGAATGTAAGTCTGCGGAAGAAGGACTTGAGGGTGTCATCATGGAAGTAGTGTGCAGGCTTGGACTCAGGCTCTGGGGAGGTGCCTGGTAGATGACCCTTGTATATCTTGGACTGCACTTTGCGAGTCACAGCATTGTAGACTCGACAGACCCTGGACAGGAAATAGTCAAGCTTGTAGATTGAACAACTGAAACTACATACCTTTAAAACCCTTGTTTTAAGACTTTGTATGAGTTTCATTTGCTTGAAAGAAACTAAAGAGAATAACAGACATTTACACTTGTATAGCAGCAAGTTTCCCATGTAGGGAATAAGCTATTTATTATAAAGGTGTGCGGGTATCTGAACATTTGGGTCCGATTCGGCCCAAATTTGATATACGACACTGTCCATTAAATATCCGACTTTTCAGATAGACTACCGTATTATGACGTTTTAGGCTGAAAACATAGACTTTAGTCTTCATAAGTAGGAGTGTGCGAAGCAGCCAAAAACTTTTGATTTGAAGCAACGATTCGATTCAACTCGATTTGAAGCAATCCGGCATTTTTCTATTCACACTTGTCAATGGAATGTATTAACAACAATTAAAATTTACATGTTTGTGCAATGCAAATTTTTGTTGATGTGGTAAGAACCTGTGTTGCTGGAAATGTCAGTGAGCTGCTTTACTTGCCTTTTCATAATTTTTACTTCCAGAATCATATTGGTAGGTGTTAATGATAAATAGTATGATTGATTAGATTTTACAAAATAAAAGGGATGAAAAACATTTGATGGTTTATCAACATGGTTGAGAACAAAAACTGATAAAAAGTAAACAAGTAAGTAAATAGATCATAACAATTAATAAAACATATGATTTTATCCTCAAATGGCAGGCAGTTGAGAGTATACATAGAGTACTTCTAACAGTAGGCTTTAGCATGTTACCTATTTCATAATACTAGGTGAAACCCGTCGAAATTGACAGTTGCTTTAAAGGCTTACGACAATAACTGCGACAAAAAGAGTGAAATAATAAAAAAATGTGAGCAATTAGCATTGTTTAATGAGTAATAAATAAGTGTAGAAACAATAATGACTTTTGCGTTAGTTACATAATATGGTTGGTTGATCATTCAATGAATAACATATTTTTATACCGTCCATCAAAGGAGTTATAGTTCCTATGTCAACTGGTTTATCTTCATTTTGATGAATATAATATAAAGAATGCTTTTGGAAGAATCTTTAAATAGTATTAAAATCATACAAGTGGATCTTATTTGTGTTATGCAGATAAAATCTGAGTTTTTTTTTTAATATCTGTTTCTTGAGAAGGCACGTTATTACTTCAAAGGGAGGCCCACACTAAAGCTTTGTAGGCCTAAGTTTTATTTTTCATTTGTCAAGTTGGTCATCATACCATACTTCTTTGCCAATGAATAACCCTCTAAATTTTTAAATAATATTTTTTTTATCATAATTTTGATTCCATGACATGCGGATTCAGTTGTCCCAGCCTTACCAATTACATTAAGTGTTCAATATAATATATTTTCCGAATGTTAGGTGTAGTGGAATATACTTGTAGTGAAGCTGGCTTTTTCGTATGGTCATGCGGCTTCATTGGTAACAAATAATACAAATGACAAAGCGATGATGCATTTCCAAACAGCAAATACTGTAAATTGTTACATAAATAGTGACGTTTACATTGTAATGGTCAAATTTTATTAGGGGGGTTCGTTTTAATTATTTAAAGGCCTCGAAGGCTTGGGCGCGCTTGACAACAATGCCCAACATGTCCGCTGCAAGTCAAGTCGCCTAGTTTGTGCCTTGGCCGCCGCGACTTCGGGGCGCTGACGTAGACGTGGTGGGGAGAAGCCGAGACCAGCGGACAGTGGTCAGTTCTTGAGGCAGTCTATGGCGAGCGCTTGTTCGCCGAACACCCTCCTAAGATCGTGCAGCGGACCTGCCACCATAGGTCGTGGATGTCGACTCGCAATGTGCGAGACAAAATACATAAAAGCGACAAAATAATAGATCGAGAGAAGTATCCAGGGTGTCTAGTTTATTTCCATTATAAAATTCAAGACTAATTCCAGACTTTTCAAGACTAATTCCAGATTTTTCAAGACTAGTTTTTTCAACAATTAGTGGTTGTTGATACCAAACTGTATCAATTCTCAATTCTTGATACCGATACCAATTTTTATAGCAAATTATTTATACCTAATTTTCTGAATAATACTACACCAACCCCTGTCTTTGTCATAAAGTAGTATTATAACAATGTGGTGTTTTCAAGTAAAGAAATAATGCAGCAATAAAAAGTTCTAACTAGCAAATTTTTTTTTTTTTTATCATGAAATCTTCCACGTACCGTACGTTTAGACATCATCACTGCAGCGGTTACAGAAACGTGATCGTCGTCGTCCGCGATCTCAGCAAAATCATGAACATTTCCCGCGGCCTTGTAGACATCAATGACATCATCGTCATCTCCCGCGGTCACGGAAACGTCATCGTCGTCGTCCGCGATCGCGGCAAAATCATGAACATTTCCCGCGGCTGTTTAGACATCACCGTCATCTCCCGCGGTCACGGAAACGTTATCGTCGTCGTCCGCAATCACGGCAAAATCATGAACCTTTCCCGCGGCCGTGTAGGCATCATCGTCGTCTCCCGCGGTCACGGAAACGTTATCGTAATCTCCCGCTCTCACAGAAACGTCATCGTCGTCTCTCGTGGTTTCGGAAACGTCATCGTCGTCGTCCACTATCGCGGCAAAATCGTGATCGTTTTCCGAGGCCCTGTAGACATCATCATCGGCTTTTGCGGTTACGTAAACGCAAGACGACGATCGCGGCAAAATCATGAAAATTCCCGACTTTGAAATCAAATTTAAGACTAAATCCCGACTTTTCAAGACCATTTTGAAATTCAATACTAATTCCCGACTTTCCCGATTTTCCCGACTACTAGACACCCTGAGTATCGTCAGACGTAAGTACAGCGGTCTATCATTACGTTAATAATAATCTTATTTTCCCGTTTTACTTTGGCGAGTAAAAGTTATTATTATTTACGATCATCTTAGTTGTAAGAGATTAGCGTATTGTATTTCTCAGGCCGGCACTGCGAGTGCGGTGCCGCAGTAGCCTACACTTTTTAGTTTATTTATAGAACGTGGTTTTATTTTATTTTATCTAAAAGTATTTTTATTTGGTTATATTTCGAAGCCAAGAAGTTCATTGGCATATTAGCGCTGACTCATTTCATTTTGTTATTTTGTTATTGCGTGTGACGACATTTTATTTCACTACGAGAGTTTTATTTTTAGTTTTTATTTGAGAAGCGATACCTTTTGTTAGACCTAGAAGCTGGTCACGTATTTTAGTTCTCATAGAAGCATCGTATTTAGTGCCGATATATTCCTGGTCAGTGCGTCGTTGTGCTGACATACAACCATAGTATCATGTGCGTGTAGGATGACGAAGAAAACGTCTACGAAGATTGAGAGGCGGTTAGCAAGCGACGGAGACTCAGCTAGAACCCTGGACTACTCCCGAGCTGTCCGAGCAAATCGGAGGTAAGTTTACGATAGGTGCCCTACCCGACATAAACACCTCACAACATGCATTGTTTTTAAACAACGTATCTTAGAAAGGATGAGGATATCTAGTTCAAAAGGCACACAACCTTTCTGTCATGACAGTAACTGCTTAAATGGTAATAACTCTTTGAGAAATTTGTTGTTGTTGTTGTCTATGCTTTTTAGAGATGTTACTTCAATGTAAGTTATCGGCAAAAATGGTCAAAAAGGCACCAACCCGTACAATAGATATCAGATAATTCAATAAGAATTAATTTTAAGAATTACTGTAATATTAAGATTTTCCAATGACTTCGTAATTGAACGTTATATTGCAAAACATGACATGATGCAGAGTAAAATAAATTTTAAAATCAGAAAATTACATTGCAAATACTTCTTCTTGACAAACTCAATAACACCCTATAATATGTGTTTAAAATACAATCATTTAAATACTAACAGCTGTTTCATTAAAAGTAGTGAAAAATTATCCATATGACGATAATGTTTACAAACAAATCTAGGAAGGGAACTTTAAAGGCTTCTGGGGCAGAGCCCTAAGGGAATTTCCTTTGTTTTCTTTTGATGGCTCATCTACAGACCGAGACCTTTCTTTGGACACCTCTTCCAAGTTTCTACACCCAGCCGTTCTCTCAAATTAGTGGAGACAAAGTTTCCAATTAAATATTTAGATCCCCCCATGTTAATCTTATGGGAGAAAACCCAACTTTGATGGAAGATCCAGCCCAAACTAATACAAAAAATGAAAAACACTTTTCAAAACTACAGACCAGGGCCATTTTTTTGACACTTCAATTATCAAAATTGGTCCAAAAAATGAGGTAGGAATTCTGTTTACAAAAATCGGCTTAGCGTATTATATATATAGATAAATTGATTTTACAAATAAAGATATGTTTTGGTGTAAACAAATAAAAAAATTTGTGAGATTTACTCTGGAACTTTCAATTGGTTTACATTGATAAAATGATAGGATAGAATCAGACCTAAAAAAATACCAAATTTATCAGTCTAAAACATCAATAGTTAAGTATCAAGTAACAGTTTTTCAGACTTGTTTTTTTAGAATGATTTTGGAGTTGCTATCTTGTTTTGGCTATGTTTACAATAGTAAAACATATTTTCACACTGCTTACATCAAAACAAAAAACGAAACCTCTCAATAATTTGCAATGTCAAAACAAAAAATTATCAAACAATTAAAGCAATATTTACATGCAAAGAATAAGAACACCTTCGCAAAAGAAAAGCAACCACAACACGCTCCTGTATTGCGGGTATTGCATTGACTTTCAGAGCGTTTTTGTATATGAATAGACTCCCTCATGAATTGAATCGTTTTTGACCACCACTGAATCGAATCTAATCGAATCGGAATTTCAATGCATTGTCGATGCATCACACACCCCTACTCAAAAGTTAAGTAATAATCAACATTAGTTTCTATTTTCCAAGGACGTTATTTCAACATGGACATTGTTTCTAGCAACTCTCAGCGTCCGACTAATCGTCTTTGACAAAATCAAAACATTCATATGAGCATCGTCGCCGTGAATAATAAACGAATCAACAAGCAAAATAACTATACCGATTGATATAATACGCAACATGCGGTACTGCATTCATATGAATCAGAAACAAGATAATTATTTTAATGACACTAGCAACACATTACACATATGTAAAGAGTGCAGTTAAACTAAATATTAACAATTAAAGTATCACCATTGTCTATGGGGTACTGAAGTTGTATTAATAGTCAAAGGTAACACCAAACACTTAATTTTCCATTCATTATTTTCTTTCTCGGTTTTTTTTTTGTTTAACCTAAAATATTTGTTAAACTCAAGACAAAACGGTGCAATACCGAGATCTGGTTTAGTCTTTTATTGGCTGTTCACTTGCTTTTGCTTTACGATTCGATTCATCTAGAACGAACAGAGATCAAATCAAATCAAATCAAAACATCTTTATTTTCCTTACATGTACATGGGTACAAAAATAGTGTCAAGTATAAAGTACTAAACTAGCTTAAAGATATAAATACATTTTAAGTATGAATAGGTATTTATTCAATGAGTTCCTCCATTGTATAAGGCGCCTTTTCTATTAAATGTTTTTTTAATTTAGATTTAAATAATTTATAATTTGATTCCTCCTTTATAGAGGCAGGCAATTTCCTTAGAATTAGTGATCCAGCAAAAGTTGGTTTTTTTTTTTTGGAGAATTCCAGCTTATAGGTTGAAGTTACAATATCCTTTTTATGTCTTGTATTGTAACTATGTGGCACAACTGGCTCATATTTTAGGCTGTCTCTTTTAGCTATACATGCTATTTCAAAAGTATACGCTGCAAAAACTGTAAAAATATTTAGATTTTTAAAGTGAGATTTAACTGATTCATCTTTTTTAAGGTGTAACATAGTTCTAATGGCTTTTTCTTGCATGATTAGAATTTTATTTAAATTTTTAATCGTAGTTGCCCCATATAGTCCAATGCCATAGTTTATGTGAGAATGAATATGGGCAAAATATATTTTTTTTAAGTGCATCTAAATTGCACAAATAAGACATTCTTTTCAATGCGTACACTCCAGAATTAAGCTTTTTTAATAACTTTTCAACGTGTTTATTCCAACTTAGATGTTCATCTACATAGAGACCTAAAAGTTTGGCTTCAGAAAGTTGTTCTATTGATTCTGAATCAATGATCAAATTGGGTTCAAGTTTCTGTTTACTTTGTTTAGTCGAAAAGGACATAAAGTTTGTTTTTGTTGTATTAAGATTCAAATTATTATTTTTTAGAAATTGTTGTATATTATACAATTCTACAAAGGCCGAAATTTCCAACTCCTCTTTACTTTTCTCCGCCACTGTTAAATTTGAATCATCTGCATATAAACAAATCTTACTCTTTTGAGGATTAACAATACTTTTAGGCAATTCTTTTATATAACATAAAAACAAAATTGGTCCCAAAATTGAACCCTGTGGCACCCCCCACTTAATTCTACGTTTATGAGAGTTAAATGTAGTTAAATAATTGTTTTTGTTTGATTTTATTTCAACAAATTGCATCCGACCATCCAAATAAGATTGAAACCATTTTAAGGGGACTCCCATTATTCCAAGACTTTCCAGTTTCTCTAGCAAAATTGAATGACAAACACTATCAAATGCTTTAGAGAGATCCATGTATATCCCTAGAACATTTTCACTGTTTTAAATTGATTCTACGATGGACTCAATGAAGTCAGTAGCTGCTGTTATTACTGATCTAAAGAGAAAAGTACTGATCTGAGATAAAGAAGTAAAGAACTATGGAGGTCAAATGAATGCCAATTTGTGCTCTTCTCTTGTTATTTGGAGCGCTGCGACGCCATTATAGTTTAGCTTACAGCACAATGACAAGCATAAATACAAATATGTAGTTTTAAGATCAAATAAAATATTTACAAGCCACAAAATACCGTGAATAATTTATTTGAAAATAATCTCTAGCAGTTTTCTGTTTTTGAACAGAGAAATATCTATTTTGGCCCTTTTTTTATGTTTTGTAACACAATTTTGTTTGCATTTGGAGCATTGCAAAGCATTGTATTGTAAGGAAGAGCAAAGAGGGGAGGATCTATGACTTTGAGAGGGCCCAAACTGTTTGGAGACAGTGATTTATGGCTTGTTTACATCCTACTGCCCTTCTTTCTGAGAAAAAGACCCTGCAGTTTCAAAAACATTGACTTGCAGTTTAAAAATATTGACTTGTGTTGGTAATTATTTATTTAGGTCTCTGTCTGTCACCAAACGACCAAACATAATTCAGTAGAATCTTGATGAACCGAAAATTATGTTACATAACCTCACTATCCCAGGTAAAAAACGTACCAAATAAATTTCTACGATAGTATTTAACTGGTAATCCTAGCTTGTTGGAAATGGATTCTATGTTCAACTACAGTATTTCAGTCCATAATTAATATGCAGTAGGCTCCCAAATTATTGTTTTTGAAACATCACAGTTCATTATGAACATTAAAATGGAAGCAGAAAAGACTAAAATATCAATCGATAGCCCAAGGTCACATCATGCTTGTGCTAGCAATCGTCTGCTCCTGCTGTGCCCTATGTCACAAAAGCTCGGCTGATAACGACATGATGCTCAGTGTAGTCTCAAATGGGAGGATTAGTAACCATGGCTACTTCTTGTATGAGTGGATGAAGGGAGAGAAAGAATAATGAAATTTGTATACCCTTTTTAAGAGTGTTGTTATTATCTTAAGTATAATTTAATTTTATACTTCTTTATGAGTTGTCCAATGTTTTGCCCTTTAACAAATTAATTGTTTTCAACTATGTGAACATCAATTTATAATTTATTACCGAAGTTCTTCTCTTCTGAAACAGCACCGCCAGAAGTAAGCCTAATAAAGGTTAACAATGGCCTAAAATATCATGGTTTAATACTTTTAAGAGTTTAAACACTTGTACAATACAGGGTGTTTTTAAAAGAATGCCGGGATTTTAAATGATAATTGTTTGGGTACTATTCAAGGTAACTAAACGTTTTATACGCCAAATTAGTCAAATTTAAGCTAAAATAACTAAGTTTTGTTTCCCGTGTAACAAGAGAGAAAATTTTGGCCTTGGCGTGCGTAAAACAGGTGCGCGGTGGTAGACCACTATTGTGACTCATAGTCATACGCTTTACGCCAGTCGCCAGTACAACGGTTTACAGCACAACAGAAGACACAGATTGCAATCTGTGTTTCAAACAGTTTATATCTATTGCTAAATTAAACCTAAGTACTTGATGATAGGCCTAAAGAAACTTGAAGCTGGTTTAATGAGTTTCGTGGCACCGAAGTATTTTGAAAAGACATTCACCTCGCCGGCTAAAAACAAGCGATGACATACTCGAAGAAATCCGACAATTCTGCATCAGAAGGCCGAAAAAATCGATTGCCCGACGAAGTCTTTAGTTGAACGAACCTAACTTAATCACGTGATGATGTTATCTATAAAAGATAGAGTCAAGAGATTGAGTTAAGACATCAGATAAACTCGCGGATCGCTTTAAGCGTACAGACTGCCAGTTTTACGTTCATAAGATTGATGAAAATCTGAATTTTATTGAATCATTCGGAATTGTATCATTCAAAGAATGAGAAAAAAAAAACTTTAGGCCTATTCTTTTCATTCAATTTGACATTTAAATCATTTAATTATATTGAATAGTCCCCGATCAACGACCATTTGAAATCCCGACATTCTTTTAAAAACACCCTGTATTGAATTTTTGTTTATAAATGCAAATCATGACATAACGTTTATTTACACAGCTTTACAATGTTTTATAGGTTTAAAAAACATAAATATTTAAAAGCACTTTATCGAATTAGTAGGTCTCTTTGAAATGCTACTAGATCTTATAGCCTAGATTTATCAAATAAATTTCAATGTAGTAACGAGTTAAAAATTGTTGAAGCAATATAAAAGTATAATATATTCATCATGTAACCAAATATACCCTCACTCAATTATTTATTATTCTATGTTTAACTAAAGACAGTTTCATGTTTATAAAATTTGTATTTAATAAACATACAAGATCGCAAACCAGCATGAAGTGCTTCGGGAAGAGAGTTTTTGTTTTGAAAATTAGTTATATTTTCAGTTTGAAAGTTACCAGAAATAAAAACCTGAAAGTACTCGTCCAAAAATGTGTTACCTGTCACTGCTTATGGTGGCTACGTACTGTCCGTTAGGGTCCCACGCAACTCCCTGGACAAACCCCTTGTGTTCCGTCAGGATCCCCAGGTTCTTACCTAAGCCAAAATCAATCAGTTAGCGTAACTTTTGTAGTAGCATAATTATAGAAAAGGTAAACATCACTACCATATTTAAATTATTTTAACATATTTAAATGCTTTACAGAACTTATTAATTATCAATTCAATCAAGTATGTAAATACAAAAAATATACTATGAGCATAATCTTAATCATAAAACAGTAGGTACCGGTATTAAATTTAACATGAACTTACAAGATTAACTACTGAATTATGAATAGTGAAGGCAAACCCAAACTTTCAGCAATTTAATTGGTAGTAAAAAGTTAAAGTATGTGCTATTCATTGCTTGTCATTAAAACATGGGTATTATTTCACTGAATAATAAAATATAAAAGTTTACAAAAATCATACCTGAAGAAACATTCCACAATATGGCAGTGTTATCAACAGAACCAGATATGAGGTGTTTGGAATCAGCAGACCAGCTTAAATCGTACACATCCTGTAAACATAATTTTAACCTTTGTTTGAAGTTGATTTGAGTTGTGCTATTTAACTATTTACAACTAGTTACATATTTAGATAAGAGAAAAGGCATTGTCAGAAAAGGTACAAATCATTCCTTGAAATCATTCCACGTACACACATAATTCCTTGGTGAATGGAACTAATACCGAAAAACCACAGATTCCCCAGCATAAGGAACTTAACATCAACAAAACCAACCCTTCATTGGTGTGTGGAACTACTACCTATAAAACCACTCACATTCCCTCCCTGGCATAAGGAACTAGTACCAACAAAACCACACATTCTCTAGCATGCGGAACTAGTACCTAAAAGACCACAGATTCCCCAGCATAAGTAACTTGCATCAGACAAAAATACACTTTCCTTGATGTGTGGAACTGTTACCGACCAAACCATACATTCTCTAGCATGAGGAACTTGTATCGTCAGACACCACACATTGTCTGACATAAGGAAACAGTAGTACCAACAAAATTACACATTCTGTGGCATGAGGAACTAGTATTGACAAAACCACACATGCATTAGTGTGTGGGGCTTGTACTGTACTGACAAAACAACACATTCCCTAAGCATGAGGAGCTTGTATTGATAAAACCATACATGCATTAGTGTGTGGGGCTTGTACTGACACAACCACCCATTCCCTAAGCATGAGGAACTGGTATTGACAAAACCACACATGCATTAGTGTGTGGGGCTTGTACTAACACAACCACACATTCCCTAAGCATGAGGAACTTGTATTGACAAAACCACACATGCATTAGTGTGTGGGGCTTGTACTGACACAACCACGCATTCCCTAAGCATGAGGAACTGGTATTGACAAAACCACACATGCGTGGGGCTTGTACTGACAAAACCACACATTCCCTAAGCATGAGGAACTGTGTTGACAAAACCACACATGCATTAGTGTGTGGGGCTTGTACTGACACAACCACGCATTCCCTAAGCATGAGGAACTGGTATTGACAAAACCACACATGCGTGGGGCTTGTACTGACAAAACCACACATTCCCTAAGCATGAGGAACTGTATTGACAAAACCACACATGCATTAATGTGTGGGGCTTGTACTGACAAAACCCCACATTCCCTGGGATCATCTCATAACTCCAAGGTTTCATAACTCCAAGTGATCATAACTCCAAAGTTTCATAAGTCCAAGAGATCATAACTCCAAATTATATTTAATCCAAAGTTTCAAAACTACAAGTACCCGAAAAGGGATAATTTCATTACTCCAAGAAAAATATAAGTGCAAGTGATCATAACTCCAAAGTTTCATAAGTCCAAGATATCATAACTCCAAAGTTTCATAAGTCCAAGTAAAAATTAAAGCAGAGTGTCATAACTCCAAAAGTTGAGTCGAGTCTCATATCTCCAAGTGGAATGTGTAGTACAGTCAGCACCACAAGTTCCTGCGCTGTCCGCTCCGCTGTAATACTGTCAGCAGCCTTTGCCGCATCATTGTATCCATATACCTACCGTCGCCTGTCAAACGATTATGTAATTTTGTTATATACTTACAGATTAATTAATTGATATACTTCTTACTTCTATGCTAAAGGTACTTTAACCTTTAACTACTCGCGCGGGTTTTACTAACGTATGTACTCGCGTGGGGTGTTTTTGACACCCCGTTATTACATATTTGTTATAATTAATTGTATTAACACTAATAATTGGTAAATAACATTTTTTGTTGTTATTTAAGTTTATTAAAACGTTTTTATTAGCTCGCTTTCTTGTCCGGTACAAATTTTGCAATCAATTTTATACTAACTTCCCGATGAGCTAGAGACTTGAAACTTGAAACATAGCCCACAAATGGAAGACAATGCAATATAATATCATTTAATTTTCATATTTCCCTTGGGCTACGCCCCATGGGCTTGTTTTTATTTTACTGTATACTGTTTCCAATATGAAAGAGTTATTTATTTTAAGTTATACAATGTAAATAATATATTTCTTTTACCAACTGCAGTTTGTGTGTGTATTTGGTCAAGTTTTGCATATAAACCATTTGTTGTATAAAAAAATATGTATTTTGTCATTGAACTGTTTTATATTGAATAACTAGCATATGTACTACCCGGAAAATATATAATTTTTAAAAGATTATAATATGTCTGTGAATGGTAAAGGTATTATTTTTCCCTAAAATGTACTACTAAAAAAACAGTTTTTAGGGGGGGGGGATCGTAATACACACAAGTTTTATGCAAACAAATTTATTTATATGTCAAAAACACTTGTTTGTTATCGAAATAAATGTAAATAAAAAATGTCCTTTCATTAATTTTAGAGTCTTTAGCAAAAAGAACAACATTACCTTATACAGGAACTTCTACATTTTACGAAACGTTAACACTCACGTGGGGAGTTGAAAACACCCTATACTTTGTAATACACATGTATTACCAAGTGAACACTAGAGATCGCACGGGGACTTTGGATGAGAAACGTTCCTGTGTTTCACAGTTTTAACTTTACATTTCAGGTAATTTACACTAAGTGTACAATGCAGTTGTCTGCTTGCAACATTGAGCAGATAGCAGACATAATAATCAAATAATTTCTAAAGTCAATGTTACATATGTTTCTCGTAAATGAAATGTATACTTGCAGTATCCAATCTCATTAGTATATATTTTGTTTCAAATGATTGCAATGTCTAATTTCGTTATTCAAAGTCAATTACAAGTCTGGTTCAATTAAATGTATTGTCTACCTCAAAGTATATATGTGTCATCTGGTTCTCATAAATTAAATGTCTATTTGCAGTAGCAGTATCCTAAATCAATAGTACGCCAGCTTCACAAAAATGAGAAATTTACTTGCAGTATCCAATGTCAATGGTCCATTTGGTTCACATAAATAAGATGCCTATTTGCAGCATTCAAAGTCAATGATACGTCGGGTTCACTTAAACGAATTGTTTACTTGAAGTATACAAACTCAATGGTACATATCGTTCACATAAATAAATTGTCTACTTGCAGGATCCAAAGAAATGGTTAATTTGATTCCCATAAACGGAGTGCCGATTCGCAGTATATTAAGTCAATGTTACGTCTGGTTCACGTCAATGGAATGTCTACTTGCAGCATCTAAACTCAGTGGTATCTTCGGTTCATATTGATGGAAGTCCTAATTATTGCAGTACCTATTCAAAGTCTGCATTATTTAATTGTAAGTCTAGTTCACTGAAATGGAAAGCCTACTTGGAATTGCAAGTTAAATGGAAATATAACTCAATGGTAGGCTTATATTTGGTTAAAATGTAATGGATATTTAGATTATTTAAAGTCAAAGGTGTTTCAGCCTTATTCTGGCGACCATAATTATTGGTTGTTTTCATTTTGTAGTAAATTATGCTCAATGATATTAATCTTATTGTTCTTCCCTTTTTCTGTGTCCTATACGGTAATGTACTTTTTAAACGATTCTTTGACTAACATATGTGGCATCTCTTGTTTATCTTTTTAGTTTTATCTCGCAAATAAAGTCATAGCAACCAATGAACCCATAAGGCCCATGTTAAATTTAAAAAAAAAAAAATTCACGTAGGGAAAAGCCCTGTGGTCCAATTTGTACCATTTAAGATTTATACATTCCCATGGTTGGTTACTATGATCGTGCTAAATTTCGTGTAGATCGCTTCAGCCGTTCAGGAGGTATTTGTAAAACAAAAAGAGGAGAGTAGTATAAGAGCTTCGCTTTGCGCCGTTCAATTACTAATGGTTGTTAATCCTCTATATATCAAAAACGGCTAATACGATTTCCTTCTAATTTGATAAATAATTTATATCTGGCCTAAAAACGTGTTTACTGCAGTTAAAACTGCTAGCAAAAAACTAACTACGCAACACAATTGAATTGAAAGTCTATAATTTTTAACATTGGCCTCATTGGTTTCCAAGTAACCATGACCATAGACTAATAGAACTATTTTAAGTTGTAGTGTGTTGTTATGTTCACCAAGGTTTTACGAGCAAATTAACGAATGCAGTGCAAAGGGGAAAACACCAGTTGTTATGAGTTGTGTACACGTAGTGTATGAGTTGAGTCTTAAACTCGTCGGAAATTATGACTTTCATTCTTTTTCAAAAAAGTTATTTGTTTTTTAATAACTACTTGACTTCTTTGCAATTGCTCGATTTCAAGCAACATGTACACTATGCATTAAAACGTCACAGAGTGATTTATTTCACGATGCTAATCATTAACCATTTGACATATTTTCATGATTTTGTGTTGCAAGAAACATCGTTACCCCTAGGACTGCCAATAACCGATACCGTATGTTTCAGTTCGAAAGACTATGACAACATACCTTAGTGTAGCAATAACACAAATAAGGTCCTCGATATCAATGCTTCTGTTTCATTCAATAAGATGTTTTATGACATTTCTTCAATTTGAATCATGCCTATTTATATTTCATTACTATATACATTACAAATAAAACTGTGAGCAATACTCTTACAAAACTTGTACAACCTTTTTTTGTCCGAACATAATCCCCCAGATAAACATATTTCCTAGCATCAAAAACATATTTTTTCAAGTAAATAAAACAAACGCCAATTAATTGCATTGCCCAGCTCTTTCATTAAATAAACAGAATTAAATTATTCAAACTGTGAAAGCATAACAGACGTAGCCCGTTGAATTCGGCCTATGGGGACCTGAGAAATTAGTCCATACCTATAATATTCAGCAAATATGCACATTCTAAGCTCAAGTTTGATGTGCTGTATGCCTATATTTTTATTTGGTAAACTGCCATAACCGTTTACATTTAATTTGATTGTATCTATATGCAATATTTATATTTTAATTTATATTTATATTAATATATTTTTTATTATGTTTATATTTATAGGCCTTTCTTACTTAAATTTACATTTTTTAAACGGGCAGTTCAGAAGACGGGGCACGGAAGCCACGTCATGTTGGTAACATTGACAATTCGAAGTAAGCGGCAGGCAGGTTGCCAGTATGGATACTAAAAAAGTCCCACACGCCCCTGCTCGCCCCTCCACGCAACTCTCTCCATCAATTCCAGAACATGAAAGGATCCATAATGTCATATGGGTTCAAGTTATGACCAAATGTTACAGGACCACTTTTGTTAGCTGTATTGTTCTACACCTTTTAATTTTTTAACTCTTCTCTAGAGTCATTATTAAAAGAATTAATAAATACTAGTGTACATGTTGCTCGAATTCGAGCAATTGCAAATATTACAGAAGATATTTCAAAACGAATAACAGTCATATTTACAACGAATTTAAAAGAGTCAACTCAAAGATTACCGGTGTGTAACTCAGACTATGTTTATCTTCGTTATTGATAAACCTAAAGCATTCGGGCCGGTTTTCTCCTTCTCAAAATGCCTCGCTGTACAGGCAACACAGGTCATTTATAGAGGGCCAATTGAGAACGAAAAGTCGTTTTGGGGTAGTGTTAGGGGGCATTTGTAACCTAATAGTTGAGATTGTCCAGGGTCAGGTGCTGACTGTGATGAGTTAAGCCTAGGTTCTGGCGCACACCGCTGGGATCGCCACGGTAGTTACAGCGTACGCGCTACGTAAACTACAGCGGTGTGCGCCCGAACTTATGGTAACCATGGTAACCGCAGCACGGCTGACAGTCTATATTTAATTCTTTTTGTCTATGCTAATACTCGCCACTGTTCTGTGAGCTGCGGTCGTTATCACGATTACGCCTCCTGTCTATATGTGTTGTTGTCGTCACGTCGGAGGCATATAAAAGAAAAAAAAAACAACAAATAAACAAATGATAGCTACACAAAACAACGATAAATGTTACAATCGTACTAACACGATCCGTCATAGCTACACAAAACAACGATAAATAAATACACAAATTTAAGATACTGTACAACCATACTAACAAAATCCGTCTTGGAGGTTATGTTTACACAAACTCAAATAGTAAATAAATGTACTCGATGGGTTTCATTGAATTGAAAAATAAATAACAGCAATTAAATTAAACAGCTGACCAAAATGTAAACAATTATGTTCTTCATAAGGATAACATGGGAACTTTCAAAGCCACTGGGGCAGAGCCCAAGGGACTTTTTCAAAAATGTAAGGCCAGTTTGCAAATCTACGCGACACGTTCTTTCCAATGAGATGTCAATGGATAAAATCGGTTAAGAAATGGTGCAGGAGTTCAACCGACAAAGTTTCATGTAGCGTATTAATTATATAGATTTTCGTAATGAGCGACATTTCCTACCTGTAGGCTAAACGAAACGTGATACGTATATCTATATAATTAATACGCGAACACGAAGTTTGTCGGTTGAACTCCTCCGTCATTTCTTAACCGATTTTATCCATTGACGTATCATTGGAAAGAGCGTGTCGCGTAGATTTGCAAACTGGCCTTGAACTGGATTTGAAAAAGTCCCTTGGGCTCTACCCCAGTGGCTTTGAAGGTTCCCATGTTATCCTTATGAAGATCATAATTGTTTAAATTTTGATCAGCTGTATAATTTAATTGCTGTCAATATTTAAACTGCATTTCAAAGAAAAGCGTCCTACAAAAATTAAATCTTTGAAAAATAAATCATTGAAAGAACCCATTTGCAAATTATTGAAACATTAAAAGTCATAGAACGCCCACTAGTAGAAGAAATAGAGATAGTATTTTTTTAAAGAATTAACTATCGTCGTTAGCCTTTATAATGAAGAACACCTACAAGATTCAGATTCCTACAAACTATGAACCAGGATGTTAGCCGAAGTGCTACAAATTTTATTAGGAAACATGGACTTAACTTTGTAATCATTGCAGAGGAAAGCCCTCTAAAGCCAAATAAATCTGGTACGTCAATGACATTAATCTATGTTTTCATAAAAGTCAAGCAATTTTAATAATAGCCTATGAAAATATCCAAGAGCCCCTTACCAACATTTTACTGAAGGCTTTTAATTATTATTCATATGCTAAGGGAAACAAAAATCATCTGAACAACAGAAGGTCTTTAACTTTGCATTTCTCAGGTAAACATAATTAACGTTATTGCAACTAAACAAAAAATACACCAATTGAACAAATAAAATTGTGACAGACAATTTGATGAAAAATAAGTACGACAACGAATTTAACACAAACAAAAAACTAACATTTGGATTATGAGTTAAAATTCTGGTGACGCAATAACAACGATAAATATACAGAAAATCTAAACAAATTGAAGACTGGTACACAATCATCACATGTTAGATTTTCAGCGTGGGATGAATATAGATAAGTTCATATTTTATTTGGATTGTGGTCGAGTTTTGACCACTGGACGACATCAATTCTTATATTAAAGTACTTAACTCATTAAGGTACTTCAATAATACCTAAATGATAAATACCTTCTATTTAACTCAAATAAAACAATCTGGTATTAGGTATAGATGTATTTACTCAAAAACCTATTTCTATGATAATTTAGTCACGAAATCCAAATGTTTAGACCTATCTATAGATTATATCCGCTTGTTTGGATCATACAAGTCTAGATAGTATTTTTAAAATTTTAAATATGGTATTTTTTTATTAAACCCATTATGCACTACAGACATTTTGCGTACAATTTACTTTGCTAACATACACTCTCATATTTGTTACGGAATAAAGATTTATGAGGGAACAAGTAATTGTAACTATAATCAAATTTTATATTTACAAATGAATGCTACAAGATGAAACCTTAACCTGGATTAATACTGTTTACATTTTTACCGAAAATAGGAGATGAAAAATAGTGGAAAAAAAGGCACTACGACTTATTTGCGTTGTGCACCACGAATATTATGTAGAAAAAATTTCGAAATTTCGTACATACAGCTTAAGAAGTTAAGACTAAATATTTTTCATAGTTTAGAAATTTTAAAACGTGAACTAATACTGTATTTCCTTAATATTGTTGTTGGAAGACGGCAATTGCTAAAATACTGTGCGCGTAAACTAATTCATTCACATCATGGTGGTCATCTAAGTCGATTATTGGACAAACTAAAAGTCTTACGAAAAAATGTTTGGAACAAAAATTGAAGAACATCTTATTATCTATACTTTTCTCGCTGAAAGTTTTCATCTGACCAAAAAATAAAAAAAATCCTCGCTCACTTACTTTTTCATGTTTACATTGAACAACCTTTTCATATTTTCCATTATTAAACATTAATCATCTGCACGAACTAAATTGTATTTATATAGTATTAAACATCAGTTTACGCAGAATTTAAATATATAAATTCCATCTTCTCACTATTTGTATTACAATTTAGACGAACGTGCAAAGCGACAGGGAACGCACCACTTCGAATAATCTCGCCAACATCGGAAACTCTCTTCCAGCATGTGTGTGTGTAATGGGTGCGTGTGTGTGCGTACGTTATCGCTTCCTGCACAGACTGTACCCATTGTCACTTGGAGTTATGAAACTTGGTGTTATGAACCCTTGGAGTTTTGAAACTTGGACTTGTGGTCCTTGCAAATCTGTACGTTTGGAGTTATGAAATTTTGTATTTTAATTTACTTGGTTTTATTTTAACTTGGACTTATGAATCTTGGAGTTATGAACGCTTGGAGTTATGAAACTTGGTCTTATGATATTTTGGTTTTAATTTACTTGGACATAATTTTACTTGGAGTTATGAAATGTTGTATTTAAAAGTACTTGGAGTTATGAAAACTTGGAGTTATGAACCTCACCCCATTCCCTAAGCATGAGGAACTGTATTTGCAAAACCATACATTCTTTCCACATTTTTTCCAGGTCCCTTGAAATTCAAGGTTTTCTCCCGGTTGGTACACACCCTACGTTTACAATGAACTCTTTTTTAAAGCCTATATTTTAATGGGTAGCCTAAGTAAAAGCTTGATACCTGTAAATGCCCTCGCAACACCTTGACACTTGTCCATTGTTCCTTGAAAGATTCGCCTTCCTCTTTGAAGAGTTCTGGAGGATCATTTGATTTTTTCATTTTCCATAAAATGATGCAAGCCTCTGAAACATTGATACACATTATTTTTAACTATGAGAAAAAACTTGTCCATTAAATGTTACAAAATATTTTAGGGTCCCATTATTTGAACAAGGCCTGCTTGTGCGATAGCTTGATGATTTGTTTGTTTCACAAATTTGTCCCTCAAAAATAACAGTTCAAGGGCTGACATTATCAGGTGGCCCAACAACATACATTGGTTGTAGGACACTATGGCCAGAAAAAAAGGCCACATAATCAAAAGAGCAGAAAAATATTCATGAAGAGCAAGGGTAACAGAGTTAATTAACATTTTTAGGGTGAGAAATATGTCCAATCCGAGCTACAGAACAGTAAATATAGGCCACTGAACGGATTTTCTGTCAAAGCCATTCCATACCCCAGCGCCAACATTCAAAGTCTCAAAAAGCTCTTGGATGTACGCTATCTACTTTTAAAAATATCGCATATCATATTCACACAGCAGGACCAAGGCCTTGTGCCATGCCCGCTAACTGGCGATGCGTGGCTACCGTTCGCTCCTTGAGCAATCTTTTTAAATGTGGCGGTCAAAAATTTTGAGTCCATACAGTACATTCATTCTAAAATCAATTTGTCATTGTCACCCTTGAGATCACGCATTAAGAGATGAGATTCGCCGTAACGCTTTCTTTATCTGTTGATTGGATGTACATACTCGTCTCTATTTTTAAACAATATAATACCAGCTCATCACTACTGCTACTGCTGCAGGAGTCATCAAACCAATGTAAGCCGCACAAAAATTCAGATTTACACCACGGGACAGTAGGAGCAAAAAACTGTATCACTCACATACAAAAAAAAAAAAAAAAAAAAAAAAAATATATATATATATATATATATATATATATATATATTGGTGAGAAAAATGAAATTTCTCTAACCTATGGGTTTCAGGCTCAATATAACTCTTAAATCTAGTGTGATGGGAATGAATGGGTTGGGTCATGAATGAGGATAGATTGTCTTTAACCCAATTTGAAATTTCTAAAATATAGTGATCATTAAATGTTAAAACTGAAAATGTTTGAAAAAGATTTTCACAAGGAGTTCTACGAGGAACTCGCCTAATAATTCTAATTGCTTTTTGTTGAAGTTTGAATATTTTGTTGGAGTGGCATGAGTTTCTCCAAACCAGAATACCATATGTCATTATTGAAGAAAAATAAGCATGATAAACTATAAGCTGAGTCTTTAAGTTAACAGCTTGTCTGATTGTGCGAAGAGAGAAAATACAGCGGTTTAATCGTTTGATTAAATTAACAACTTGTGATTTCCAGTTAAGATTTTCATTGACAGTTATACCTAAAAAATTCACATTTTGCTGCAGTGGCATTTTAGATTTCGATGTTGTAATTTTATCTGTTTTATATTGATTATTATTAGAACTAAACTCTATAAGCTCAGTTTTATTATCATTCATAACCAACCCATTCACGTGGAACCAGTCTCTGAGAGCTTGTACCTCCCTGTCGAGTGTGTGCCGCAGGGAGTCAATACTGGGTGCCGTACATAGCACCATTGTATCGTCTGCATCAGTGCCGGATTTAGGGTACTTGCGGCCCTAGGCCAAATTACTTGAGCGGCCCTCCCCCTGGGATGGAAATTCCTTGCGATCGCAGAAGTAATCGTGAATATCTCCTAGGCATTAAAGAGACACCATCATCGACACCCGCGATCGTGGATGAAATCGTGGGACATCTCTTCTAAAGGTCGCCGGTTCGATCCTGAGAAAAGTCAGTAGCTTTTTGATGGTTCGAAACTGGACCCAGCTGTTCCTGATCATTGGGCTTTAAATAAATGATCCTGACTAATGAAACCGCTGATATTAGTCAGTAACAAAGCTACACAGGTCATCACACACCATTCTACACTCATCTTTCACTCATATTTGGGTTAAAATACGCACCTAGGTGGCGTCCCCATCTCAATGATTGATAATTGAAATAATTGATAAAACCATGTCAAAGCCATCATAAGTATCTGTGACCGTGACCATGGCAAAATCATGAACATCCCCCGGGCTGCAACAAAGCGGACATCATCCTCGACACTAGCGACTGCGGCGAAATCGTGATCATATCTCGTGAGCTGTGACCTTGAGGACCGTCACCCGTGTCCACAGTAAAATCGTGAACATCTCCCGCGGGCCACTTGCGATCGCGGTATAGGCGTGTTCAAAACATATCACCTGGACTGCGATCATGAGGACATCATCATTGTCACCCGCTGCCGTGCCGAAATTGTAAGCATCCCCCTCAGGAAGCCATCACGGGGTTATCCTTATTGACACCCCCAGCCGCGGCGAAATCGTTAATATCTCCCGTGAGCCGCAAACATGGGGATCATCAACACTCGCGACAGCGGTTAATTCTTGAACGTCTCCAGTGGGCTGCGATCGTGAGGACACAGCACCGCCACCCGCGGCCGCGGCTAAATCGTGAACGTCTCCCGTGGGCTGCAATCACGGGGACATCATCATAAGCACCCGGGGCCGTAGCAAAATCGTGAACATCTCCCTCGGTTAGCGGAGACATCATTATGGTCTCGTGGCAAAATGGTGGTTTTAAAAAATAATTCGTTTTTGGGATCTAAAACATGTTTTTCTCAATCCTCTGTGGCCCCCTTTGGCTTGCGGCCCCCTTTTGCTTGCTAGTGGTAAATCCGGCACTTGGTGGTGTTTGTTGGTGAAATTAAAGTTAATGAAAGAATAAATGTTATAAACTTACAAACACAACACAACACTGAAAAATATATTTTTTTAGTAAACAACTGCATATATGTAAAAACATATGATGGTTTGTTATTAATCCAGACTAGATGAGTTGGGTTGCAATATTCAACATCCCCTCTCACCCAACTTAGCTAGGTAAAAGTCCTAGGCACTTTTGAAATTTGTGATGTTTTGGTTCGCTTAGTCCTTTAGTAAAAATATCATCAAGCATGTATTCTGTGGGTTTGTAGTTCAATTTTATTCCTCCATTTTGTACTTTTTCCCGTTTAGATTTACTTCCTATAATGGAGTTTTTAGCCATTGTAATAGCTGATTGGTTATCACAAAATATTTCAATGACTTCTTGAGGTCTTCCCATATCATTAATCAATTATTTTAAGTGAATGGCTTCTTTTGCTGCTTCAGTCATTGACATGTATTCCGCTTCACTCGTAGACAGAGCTACAGTCCTCTGCTTTTTTGATTCCCAGGAGATTACAGCACCGCCAAATTTAAAACAGTAGCCGGTGTATGTTCTCCTGTCTTCACTGCATGCCCAATCTGCAGCTGCTGCTCCAATTAATGGCTTTCCTGTTTTGAAAAATTCAAGACACAAGTTCTTTGAGCCTTGCAAATATCTGAGAACCCTCTTTGCAGCAATCCAGTGTTCTTTTCCAAACAAGAGTTATATTGGCTCAGGTAACTCACAGCATGTGTTATGTCAGGTCTTGTGGCTATTGACAAATACATCAATGAACCGATTAAATTTTGGTATGGGTAGTTACAATCTTTTTCATGTCCTTTAACCAATTTTAGACCCGGTGTTAGTGGAGTTAATATTGAATTTTTTCAGGACTTCATTTATGTATTTCGTTTGTGACATTGATATTGATATATATAATAGCTTAGTTCACCTAAATCTCTCATTTCAAAAGTTTTCATGAGCTGGGCTTTGATGTAATTGCGGTATTTTTGGTTCTTCGTAGCAATTAAAATGTCATCTACATATACAGAGATTATTGATTTGCATCCACCTTCTGTTGAAATGTATACAGGGTGGTAAAAAAGTCCCTGGACAGTTAAATATTTTAAAAAATAATGCAGATAGAGCTACAATACTTGGTACAAAGTTACAGGGCATAAAATTATATTTTAACACATATTCAGTAATCCAATAACTCTTCAGGGGGACGGCCAACAAGGAGTCGGAAGAAAATCTTAAATGGAAGCATAGGTCAATATGCACATCAAATTAAAGGTCTTTTTTAGTAGAATACAATGCCACAAACCGCACTTCAAAAGGTTGACCCTGCACAAAATGACAGTTGTTCAAAGATTCATTTAATTTACATTGCTATTATACACTTTATCCTCAGGGGGCACAGCCCTAGGAATCGGAAGAAAATTGTTAACGTAAGCATAGGTCGATATGCACATCAAATTAAAGGTCTTCACTAGTAGATTACGATGCCGTAAATTCAAGCTCAAAAGAATGCCTGAGTAAAAAATGGCAGTCGTTCAAAGATTCAAAATGGCGGATTCAAGAAATCTTTGAACATCTGCCATTTTGCGCAGGATCAACCTTTTGAAGTGCGGTTTGCGGCATTGTATTCTACTAAAGAAGCCCTTTAATTTGATGTGCATATTGACCTATGCTTCTATTTAAGATTTTCTTCCGACTCCTTGTGGGCCGTCCCCCTGAAGAGTTATTGGATCACTGAATATGTGTTAAAATATAGTTTTATGCCCTGTAACTTTGTACCAAGTATTGTAGCTCTATCTGCATTATTTCTTTTAATATTTAACTGTCCAGGGACTTTTTTACCACCCTGTATACAAGGATCAGCTTGAGATGGTGTGAATTTCAGTTCCTTTAGTTTTTCATCAAGCTTCATATACCACTGTCTTCCTGATTGTAAACTGCCTTTTTTAGTAGACAAACCTTTTTGTTTTGAGAATTTTTTAAGTCAGTAGTCATTTTCTTTGTTTTGTTGAATAGTTTTTATCTTCATTTTTACTCTCATCCACCATTATTTCTTGGAGGTATCTCTCAAAGTTGTTAGGAAGTTCCATGTATATTTTTTTCTTTTATTTCTCCATTTAGAAAAGCAGTTGAAACGTCCATTTGATCAATACTTAGATCATCTTCAACAGCAAGTCCAAGCATAAGTCTTATTGAACTTAGCTTTGCTACCGGAGCAAAATTTTCATCGTAGTCAATGCCTGGTTTTTGTGCAAATCCTTTTGCTACCAATCGTGCTTTTCTTC